GGGGGGGGGAAAAGCGGCTGGGATGTTTACAGGTGAAGATGAAGGAAGGGGTGAGTTGATATGAAGAAATGTATTACATTTGGAAGAAAAGGGGGGCACTGAGAAAGAAAGAAAGGGTAGGTTTGATACGGGAGTTGGTTTGGATCTTGCTGATTTCGACATGTCTTTTTTTCTTTCTTTCTTTTTTGAAGGTTGCAAGCATCTAAGATCTACGCGCTGCAGTCTACTCTAATCTACTCTAATCTAGTCTCCTCTCCTCTCCTCCCCTCCCCCCTCCTCCCCTCTCCCCTCCTCTCCCTCCTCTCCTATTCTCCCCCCTTCTCCTCCCCTCCCCCCTCCTCCCCCCTCCCCCCCCTCTCCTCTCCCCCCCCTCTCCTCTTCCATATACAAACTCTTCACATGCCTCGTCTCCCAACTCAAAAAGTCACCCAGGTCATGTCCCAGATTAAAGCCCATCGGGATCGGCACCTCCCCATCCGGCAGCAGCAGCGCCCTTCCTGAGACGACCAGGTCCAGCATCGGGCTCGGCGGTAGACTCTGCACACTCTCTGCGAGAGAAGGCCGACGGGGTCGCTGAGCCGGCGGCGTCGTAGTCGTCACCATCTCGGGACTGCTTGGGATGGTCGTCGTCGTCGTCGTCGCCGCGGCCGTAGCACTATACTGCGGAGGGGCTACGGGCGGAATGGTGTCGATATCGTCGATATTGGGTTCGGCGTTCCATCCTGTCATCATCATCCGCTGCTGCTGCTGCTGCTGCCCGCTACGAGAATGCATCGGATGTCTCGGAGGAGGAGGAGGAGGAGGAGGAGGAGGAAGAGGAGGCCGAGGCCTGACAGGAAGTAGTGGCCCCTCCCAACTTCTCCCCGTCGTGAGTTGTGACGGCGACCACGACGACGACGAGCCCCCAAGACTCCTCCTCTCCCGACCTCCTCTCCTCCTCACCGTGAACCTGCTCCTCCTGATCTCGAGCTCGTCTCTCGCCCTCACGTCAGCTTCGGTTTCAATCCTGCCGTAGCCCCGGAAGCCGAAACCTCGATACCAGTCCACGATGCCGTCGATTTCCGCTTCGTCGGCTTCCCATTCGGAGTCATCGCGCGTGTCGTGCGTGCCGTCTTGCATGGTGCCGGATATGGCCATCTGGAAGGCGGTCCAGTCGAGGGCTTCCGCTGCGTCATCTGGGCAGGAGGCTCTGCGGTCGCGAATCAGGCGCTCGAGACGGATAGGACCGTGGCGGAAGAGGGGGGATGTGAGGGTGTAGTGTGTGGAGGGGAGGATGATATGTGTTGGTGGTGTAAGAGCCGGAGAGGACGGCTGGGACCATTCGGCTGATGAGGCAGAGAAGGAGAACTGTTTCGGAGGCAGATGCAGGGGGGATATTTCAGAGATGGTCGGTAGCAGTGGGGTAGCTCTGGTGGAGGCGGATGAACGACGGGGAGCCCGGGTTGGAATGGGAGGCGGGTGTTGTGGGAATGGGAGGTCGCTGAAGATCATGCCGTCTCTTGAGGACGAGAAAATATTCTGTTTTCCCATAATTGCTGACCTGGGTGGAAGCAACTGCACAGATACGCGAGGGCCTCTTCGTGGTACTGCAGGTGGTGGCAGTACTGAACTTGGAACAGGACGGTATTCTTGCTGGGCAGCTGTGATGCGAGAGCTCAAACTCTCAACATGGAATGTCTCTGTAGGAGTGCTAGAGTCCGTTTCATAACTGTGTGCCGATTCAATGGATATCTTTCTCTCGCTCTCGTGTTTGTCCTTCAGCTGCTGGATTCTTCCAGGCGTCAACATCTCGTCCACTTCAGTCCGAAACATTTTACCGCTAAACAGATCTGCCATGTTGGTAGTCGCATCTGTCAACGTCCATCTCGCCGGTGTATTTTGAGATGACGCTGGACCTCTGGGATTCGACTTGCCAAAGAAAGTTGCTTTCCTCCTGCTGAAGCGACTTCTTTTCCCTCTGGATACCGACATGGCTCGCGTCACAGGCGTCTTGAGTGGAGAGATAACGGGTCGCGGCTGTCTCTTGGATAGTCCACGAGCAACTGAAGAAGATCGTGGGGCTAAAGGACTGCCGGTTTTGTCCCATTCTTCCGTGGCAGCTCTGGCATCAGCCAAAGCTGTCCCGACCGCTTGGAACGCCATGTCTGTCTCCCGTATCAACTGCTCAACACTGTCCGCCACACTCTCCGGCGGATTCTCCATGTCTGATCCTGTATATCTGAGGCTCTGTGTCGGGGTCTTGTCATCATCCAGCAGGTCAGCCGACAGCACTCCACTAACGTCGAACGGTGATCCAGGGCCGAATTTTGCAGCCGAAGTTGTTCTGCGACCGAATCTCAGCTCACTTTTAGTGAGTGGTCGCCTCGACGGCTCTTGGAATATTAGACTCCATGTTTTCGCATCTCCCGTCGTATGTCCTGAGGGTAATGGTGGGAGATAAAGAATCTCGGGATGAGGTGGTAATGGGTCAACACCGAACAAAGAGTGTTCGATCGAGGCCGGATTTGCCTCACAGTCGCAACTGCACAAAGAACTGGCCGAAGAGTGGGCGGTCTTACTTGACGGTGTAAAGTGGTTACTTCGAGTGGTGATATTGCTGCTGGCTCTTCTAACTTCTAAAGGAGTCTCTGCAGAGGAGGTTTGTGAGAGCCAGGACAGTCTCTGCGTAGTGTTTGGCGACAACCCATTGTCTGTGAAATCATCATTATCGAAGTCGCTTCTTGGCTTTTCCATGCGGTCCTTCTGGCAAATAAATTTTTTGATGCGCAAACCGGTCTTCTGGAGCAACATGGTGAAGTTCGAGCAAATACGACTGAACAGGGAGATGTCCAAAAACCCAACAAAACAAACACCGAGATGATTGCTCAAAAAGATGACAGCGAAAAGCTCGCGATGACAGGATTCTATTTGAGAATATCACGAGGCTGTGCTGATGGTATGACATGCTGAGAAAATACTTCGAGGGGAGTGAAGGATACAAAAAGTGCCAGAGAAATCTCACACCAGCCCACTTCGCTCGACACAGTAGCACACACCGACCTCTGCATGGAGAGCCGGGGAACGAGTTTGGATACCAATATCATCTCAATTCGCGTGCTTGACAAATGCACGGCGGATGCCTGCGTAAACCTAAGGATAGGTATTGCAATCCACAACTTTTGCGAAGGAACAACACGAGGAGCCAGGACCCAAATTCCAAAGAAGGATGTGATTTTGAAGTAGTAATTCTAGGAATTGTATAGGATTGGCTGGTAAACATACAGCTGTTGTCCCTTGTTAGAACGGCAGCGCCCGCACGGTCTGCCTTCCAGACGAGCGAGACCGCCTCTGCAACAGAACGCAGGGAAATGTGAGCTATCACCAGAATCGATAGTCCATCTCATCGATACGGTGGTTTTAGAAGTGGAAGAAACATCGTCGAACATAGGGTAGCTGCAGCGCGGGACACATTTTCGCCTCTCGCTTCAGGACGTGTGGTAACTCGAGGGAGTACAAGGTGCGGCCCGATATGCAGGATAGGGAAAGATAAGAAAGTTCCCAATCCCACCGGTTGCATGCATGAAACTTGCTAGAATGCCCTGGCTCGAAGAAATTGGATTACTCGCGGGATTTAGCTTTGAATCTGGAGCGGCCTTGTATCCTGGGATGGAGCAGGGAGTTTGAATGGCGGCGGGCGCCTGGGGCGCTTGGGCGATTTCGCGCACATATACCGCTAGTAGTACGTACCCATATATACCAGGAATGCGCGGCTCCAAGACCGTGTCGTCGATCTTGCGAGGGGGTAAACATGCGACAGGACTGGGCTTAGGCTAGCCAGCAAGAGGCGCCTTCCGAGGCGGCCTTCCGTTAACGGCCGTAACGCTTTGCCTTGTTGTCGAGTCTTCATTGTTCAGCCCTCTCAGCCCCCCCTAGATGAGGATGATCGGCTTCCGGGGAATGACAACCGGAAGGGATCCGGCAAAGGTCAGCGAGGCTATCTCTCCGGATCTGTTACTGGAGAGATTCAGTTGGTGGGTGGCGTTACACCACTCTCGCTTTGTCGATAGATGAATGCCGGGAAACGACGACACGACGTTGAAGTTGTGTCGACAGAAAATAAACGTGACTGGGGAGGTCGCCGACCAAGATAGCTGACGGTAGCTCCGCTCCTCTTGAAGTGGTCTGAAGCTACCGAGGTTTTCCATCCACAGTCTCCTCCTTGCAAGTAGAGGTACAGTAGGAGTAGGGTAGGAGGAGGAATCGACTCTCGGAAACGCGACGGCCTCGGCCTGAGTGAAGATGCTACACGTGACCAAAGTCACACCCTCAAGTACCTACACCTTTCGGAGACCGGCCACTGTCTAGACTCTCTACCATGACATCAGGGCATATCGCACCGAGCAATCCGATTCGAAGAAACGCTCCTCTCACAAAGCGTCAAATCCTCGATAACCAAGGCATCACAGCATACGACGACAAGTAAACACGGTATCCGAGCCGCCCCCCCAAGAAAGTCTACCACGCCCAGCCGAGCTCCGCCAGCTCATTGTGCCTTACGAAAGGCGCGGAGCCTGTCAGCGTGGTAGGAGCAAGTTCCATGAGCCCGGTTTGCTAGCTGGCTGGTTCGTCTGGTGTGTGGTACCAGGCTATACTCGTCATGATTTAAGATTCACAGCTTCAAGTGGCCAACAGGATCCGATATTGATGAGAAGATGACGTTGCATAAGCGCGTGTACAGATATATAGTTTCTATGCTGCGTAAATACATAGATACCGGCAAGAGAAACAAGCCGGCCGCAGGTTCAGTGATCCCCCAGCGCCTCGAATCCGACCCGCGTTCTCCATCCCGTCCACCCACCTGCCGCGGGTGCAGAGTATCATATCCAGGTATCTTCGGACGACGCAACGGCCGATGATTGAGGCCGTGGCCTAGCCCATGATCGGTCGACAAGCACATGATCGGTCGACAAGCCCAAGCCGAGTGTGCGTGCCCCAGCGTCGGCACTGAACGCTGGGGTGTCGATTTCCTGTATCCTTGAAGTTTCCATAATCTTCTCGTCGCGTTTGGAAATGCAACGAGTGCGTGTCTCTTGGTGATCGATGCCCTCTCGGCACTGCACTAGCCCAGAAACCCGTTCCCCGATTCTGGGCCTGGGCCTTTGCGCCGTGGTCCTTGTGCTCGACTTTTGGGCACCAACTTGCCTATCTAATGTATTCCAACCCCTCGTTCTTCTCCCCGTATTGTCTCGAGTACGGGTCTGGCGTGACCGCCACCCGGCTGTTCTCTTCTAGAGGCAGAGAGGGTATTGCGTTATTTAATCATGGCCTCCAGCATCGCGGGCGTGGTCGCCGTTTTCACGAAGTCTGATGCCGAGTGCTGTGGAGTATGGTGGTATTTCTTCTCGTCTCGGTATTGAGGTTTGACTGCCGGCTTGGGGGGGCCTCTGAACACTCTTCGCAGACGTGCTCGGATACTCGCGTCTTGCTCTGCGAATGGCTGTTGGTAATTGCTTGCGTCGTGGAATATCGGGAGGCCCTTCATGATGACTTTGTGGGTGCCGTCTTTCCTGCCGTGTTTGCTTGGAGGCTCGCGCGTCGGTTTGTTGTGGCAGATGGCGTTCTAGAAGAGAATCGCTATTGAGGAGGTGGGAGGCACAATTGCTGAGAATCAGACTGACGTCGAGTCCAAGCCAAAGCCAAAGATTTGGAGCTTGAAGGGCTTGGAACTATTCACTCGAGTGGCCCGGAACGAAATGGACGATAGGCATATTGTTTTTCCTCCGGCGATTAACATACAGCTGGCCGGTGCAGAGATCAGATGCGGATTTGACAAGAATAGATTTTGACTACGAAGTACTTGCAAGACCAAAGCTGACCATCCGAGGTGTGTCCTCTCCACTTGGAAGACTGCGTTGAGACCGGGGCAAGAGCATCAGAGTCCAGCCAGTTCGCATACCAAGAGCAAGAAAGCATGAAGGTGGGCGACGACTGGACGACGGCTCCTGGAATAGGCGACAGCTCCGACACAGGAATGAGGGCACATCCCGAGTCCAGACTCAATGACGCCTTTCGTGGCGACCACTTACCCACCGACGCATAAGCCGTCCGCTGTCAGCGCAAAGGGATACCGGTACTCGCCAATCGATGGAGTTGCGGCCGAGGGACCAGCCAGCGGTTATCACCATGACTCGTCCAACGACGCCCGGTCTGCAGCTCCGGACGGCGACTGATCTGGATCTGGCGTAAGTTTGTTTCAGTTCAGTTTGCGTTTGGGCAGAGTGCAGTTGGGGGAGAGAAGAGGGAAGGGTAGGTAGGTAGGTAGGTAGGTAGATAGGAGAGGGAAGCATGGGGGGCATGGAAGAATGGAAGAATGGAAGAATGCAAGAATGCCAGAATGCAGTAGTGGATAAAGGATAAAAAGATATCAATTCAATCAGAGCTCGAGCTGGTCACGGACCTGTCTGTCCACCGTCCAATCAGCGTCCAGCGTCCATGGCCGTGGGGATGCGACCAGGAAGTACGGCACCTCCCGGTACCGACCACCATGTGACCAATCAAAGAGGCTCCCTAGTAGAAGTATCATTCGTATCTTAGAATAGTACCTCGATTTGCACGCATTCGGATGCTTCCCGCGACCCAAAGTGAGCTTGTGCTTGTGCTTGTGCTTGTGCTTGTGAGGAAAAAGCCCGTTTTAGATCATTACCGGTACGTAGGTACACGAGGACGGCTAGGACGGCTAGGACGGCTGGCACGGCGGGCACCGCTGTCGGACGATCGATCGGGTAGGGAACCATCCAAAGCTCGGCGACGGTCTGGATCTCCTCGGAGACAGTTGACAAAAGTGAAGGGTTCCTCTTTCAAGAGTAGATAAGGGCGGGTTCTCACTGGTTTCATGACCGTCTCCATCAAGATAGGGACTGGACTCGGGTCTGGACTCAGAGGACCGGCCAGATTCTCTGCATCCTCTGCATCCTCTGCATTTTCTGCATTCTCTGCATTCTCTGGAAGGCCGGGACGGGGACGGAGATACTTCCCGACCAGTATCAGCCTCCTGGAGTATGCATAACTTCTTGTCCAGCCTTGCCGGCATCGGCGCAGCTCAGCTCGAGGTGGCGTCGGCGCAGCAGAGCAGAACTCAATTCTGAGTGCGCGCCAGGGGGCTGGAAATGTATAGTAGAGTAGAGTGAAAGTGGCGATTTACACTTTTCTTCTCAGCCAGCCTCGGGCCCTCGGACGGAACCTTGAATTATAGTGTACTGTAATTATAGTGTATAGTGTAAGGGTTAACCACCTACCTACCTAGGTAGGGCTGTACTCTAGGATACGAGAACAATAAGGTTGTGGCGGCAGAGTCAGTCCCGCTGCTTGCCGATCCAACTGAAAATGCAAACAGCAAGTAAGCTTGCAAGACAAGCTCATGCCTAAGATCCTGGCCCTGTCTTCTTCTTCCCACGACCCAGAGTTGCCCATCGCCCTCTCGCCCTCTCGCCCTCTCGCTCGCGATCATCCTCGCGAACCATGGCGCGGGAAGGATGGCGCAGAACGGAATCCCGACGGTCCAAATGGATCGGAGACGCTTCCAGGAGAAAAGCGGCAGTGAATGGCCCATCCGCAATTACGAGCAAAAGTGGTAGAAAACCGAGCTGGACAGACGCGAATTTGACTTTGTCTTTGAGTTTAGGCATGGTTTTGGCTATGGTCTGATGATAATGAATCGAGTGTGCTGCATGGGTCGTGCTATGCTATTACAGGTTCATTTTCAACTTGGGGCTTCGTATCCGACAGTCTCTTTCAGCTGGATAGGGACGCTTTTTCCAGACATTGACTCACAGCAATTTGCTTCTTTGCTTACTCTTCAACGGCATGTCGGCTTTGGAATCGATCTCCACACGGCGGCCGATGGTCAATCAATCTAATCATTCAATCAATCAGCCATTTCGGGTTTACGAGATAGGGTACAGGGAGGGTCGGTAGAAGAATAAATTCACGCCTCTTCCCTCTTCCACAGCAAGCAGCAAGCAGCAAGTAACTAGCAACTAGCAACTAGCAAAAAGCAAAAAGCCACAAAGCAACAAGGCAACAAGCAACAAGCAAGAACCAACAAGCAAGAACCCGCCAGCAACAAACCACCCACCCACCCCATACGAACCAACATCGCAACCATGGTTCAGAACAAAGGCTTCATCTTCAAACAAGTCCCCAAAGGCGTTCCAGTCCCCGGCCAAGATCTGGTGGTCGAAGCCCGGGACTTTGACCCCGAGCAAGCTCCTCCCTCGGGAGGCATCACCACCAAGAACTTCTTTGCCTCATTCGACCCCTACCAGCGTGGCCTCATGCGCGAGCCAGAGACGAGATCCTACTTCCCAGCATACACCCTCGGCCAGCCCATCACCAACTCCGCAGTCGCCAAGGTCCTGAAATCAGACAGCGCGGATTTCCAGGCCGGGGACCTCGTCTATGGGAACATTCCCACGGAGGAGTACTCGGCGCTGGAGAAGGAGGCGTTGGCGGCCGTGCGGGTGATTGACAACCCGTACAACTTGGATCTGAAGGTCTTCACGGGCGCCCTGGGCATGCCGGGCCTGACCGCCTACTCGTCCCTGTACGAGATTGGCAAGCCGCAGAAGGGCGAGACCATCTTCATCTCGGCTGCCTCGGGCGCCGTGGGTCAGATCGTGGGACAGCTGGCCAAGCACGAAGGGCTCCGGGTCATCGGCTCCGTCGGCTCCGACGAGAAGCTGGACTTCATCATCGACGAGCTGAAATACGACGGGGGCTTCAACTACAAGAAGGAGAACCCGCTCGAGGCCCTGCGGCGACTGGCGCCCGACGGGATCGACATCTACTACGAGAACGTCGGCGGCGAGCAGCTCGAGGTCGCGCTGGAAGTCATGAACGACTTTGGCCGGATCGTCGCCTGTGGCATGGTCTCGGAATACAACAGCGAGCCCGATCAGCGGTACGGCATCCGGAACCTGATGTACATCGTGGCCAAGCGGATCAGTTTCCGGGGCTTCATCGTCGGCGACAAGAACATGGGCCCCTTGCACTTCGAGGAGCAGTACCGGAACGTCTCGAAGTGGCTCCACGATGGGACCTTCAAGGCGCGGATAAGCGTCACGGAGGGGATCGACAATGCGCCGGAGGGCTTCGTGGGCATGCTCCAGGGCAAGAACTTTGGGAAAGCGGTGTTGAAGATTGCGGATCCGGAGGTGAGTAGCGGCGACTCCGAAGACGGGAAAGGTGGTTGCTGATCACATCTTGCAGTGACCAACCTCGGGGAAATGTTTTGCTTCTGCTTTGATGCGACCAGGATAGCGGGCGATACGGGGGGAGTCTCAGGGTGCCAGGGCGGCTGGCTCCGCCCGACGTTTTAATACTTACTGTACTACTACCGTACCACAGTACTGGGCAACGTGTTGGCCACTTAAGCGAGAACGTCAGATTCCATGTTCAATATCCAGCTGTCACTTCTCAACTGCGTATTAAGTACAGATTTAAATCCAACAAAAATGATACCATATGATACCATTTGATTCCTTCGATTCCTTCGATCTCTTTTATTTTTTCGAATTTTTCAATTTTTTTTTTGGCTTGATCATCCGAATGTGTACGGACCTTAATCTTCTCGCCGCGATACAAGCTTTGCCTTCTACCCGGCATACCCCCCCCCCCCTGTCCCCCCAAACCATCGAGCCGTTTAACGACCCCATCCAACCCATCGTTTGCAGCTCACAAAACCAACCTCCCCACCTCTTGCTCTACTGTACGTAGTAATCTGAATCCGAACTCAGCGATCGCAACCTCGGCAACCATCTACTCACGCCTCCTTTTTTTTAAAAAAAAAATTATACATACACATACATATACATACATACACATACACATACACATACATATACACACACATATATCTATAATTTCTCCTGCTATTAAACGTGCTCCACCAGATCCAAACCGCGCGCACAAACCCGCCAACCGATCAACATCAGTAAAACCATAAACAACACTTTCCCTGTCTGCGCTGAGCGAGAGCCGAAGAAGAAGAAGAAGAAGAAGAAGTGGTTCTCACGCCCTCCTGTACGAATACGGAATCGAACGCTTCGTTTCTTGCTATGGTAAGGTTGGTAAGCATACCGGTACCTAGGTACATGCAGTATCTGCGTCGCTGCCCTGCCTCATCGCCGAATTTAAGGGGTGGTACGTAAGAGCTGGTCGGAGCGGCTTTTTTTTTCCCCTTTTTTTTTCCTTTTTTTTGGCCTTGGCGCGTGCGGATGAGGGTTGTTTTTTTTGTTTTTTTTCTTCATACTTTTTACTTTACTTTATGCTTATAAAGAAGGGCCGTTTTGCCTTTGAACCCAAAACTAGCTTCCCGAAAAGACTAAGTAGGTAGCCGATAGAAATTCGGGATTTTTTGGGGGGGGGGGGGGTGTTTGGTTACGTAGTATTTGGTGCAAAAAACGTACTTTTTTTTTTTTTTAGGAAAAGAATCTGTAGGGAGGAAAGGGGCTTTGGGAGGTTGGGTTTGGTTGTAAGAAGTGAGGGGGGGGGGTTGTAAGTACGCCTGGGTAGGTAGGTAAAGATAAGATACAAGTAGCAACTAGTAGTAAATAAGGGGAGTTTTGACCTCGGTGGCTAATTTGGAGCACTTCCTTAAGGTGGGTGGGAAAAATAGACGTTTGGAAGTGAGCATTTCGGTTTGTACGCTAGGTAGCCAAGCTACTACGTACCAACTAGTACTCCGTACGAAGTATAAAGATTAGTCTTGCAGTAGTCCGAAACCATGTGATCGATTTTTACTACTACCCACGGTACAGGCCTAAGTATTACCCCTCGAGGGTGCCTCCAAAGTCTAGTTTCCACTTTAAAACCCCTGTTTTCCGTACCCTCGAGGGGTAATACTTACGCCTGCGACGTAGTACGTAGGACGTAGTAAGTATTTCGCCCTGTTTGACCAACTAAGCAGACTAGCTTAACCGAGCAGTACCTTGACTGTCCTTCGCTTCGCGTCGCTGCACGCCAGAATATAATACATATCCGATGGAAATAAAAACCAGATTATTCTATCTACAAGTAATATTTTGTGACTTTCCCATCAGCCACGATTGTAGCCCGGCAACGCTCTAGCATACCCTTAGCAAGCGCTTGAAGTTCACATTCACATTCGCCGACCTTTTCCTACGTAGGGATACGGAGCGAGGGAGCGTGAAGGTATTGCTCGATTAAGCTAGTCTGCTTAGTGGGTCAACACAGCGGGAATTACTGTAGTTCAACGCTGTACCTCCGTAACAAGGGAGAGGCAGGCTACCGGGACCACTCAGAGAGCCGCGATCCATCGTCAGATTCTCGATACCTACTACTACGTACTTCGGTACAACGAGTTTAAATTAAATACCTTGATACTAGCTTCGTATGTCTATCACGTTTTGATTGAAGTGATTGCAAGGCTCGTTAAAGCCTCAAGCTACCTACCATTTTCGGGCTAGTGTTTCTGCTTCTCAGGACACCGATAACGCTGTAAACAAGGTACGGAATCAGAGGGAAAGTACTACGTAGAAACGGCTGAGAACCTAGCAGTCCCTGCGATCTTTATGATTAAATGAATTGCAAGGAGGCCCCTGGGATCCATCCCCTACAGTACAACAAACACCCCTACTGGTACCGGTACTCACAGCTTGTTGTGGATTTTGCCAAGCTGTTAGCGCATCTTTAAAAAATAACGTGAGTACCGGTAGGTAGGTCTCAAAATATCTTTAAAAAAGATATAATGACGTAGCGAGATCACGAGAAGTCCGCGTCAAAAAATATCTATCGAAATTTCTTGATCAAAACGTCGTTTCTAATTATAAAATTCTTTTTTTACAATCCGCACTTTACAAACTGGGGTTTCTGGAAACCAGTTATTGAGCCACTTTTGACAAACTAGAGTTGGACCAAAAGGACCCCTGGTATGGAATGCATATGGTGCTTAGTTGGATGACCTAGCGGTAGGGCCCGTCTGGTTCACAGCCAGTACGTAAAAACTGGCTCAGATACTGGGGTCTGGAGAAACCTTAGTTTCTGTGGCACGGTTTGTGCCAATCGATATTCTACTACGTACGTGCGGTACCGGTAGTAAGATGACGTTTGAGTTAGGGAAATTGATCGAATTTGCCAAAGGTTTCGACCCGTGTCTCCCGTGACTTCGATGCGTCATGAGTTCGAATAATTTGCCAATCCCTCGTGTCCTCGGGACGGTGTCTTAAGCTTTAAATGAAAGTGGAGTACGAATTCCCAGATTACGGAGGGCAAGACTACCGAGAGTTCGTGGCTTAGCTAGCGTACGAACTCACAAACTGGCTGTACAGTCGGGTCAAAAGGTGGGCTGTACAGTTTTGACGGATTGGTATCGGGTGGCGAAATAGGACGTCGTTTTTGTACAGCCCAGTTTGTGTAGTCGGTTTTAGTTACTTAGCTCTGAACCAAACGCCGAGCACCCCCCCTCGGTATGTAGCGGTATAAGCCGGGCCGGTTTTTACATACTGGCTTTGGAACCGGACGGGCCCTAATGATGCGGGTGCTTTATTTAGTGTTGGAATTGATGAGCCACCACAACTCGTGCGCGTCGACTCGAATATCTCCTTAGTGTCGCGTCCCCTCCCCTTCTTCGGCATTGTCCGTCCCCCTCGGGCGGCGGGAAACATAGGTCCAACGCTCTGCTGCTTCGCAGTGGCGGCCGCGTGACGGCTCTGTCCTCGATTAGCCAGAACAACAGAGGAACTAAGCGCCTCTCTTGGCGCGGATACGTTGTTGGACGATGTTTACGAAAGCGACGCGGGTTGATACCATGACCATTACCTGGACTCTCTTTTCGGAGGCGCTTGGGGGTGGAGGGGAGAATGTGTTGGGGATGGAAGGAGGATGGACTTGTATACTTTGAAAGACTTCGTATGAATCCAGAGATGGGGTTTACGGAGAACCACTCCAGTAAACAAGAGATAGCCTTAAAAGTGAACCTCGCAATAGTCTATCGTTATATTGACGTCTGGGACATATCCTTAGCTACCTTTGTTCGAGCTGGAGCTGGAGCTAGATGCATACACGGTCTTATTGTAGGTCTTTCGAGTCAACATCCCGGATGTGCATCTGGATATCTACTTCATCATTCATGAATTTCGTACCGGCAGCAAGCAGCAACTCCCTCTCTCCTTCTTACTAAATCAACTGATTTTAATCTTTATTACGAAAATACCTTGGGAGTGTGATGAGACTGTGGTTTATGTCACTGGCGTGTTGTGAAGCTGTAGTGTATAGCCGATGTTTACATTTCCTTGTTCCTTCTTCAAAGGGCTTGCTATTTATTCGTTCGGAATTCAATTTGATTGGCTTATTTGTTGTGGTGACTTCGAGTACTTGCTTACTTTTTGTCAGTGGGCTGAAGTAAAGGAATCGGACGTAGTAATGCTCGTCATGCCAGTTAAAAGACTAGGACACCGAAGGAGGAAAAGAATATGTAAGTCAAGATCACGAAGTATTTAGCATAATTTCAACGATGGTTATTTCCTGACTGGTGTGCATGTTTGATTAACGAAAGATCCGGCCCCCGAACTCCTCATATCAAATTCGTAGGTACTTGAAAAGCTTCAACGCCCCCTTTTTTCCAACCCCACACCTCGCTTACAGATCAACGCCCAATCGATGAACAAACAACAAGAAGCTCGGAACAGCTCCCTCCGTCACTAGAAAACCCGGCTTTAATGGACCTCATGCTTAGATGCGGTTTTCGGCGGGTGAAGCTGTGACGGGTGATACTGCATTCCACCAGATGGACTAATATAAACAACACTCTCCAATGACCTATCTCAAAAGGTATCCAGAAAGCACAACGCTATTCCAAGAAGACCAACGTCTCATCTACCGCTACGACGCAGAAGAAGTCTGTAACGAGCGGTGGGGTCACAATGCCTTCCGCGTACGAGCCACCAAAACTCGCAGCACGCCGACCGAAAATTGGGCGCTGCACACACCCACATCCTCAACACCACAGATCTCACTCGGCGAGCACGATGCCAAAAGCACCAACGGGAAGATCACCGCCACCCGCTCAAAGCGCGGAAAGATCATGATGCACAACTCCCAGGCTAGTGTCCCGTTTGCGCTGTCCTCGGCTGGGCTGCGGACTGCTGTGGAACAACCCTCGGATTGGGAGAGCGGTGCTCGGAAAGAACATCATGAGTTCTACGGCGTCTTCTGCCAGTGTTCTGGATTACTGGATTGTGGCGGGCGACACGCCGGCTGAAATGAGGAGGCGTACGCGAGAGCGTCGGGGACGGTGCCGATGAGGCCGGAGTATGGACTCGGGTTTTGGCAGTGCAAGTTGCGGTATCAGACGCAAGAGGAGCTTCTCGGTGTTGCGAGGGAGTACAGGGCGAGGAGTCTTCCGCTCGATCTTATTGTGATAGACTTCTTCTATTGGACCGGCCAGACCCTGGTATGTTCCCTCTCTTGTTATTCTTCGGTCTGGTCGTACGGAGAGGAGGTGTATGCGATTTGCAAGAAGTACATGTTTATGCGGGAAGAAACGAGGGACTACATTCAAGCGCCGATGAGGCAAGCTCACGAGAAGGGAACGCCGGTCGTGAGGCCGTTGCTTTACACGTTTCTGGAAGATAGGACGTGTTGGGAGGTGGAAGTTGAGTATATGTTTGGCGATAGGTATCTCTGCTGCCCGGTGCTGGCGCCTGGGCTGAGGAGGAGGGATTTTTATCTGCCGAAAGGATGTAGATGGAAGACTTGGGATGCGAGGCAGGATTATGAAGGCGGGAAGGTCATCGAGGCGGAATTTCCTCTTGATATGATGCCGGTGTTCGAGCGACAGTGAGCTGAACCGCGTTGAGGGTAAATTGATAGACAAGATGCACTTACAGACTCTGGACTTGAAATATCCCGTGAGCCACATCTGTATTCCTTCGATGCTTCCCTAGATTTTATGATCAGTTGAAACCCATAGATCGGCCCTGTTTGCAAAGATAATTTCCGTCGGTATTCGCTCCTGCCGTTTGCGTCTCCAAGACTTGCTAGAATGGAATTTTCTCCTGTTTAAATCCCAGAGCAGAGGCACAGGACAGAGAGAACCATAAAACTATTTTTATTACTGAATTACTACCGGTCTATCGCTTAGCAACATATCATACTTGCACTACCTTCCGAGTATGTTATATAAACTTCGCTCAACGAAGATCAGTACGCTGTCCCGTTGATGAAGGCGTTGCCGTGTCGTCGGATAGTTCCGTCTAGGCCGCTGCCTGTGGCGTCATAGCGCAGAAATACACGGTTATTCGTGTTGTTATCGCACCGTTTTTATGTTGATTCTCTCCTCCTACATTACGGTGTGGCCATCGAGACGTTTTGGGGGAAGTGATCCAACCTCATTTCATGTTTCCAGACCCATGCTAAGGCGGGCGCTGGCTCATGATGGACTTCACCCTTTGCGGCTGATGTGCTAGTACATTTGTTTGCTTCTCAAGACTATTGGAATATGTCCCAAGAAATTATGAAACGTTTTACTACACGTTGATCATGTTACGAACGTTTGTCTAGCCTAGCATAGCTTCCCAGGCCTGTGGAAGTGGGAGGTGGCAGAATTTGGGACTGCTTGTTCCTAATGCGTGAAACAAGTTATGAGAAGAAGATGCTTGTTATAAGGAAGGTATAACTGGTACATTATTTGTTAGATTGAATTTGCTGGAGGACAGTTTGTATCCCATTCAAAGAGCGACATCGTTGCTTGCATCACATCATTGTTTACTGCAGGGATATTTGCTCACTTGTGAGATCAGCGACCTAATATTTGAGATTTTGCAAGGTTTTGCTCTACGAATAATAGAAGGAGGACTCTTATCAACCTTAATGGCGGGGGATTACAATATCAAATTTAGTTTTCAAAGCTCAAGATTGGGGTGACCAGGCTTCTCGAACCCCAAAGTTGGTGGGACGAGTACGCGCAGGTACTTTTTATATTATGGAGAACATATCTGCTTGCTGTGTGTACCTATTGTGCCTACCAGATGAGAGCAGGAGAGTCACGAGGTATACTAAGCCTTAGCTTTAAATTAAGCGAAGATAAGATTTTGAATTCTCTTGTGCTTCGGTGCAGGGGGCCTACGGGCCATTGTGCTTTGGCTCTCGAAGCTGAACATAAAGGTCTCATCTGCAAATATATATCCATATCAACCTTCTATTAGCGTCACGTGAAGATTGACCACGTGAAGGTGGTTTTCTTTCCATTCAGCATAGACAACCTTCACCTCCACAACACTGCGACTGACGTGACCTCTGAAACACACGAACAACTTCGCAGCGATGAGATCTACCAAGTATTTATTTCTCCTCGCCGGCCGCTCCAGGAGGGCAATGCTGATACATTGGTAGATCGCGGAAGGGCCGGGCCCTCGCTGAGGCAAACGGAATACCAGCATTTGTGCGCCTCGATCTGCTATCCTTTGACGAGCTGCAGGAGATATCGTGGGAACTTGAAGAGAAGGTTTTCACTTCCGGTAGAGCCATTAGCAAGCCAGCGTATGTCCGCCAACTTAAGGATATCAAGATCGACGAATTGAAGGAGTTCACAAAGAAGATCGAAAACTTGGCTGAAGATCCAACCTGCGGTGGGCTGGACCACCCGACCAAACTTCTTATACACAAGGAAGTGCTCCGCAGGATTGCCTCTTACCAAGAGCAAATAGAAACCAGCAAGAGATCGCATGAGAAGAGAATCAGGATCCCATATACACAATCATTCAACAAGAGGGTTGCGTCGCAGACGGACAGCTTTATCAGAAGTCCTTCTTGGCCACATGATCGAAAGCGTATCAACAATACCGATTTTGCAATGAATGAGGCTATCAAGTGGGGCAGAGAGGCACCTGGATTCACTTTCGGAAACCCACAGGCTCGAGAACGTGAGCAGCTGGTATGCAGATTGCGTTCCTAGGTACAGATTTCTTCTGATGGGAAGCAGCGTCAGCAGAAGCAGCTGTTCAGGGCGAAGATCAGGGATAAGAACGGAAAACGTCCGGTGAGTTGCCAGCAGTTCCCAGGCGTTGACGGTATGCCAATATTCATAGTACATCAAGATGTTCAGGAGGGTGAGACTCGAGAAGAAAGTTTCTCATAAGGGCAAAACCTTCTTGACGCAATGATGCGTTAGCTGTGTCTTGATGGGATCTACATGTGGTTTGCGGTGGGTTGCGGTGATACTGGTGGTGGGTGATGTTAACGCTTCCACCAGCAAGACATTGGCCGCCATTGACGCGGATCTATACAGCAATTCCATCAACAAGGGACCAGAGATGTATAATTCCCCTCGCACCCACCCCCGTGCAGGCACTTACCATATACCCTGTGTAGAAAGTCCCGCTTCACGCGCAACTCGGCCCTGTCCCCGAATCATTGTGTATTCTCGAGGTCCAGCCATCCATGGGGGTTACTTACAAGCCTGGTACATATGACCATGAGTTCTACAGTGGTTACGGCCCAGAGCAGAAAGCAAATTCAATACAAGAGGAACGGTATCCACTCATGTTCTCTTATGCTCATATTTTGGAACCCAATTTCTTCTTGAGAAGATCTTTCTTGCCATTGTGCTTTGGCCCTCGTGGCTGATCATGAAGGCTATACAAGAAACCCTCTACCTCTTCTAGAGCATGCTTGCGGGATGTGTGCGCTGTATTCGTAGCCCATGGTAAAATAATAGCAAGCCCCCATGTTTTACCTTCCTCTTTGATTCCACCTGCTCCTTTGACGCTTGGAGATGGAAGCCCAGATTTTATAGAGTCCGGCGGCCTTCTTACACTCTCACCTTACTGTCTTCGGATAATCTGCGGACCGGGCCTTAAGACCTAGGGTTCGAATTTCGCATCTCGCCATCGATGTGAAGCTCAAGTCTCCTTCAACTTTGCGACGAGACGATACCCGACAACCTTACAAAGCACTCCACGCCTTCATCTACCACCAGCGCGTCTACAAGATGTACCTCATTCGACTACCAAGCTTTGGCCTCATGCCATTAACTGTGAAGTGGTCGGAGCTGACATGGGAGGAGTTGGTCGATGAGTTCGGCAGGAAGGGTGTTCTGACCGGCGACACCAAGCCCAACCTCAGAACCTTAAAAGAAGGCATGATCGGTCTGTACATGGAAGAGAAGCGGGCGCACGAGTACTGGCTCAGCGAGACCAAGGAGCTCATCCAGTTCGGACACCCGGAACATGCTTCTGAGGACTTCCACTTCTTGCAGCGAATGGTGAAGAACAAGCTGGCTCGCAGCTTGGTGGATTGCGACAAGACCATCCTTACTCACGCTCTTGCCATCGCTGAATTCCCTACGGGTAGTAGCGGTTTTATCGAAGGCGAGATTGACCGGCTGCGTGAGAGGCTTTCGGCAAGATTGGAGTTCTTGGAGACCGATGTTGCTTTTTCTCTGGCCGCCGTTGCGCAAACCCGACACGATAGAGATGGTCAACGTCGGAGTGAGATTTCCACAGTCCTTAGAAGCTTTGCTTATATACTGACATGGACAACAGCAAGAGCCAACGGCCGTCCCCTTTGATCGAAGCAAGAAGTCCCACAAGAACGCCGACATTCCCGAACAGGCACGCAATCACGAATCGCTCAGCAGACCACCCCGCGTGTTGGACAAATGTTGGTTTAAGAATCTGGGAGGGGTGTGGAAGAAGGTACTACGAAGCTATATCTGGAGGTCGAATGGTGGATATAGACATAGCTTCATTTCAAAAGTGCAGAGCTTCTTGAAGCAATGCAAGTCTATGGATCGGAAGTGACTCCATAGATCGGAAGTGACTCTGCTACGCTATAAGAATGAAAGCTTGAAACTGATTCCTCGTGCCTCGACGATTGTGAAAACCGATTGCGTGGCCGTCATTCTGCACTCTGCCACCTCTGCTTCAGAGTACAGCGAAGGTGCGAGAAGTCAGGCACCAAGTATCTCATTTGTGAGACAAACCGTCATAAGAAGCAGCGGCGGTCTGTTCAGACACCTTCAGCAAGTGCGGCTACAGGAGACCATTATATTCATATACCGTGGAATCATATCAAGCTACTAGCAGCAATACACTCGTACTTTTGAACCGGTGCCCGCAGAAGTAAACAACGAAAAGCACTTGTTTTTCGAACCTTTCCAACTCAACCTCACTCGTGGTGACAAACTACACTCCTTATCAGTTCCCCAAAGAAGAGCGTGAGGAGGCCTAGAAAGCCAGCATTCCAAGTGCAATGTCTGCCAGAACTGCCAGTTACAAGTTCGTCCTGCAGCAGGCCGCATAGAAATGTAACCTTTCTAGGAGATTCATAGAACGACTGGTTTCGATTCTGCTTGCTACGTTATGCTAATCCTGATCTGAGAGCTCTGGGTTCATACGCAGCAGCACTGTGTTCATCTGCTGAATTCACAACAATAGGAGTAAGCTGTGTGGAGGGCATCATATAAATACGAGCATTGCATACTATCACGCGCGTGGTAATGTAGATTTGCAGCATCTAGGGGTAGCAAGCATGAAACGAGCTCTACAATTTCTACATTTCTCTCTGCACCGTTGTGCGAGCAAGAAGTACGATATTGCACCGGCAAAATCAAACATTCGGGCTGTATTTAAGTCTCTGCGGGATTGATCTGGCCGATCACCAAAACAGGGGTCTTGAAACACGTGACCTGGGGCGGGTACTCCCGCACTTAGTTTGTTGTGATCTGATCTTAGCGTCGTCCCGATCAAGAAAGAACTAGTATATAATACCCCGACCAACGTCGACCGTAACAGGAACTTTCTTGTTCAGACATCGAGCATCTTGCACACAACCGGTAAGTATCTGTTCCAATTCAATTGTGCAACTTGCACGAGTCGATTGTGCAGTTCAATTGTGCAGTTCAATTATGCAATTCCATTGTGTAATTCAATTGTGCAGTTCAATTGCGCCGTTCCATTGTGCAATTCACTAGTGCAGCTCAATTGAGCGAAACGAGGCTAACGCGCACACAGCCAAAATGAAGGGCCTTCGCAAATTCCACGACTGCACCCAAGACGACCTCATCAACTCAGCCAACCTTCGCGGCCTCGATACAACCGGCACCCGCACCGTACTCATCGCCCGTCTGTACGACTTCGATCTCGACAAGATGAAGAGAGGATACCGAGCCCGAGTCATTGAGGACCTCGAGAGCCATTCCGATGCTGCAATGCGCAAGTCCCGCATCAACCACATCCACAACAGCGTGGTCCAGGCCGCAACTGCCGCGTTCCAGGCGGAGCGAGCATACCTGAATCAGCGTATGGCCAATGCCGAACAAGATCTCCAGGACAAGGTGAAGTCAGCTGAGGATTTTGTTCGGGTCGAGAGCGCCGTGCTTGCAAAAGCTATCGAGGACATGGAGAAGCGCAAGCAAGAGATGAGATTGGCTAGGACCGCGGCGAGATTGGCTATGAACGCGGAGAGATTGGCTAGGTCGGCGGAGGTAAGAGCATGCCTTGACAAAATTGAGAGGAGCTAACACATTTCCAGCGACAGAGAACTGTCAGATCCAACTCATCCGACAGCAACACTCGCAGACAACTTCACAGCTCCCCAAAGAATGATAGCGAAGCCTGATGATGGGATATGATGGATTGACAATGTGCTGGGTCTGAATGGGGACAGTTATTTGTGGATGCGGAAAACTTTACTTTGTAACACTGTACATTGCAAAATGGCAGGTTTATGGAACGGTAGTTTTGACTTCACAGAATGGTACACCCCACTACACAGACTTGAGTACTATCATGACTTCGATGTTCCTGTGAGACGTGAGATAACCTGCAATGTTCTTGGTGTGCTCTCAAAGCTGCCCGCGAAGCTGCCGAAAGACTTCTTGACCACGAGAATGGGTGAACTGTATCTCAATCATTCGCAAGAAACCCTGGGATGGCAAACTACTAGCACATCACAGGTATTTCTGGATCATCGGGAGAATACCGCTACCAGGCATAGCCTACCTCCACCTCCACAAAACCTCGGGAAAGCAAGCAATGGCGGCACCCGCACGAAAATGCAAAAGTATCAATCAAGCCACAAAGAATCCCACTAGGGCTAAAGATCAAAACTCCCCATATCATTGCTACGCTACATGGTACCAGCGAGGGTAAGATCTAACATGCTGCCATCATGTCGTCTCGAGAGATTCTCGGCCCCGAGCCCCCTTCAAGGGTCACCAGCAGAATCCCCGCTTTCACCCGGTGCGGCATTCTCTTCGGTCCCAGGTTGCGTCCAATCTAAAGCAGATGCCCTGCCAATGTAGTTGAGGCCGTATTTGACCTCTACGATTGAGACCATAGGCTGCCTCCATTGGGGAGCCGCAGTCTGCTGCTCAGCGAAGTCGACCTCTACCTGTTCAAAATACGAATACCAGGAGTCCCAGTGATCTTGGCTGTGCTTTGCGCTCTCAAAATGAATATCCCCTACGTGGCGAAAGTAGCCTTTGGAAATCCGCCCCATTGCCTCCTCCTCTTGATAGCTCAGCCATACCTCTTCCTCTTCAAGATCCTCTGAAGCTCCTCTTCCCGGGACATCTCCAGAGATCCAGGTAGTCCCCTCGTCGTCTTGATCATCCTCGTCTTCCTCGTCATCTTCAGCATCAAGACGGTCCATTACCTCGTTTGGTTCTCCACTTGGCGTAAGAGGGAACTGGCCGTCGAAATCGATTTCTTCCCAGTCACTCTCGTCATAATAGTCTCCACCATCTTCCATTAACACCAGACTAAGATGAGAAAGGCCCCCCATTTTCCGTAGCACTGCCCCGGGGCCATCCAACAAACTGGGGAACAATTCGTGTACCTGCTTTAGACCCATATAAACATCGTTTGTTAAAGCCACCCGCTTGATCCTCCCCACGTAGTCCGAGTCCATGAAAACGCTTCTGGGTTTCCGCAAAGTGAAGACCGGATCACTGATAAAAATTGTATCTTCCTCCAAATCTACCCATGTTTCCAGCATTCTCGTGTATGGCTTCAATGCCTCCTGCCGTGCTTCTCTGCAGACGGGTATGATCTTGGGAAGACCACCACAAGCGTCAGGATAGGACCGCCACTCTTCTGCCTCAGGGTTGTAAGCTATCTGGATGACGCGGGGGCGACTCGGTGCTGCAAACGCCCATATCTGACAGCGAATTTCAACAGGGAGGCATGAAAACTTGGTAAATACGGGTAGAATTATAGAGGCAGACGAGGAGGGTGAAGCCATGATTTCAAGTTTCCCATGGCCGAGAGTTGGTGTCGGTTGCTAGAGTCGAGTATGAGAGTGAGGCGAGAAATTTCGACGTCAAAAAAAGAATGGCGCTAAAATCGCCAAGGCGCTACTAGTAACTGTTCGGCCGCAGCACCCGCTTCGACTTTGAACGACATTTGAGAATCGAGTTCACATCACGGAAAGCCTGAGTAGATAATCGCTCTTGGATCTTGGATTCGGGATTCGTACTTCATTGCTCTCAGTCTTTTCTTTCCAGTTTGTCATTGCTCTCTAATCGGTCTGTTGCGCATCCAGAAACTCTCCAGAAACTCCTCCTCGACCATCCACCAAGAAGCGGCCGCCCGCAGCGCCCACTCGATCGGGCCATGTCTCTCCAGTACGGAGGCCTGAATCCAAATACTTCCAACCATGGAAATCAAGAATACCAAGTTCCAAAGGCAAATCAAGCATGCATGTCATGCCGGAAACAAAAGCGTAAATGCAACAAAGCTCTGCCAGCATGCTCTCTTTGCGAGCGTATGCAGCGAATATGCGACTACAGCGACAACCCGCCTACCCCTACTAATGATGACTTCGACGCTTTGCGAATGAAGGTTATGCAGCTCGAGGCCACTTTAAATGGAAGAAATGCCCTCATGGGCCAGCCTAGTCCTTATGCTGCCCCATCTCCTGCTACCATGGCACCCCCGGACGGTCTTGGTCATCAGGTTCCCGCGTACAGTTCTCCTCACGATATCCCATGGCAAGGTGTACAAAATAGATTTCCTGCTATTGCTTTCCTTGATAGTGAGACTTTCAAGTACGGAGGGTATGTGAAAAGTCAGTCTTTGTTACAAGAATATAATAGCTAATGAAGATAGCATTGCTGTCCCTACGCCAAGTGTCGAAATACCAGGAGTAAGTCCACCTACCACCCCTCGAAGTTTCGACTTCAAAGGGCTGACTTGTGTAGGATGTTATCCAAATCCTAAGAGATGGTACCGAAATCCAGGAAATCATTACGACCTACTTCAACTCTGTCCACAAATGGATGCCCATTGTCTCACAAAAGCGCCTGACTCAAAACTTGGCAAATCCTTTGTGGGAAGCCGGGCCAGATCTAGCTCTTCTCTTCCTCTGCATGAAGCTCATCATATCTAGACCACAAGATGGCATTGAATGCTCTCATAACCCCATCTACACCTCTGCTAAGCGATTCGTTGCCTTGATGGAAGCGACGGGCACCACATCTCTCCTTGTGCTTCAAGCCAATCTCCTAGTCACCTGGTTCGAGTACGGTCAGGCCATTTATCCGGCGGCTTCGATGTCTGCTGGATGGTGCATGAGGTATGGGAATATGCTTGGTATCAATGGCAGCAACGAGGCTGCTCAATTGCTCGGACAGCCGGTAAGCTTGCTCCCTCTACACTGGGAAACAAGTACTTACTTCGTTCTAGGGTAGCTGGGCCGAGCAAGAAGAGCGCAGACGAACCTGGTGGGGAGTCCTCTTAGCTGATAGGTAAGCTCTGGTACACATTCCGAATGTCGATTTGCTTATATTCTACAGAATTGTGTCTATCGGCAGCCAATCATACATCATCAACAGCCAAGAGCCCTTAGCCAACGACCCTCTGCCAGCTCACGACTATGCCTGGGTAGGTGCACCACCCACCCAAATCCTCTTCACCTCTAACCCTTCTCCAGGAAAACGGCGAGATGTCAGCCTCCATCGTCCGCACAGTTAACACACCCATCTCCGAGTCCGTCGCCCCCTTCCCCCGCCTCTGCCAGGCCTCTATCATGATGGGCCGCGTCCTCGCCCACCTCTACAGCAGCTCCCACCTCGAAGAGAAGCTCCGCCTCCTCCACGCCTCAAACCTCCACGCGGACATCTCCAACCTCATTCGCATCATCACCGACGAATCAGCCAGCACAAAAGACTACCTCGGTCTCTGCGCCCCGCTCGCTCTCGCCTACAGCACGCTCTGCCTTCTCTGCGACAAATACTCCTGCCAGACCTCAAGCACCTCTGTACCAATCACGAGCTCGGAAGGAGCAGCTATGCAGACGCAGGCGGCAGAGACACTGCGCAGTGTATCTGCCAGCATCGTGGAATTCGCGCAGCAGCTTGATGGCGCGACACCCGAGACGGCAGATCTGGATATGGTCAGCCCGATCATCATGGATGCGATGTACTCTTCAGCGGCGAACTATGCGTGGATGGTGAGAGAGAGTGGCGACGAGGGGTGCCAAATGGCCTTGGATTCAATGAGGGATTCCTTGCGGCGATTGGGGATTAGGTGGCGATGTGCAGCCGAGTACTTGCGAATCCTGGAGGGCAAGGAGTTCATGTATGCGGTCGGTACCGCGGCTTCTTGAGAGGATTGGGCGGGGTAGTCTGGATGGGTAATCTGGGTTTTATGTCGCCGTTTGGTCTTGGGAGTTGGGATCTCGCAGCAGCAGGCGGCTGTAGCCATGTGCGTACATGGAGACTCGAGTGTCTTCTTCGATCTGTCTTGTTGATACTTCACTGTATACCCAAGCTCCTTCAGATACAACCGCTTTCTACGAATCAGAGAAATTCTGTATACTTCACCTCCCTACCTCCCTTTATGATTCGAAGACTCCTCCAACGCCGTGCCAATCAGTCTGTAGATGTCCCGAAACACCTGGCCTCGAGCAGCTCCTCATTCATCGGCCTTATGCGGCGCATACGTCAACCAATTTTCCGTATCCTTTTACGTCTTCGCCTCATACCTCTCTCTCTCTACGGTCCTTTAAATTGTCCCAATCTAGTACTGCTGCTAGTATGCCGCACGTTTCTCGCCACGTTCATATGAGCTCCCGAATTTGCTCCTCAAATCAACCGCTTGTAGACGAGTAGGAACGACCACCCACCACAGACACTATGCAAAAGAAGTAGAAGAACGGACGAAAAGACGAACAGTCTTCGCGGCCAAATATCCGTATCAGGTAAGGAACTTCCCTCCGTGCTCCGTCCCGTAGATGACAGCGCATCGGTAAAAACCGGTTTGTAATCAACCAGAGAGCCGGCTCGGATCGAAACGGAAACGTCGGACTTGTTGAGCTACCGGAACTACTTCGGACGCTGTGTTGTGTTGCAAGAGCGTACTTCGCGGATGTCAGTAGCTGTTCAGACGACGCATTATTAGATGCGTCATGGAAGCCCGCTTCGACGACCGACTTGAATCAAATTTACTGCAGACAAGACTAAAGGGATGTTTGATGTTGGGATGGCTCGCTAGAGCCTTTAGGCGCACATATAACTCAATCCAGCTGCGACCTGTATACCATTTCGAGAGTTCTATGAGATCATCTTTGCCTAAAGACCTATGAGTGAACCCGGGTAGATTGACATCATCAACTGAAAAGCCAGTCCGCTATTTCCCATCCGGTGCCGGGTATAGCGGCCAGTCGAACGCAACGCTTGAGGGTTGTGAGTGGGATGGCAGCTGTTTTGGTGGAGCTCTAGGCCGTTTGTGTAACACTCGCCTCACCCAATCGAAATTGACTACAGCTTACCTAGGTAGATGTAGGGCACGCTGTCGAGGTGGATGAAGACTATTGCATCAATCCTGGGTCATGGGAAGCCTGTCTAATATTCTGTGCCGTCTATGTATTGGTACAAGTCGGGAAATCCATCCTCGGATCCTTATCTAGAACTTGTAGACTTGGTCCTTTTTGTAACCCAATTGCTCGAGGATGCTGCCATCAAGCTCGCCCTGGTCCGAAGGAGACTTCTTGACGCCAGAGATAGCCTTGTACATAGGAGGTGGACCGCATACAAAGATCTTGATGTTCTCTTCTTTTGGCTCAGGAAGAACAGTCTTCAAGAGCTCCTTGGTGATGTATCCACTTCCACCAGTCCATCCCTTTGCGGGCTTATCCAAAACATAGAAGGCTCGGAATCGCTGGGGGTAGGTGTTCTCCAGTTCTGCCAACTCCTTCTTCAACAAGATGTCCTCCTCGGTAACATTGGCAAAGACAAGTGTGACCTTGGTCTTGTCGTCTGGGTTGTTGAAGATAGCGCGGGCAACCTGGTACATGGGTGTAATCCCAGTTCCTCCGGCGATAAGTGCTACGTGAGAGTGCTTGTTTGGGGTCCATGCGTATTTCGGGATTGGACCCTTGAAGTCGAGTCTTTGTCCCGGGACCATATCGTGCATGTGCCCAGACATTACTCCACCGGGGTATTTCTTCACCAAGAGATCCAGGAATCCGAGATCACCTCCACCAAGTCAGCAATTGGTACTTACAGCCGGCAAGAGGAACATACCCTCATCGTTTACTGGGGTATAAGGTCTAATGGCGGGCTTCTCCATCTCCGGGCCCTTGTATTTGGTAAGGAGGGCGGACGCAACGGCCAGTCCGCTTACTTGGTCTTCCTCGGGCAGGGCGAATCGGAACTTCTTGGTGTTGTGGTTGATGTTCTCAACACTGTCCAACTTCAAGCTGATGAAGCCTTGATCTCCTCCCGTGAACGCAGACTTTGCAGTTGCTCCGTCCACCTTCGCCTTTGCAGCAGCGACAGCGCCTTTGGCCTTGGCTTCGGCATCTTTCGCCGCATCCTTCACTTGTGCCGCATTGTCTCCTTGATTATAGAAATAATATCCCCCTCCTGCCAAGAGGGCAGCGACACCAGCATACAGAAGGGTGTTGGATCCTCCGCTGGATGGTTCGGTGGCGTATCGACGAGTTTGCTGGGTGAGGAAGGCAGGTTAGCTAGGCTGACTCGACCGAAGGTTGAACGTTGATGCGCTGAGCTTTGGCTGTGAAGTACTCACCGTCTTCAGGGGCTGAGCCGCTCTGAAAGCTTGTCTTGCAAACATGATGGATATCTGGGTGGGTATCTGGGTATCTGGGTATCGGGAAAACTTCAATTGATTAATTTGTTTGGGAGGAGCTGTAAGATGGTGAAAATTCACCTGGGATGACGTCGGCACACCAGCCCGAGCTCCAGCCAGCTTACTTAATTAAGTGCCTACCTAGTCTTATGTAATAAAGTATTTTTGTTAGCGTGGGTCACCCACGCTAATACCTAGGTAATGCCCGAAAATCGAAAAACACTGTATAAATACAGTTAAATACAGTAAGTATTCAATTGACGAGCCACTCCCTTCGGATTATGCTACTTGCTCAGTGTATCACGATATCCTTGGATATTCCAAGCTTCCCAAAGAATGACATCGTCCCAACGATCCTTTAGCTCATCTTCTGATTCATAGCATTTGGCCTCAATGTCTTTCTTGAGTCTACATCAAATCTACTTTACAATTTACTTCCTTACTCATTTCGACTTTGCTTTGTTATGTCGGGCTTTATATCGCCCGCGATCTTTAAGTGCTTCAGCCACCTTGCGAGCATGTCATGTTTCATCGTTTATCAATTGCGCATTCGATTCAATCTGCGTCGCCTTCTTTGCCCAGCACATCTTCGCCATGAACAAGATTTCTAAATTATAGAGTCCGGTTGGATATTGCTCTCGAGTTGAGAGTTTGGCCTCTGATAAAAAATATTGCTGGGAAGAAGCAAAAGCTATAGAGAAATTCTCTACACAAGCTGGATTCGTCGAACAAGGTCGAGAGTTGAAAAAGACCATTTGGGAAAAGCGAGAGTATGAATAAATTGGATGTCGCAAGCTTTGGCAGCTGTCTAGAATTAAAATGACCTCGAAACCAGCTACGTGCTGTTCCGGGTCGAGCTTCAAGAAAACTCTGCGGCTACTGGAACACAGCGAGTATCGGAGAGACCGAATAAAGGCGCTAGATCATGGACGAATTTTGAAGACACAAACCTGCCGATGCAGTGCTCTGAGGTGGTCTCGGTTCGCACGAGCCATGTTATCCCCTTGAATTAGCGAGTATTCAAAGGCTCTTTGTTGTCTTGAGACAACCGACCCAAGGATAGCTAAACTACCATGATATCAATGCTGAGTATACAAGTATATGAGATTCGCTACAGAAGCCGGTCTTCATCATCATTCTCGGTCTCATCCATCTTCTCTTTAGCATCAGTCTTCCCTTCCTTTCCTACCTTTCTTCTCCTATTGACTTCGTCATCAGCGCCGGTCGCTTTTTCCTATCACTTAGTCGTCTTCAATCGCTTTAATCTTGCAACACACTTATCGACTCTATACTCAGCTCCACACCACCAGATCCATCCCTCTCCATCCCTCCACAACCATGTCCTCCTCACCCTGCCTTCTCATCCCCGCCACCTCTCCCAAGCGGAACCCGATGATCCGCAGCCACACGTGGATCCCCCTCGCGCACACCCCGCTCGAGATCCGCACGCGCCTCACGACAAACAAAACCTCCTTCGTCGACCGCTCCATCGACCGCTTCCACCACCGCTCCTTCCAGAACCTCCCGCTCCGCGCCGGCAGCAGCAGTCCACACCACAGCTCCTCCCCCTCCGAGCCGCTGCTACGGGAGTACTTCCACGCCTTCAACGCCCTGTTCTTCTTCAACGCCCTATCACCCACCTTCTGCACCTTCGTCGTCATGGGCCGCAACTGCGAGCAGTGGCGGCGCGAGTTCGCGTCGGGCGGGCCGCAGCGGCGCGGTGCGACGCTGAAGCGGGCCCAGCCGGGCCTGCGCTGGCGGGCGCAGGTCGAAGTCGGCATCGTGGTGTTCGAGCCGGTGGACGCGCGCATCGGGGCCGCGGAGAAGCTGAGGCGCTGTCTGGGTGCCATGTCGGCGGAGATGGTGCGGGCTTTCTTGGGTATCTACGCGTGCGCGTGTGAGCGCTGCGGTGCGCGGGATGGGGCGGCTGCGGAGGAGGCCTGGGGGGTAGTGGCGGTGTGGATGGAGGGATTTGCGAGGGAGAGGTTGGGCTTGGAGCTGGATGTTGTGGGGGATTGTGGGCTGGTGGTTGAGAGGGAGTGGTTTTGTGCTTTTTGAGACGCCGTGGTGGTGGTGGTTAATGCATGCAAAAAAGAGCCTGTTGCTGTTGGGAGCGAGTGCAGCAGGGCTGCGGGAGTGGAACATATACATACATACATACATACATATAATTTCTAATAGTATCATCTGCTATCTACATCTATAAATATAAGATGCTAATTCATAATCGAGTCTAAACAGATAGGTAAGTCATTCAACCCCCGAAAAATCCCGCACCATGACATCTCCCTACTTCATCTAAATCCTATCCATCCGCTCCTCCCGAGAAGATCCAACTGCTCTAGAAATCAAGACAGAGATTCCATTTCCTCCCACATTTCAAATTCAACACCGCAATCTATAACACCAGAATCGCCCGCCGTCTAGTATAATAACTCAAAAGACCAATAAAACCTCTGCGTCCTAAGTGGCAGGATGGGATTTTACACAGACGCATCTCCCTCCCTCCCTCCCCCTCTCGCTCTCTCTCTTTAGATGAAATGCCACTACCTAGTTTTAGCGGCCTGTATCTTCACGAATGCCAGTCGATTCTCATAGTATACGGAGTGTGAGGAACCCTAGTACCGATATTCCAAAGCCCCTCGAGCTCTGCTCTGTTCTTGAATATGCCTAGTCTACTCCTTATGGCTGGCTTCCTCGCCACTCAAGAAGCCACTCCTACTCCCCAACGCCCTCGTCCGAGTCCAACACGTGGAAGACACCTGGTCGTGTGGCACTGGATAGGGAGAAGGAACGAGTACGCAGTCCTAGCGATTCCAAGATGGAGTAGTGTTTTCTTTCACCTCATTAATTTGTATATATATAGAATCGCTTGAAATCCATAAACAGAAGAGAGAGAGAAGAAATACAGTGGTATATTATAGCCTTGCTTCCCGCTCTCGCGATTTCCAGCACACACCAAGCGGATCCTGACAGCCCCAAACTCTCACTCATCCTAGGACGCCTTATCCTCAATGGCCCTCGCCGACTTCTCCTCATTCGCCACAATCGGCGTCTCGCTTCCCCCTTCCTTGCCCACAACATAGGTAGCCTCGGGGCGGTGGAACCTCGAAGGGTGTTGCTTGCCCGTAGTATCGAGCCAGATGGACCTGGCCGTGAACCAGAGGTCCTGACGTCCCTCCCAGACAGGGAATACACCCACGCACATCAGGGAGCCGATGAGCCAGATGATGCCCACAATAACCCACCCGGAGAAGAACTTCTCGCTGAACACGTACCCCGTCCCGTACATCGGCATCGGCCACAGGATCAACAACGCCAGTGTGAGGACTACGGTCATGGTCTTGGCGATTTTGGAGGCGCGCAGGAGCTTGTTTTGCTCGATGGCCATTTCGGATGCGGAGATGTTGGTTTGGCCAGGCACGAGCTCGAGGTCGATGTGTGCTTCGGCGGCCATGTCGTGGTCATCGCCTTTGCGGATGGCGGCCATGGAGGCCCAGTCGTACTTTTCAAGACCGAAGATCAAGGTGAAGAGCGGGGTAAAGATGAGGGGCGAGAGAAGTGCCGTTACGTTACCAGCTAGCATGGGATTGTTGGAGCCAGTGCTGATTTGGTTGTTAGTATAAATCTTCCCGAGCATCTTTACGATCTCAGAGATCCCGAGCTCGCTTCGGTAATGGGTTGGAAAATGCACCAGGATGTACGTACCAGTCGACATCAAGCTTTCCGCAGGTCTTGGAGGCAGTCACCAACCAAGCGATGAGAGCGCAAGCAAGACCGCAAGGAGGCGTTAACGTGGCGGCCCATTTATTGTGTCCTGCCCACATCAGCGTAAGAGTGGAGGGAATGACGGCTGACGAGATTATGACACCCATCATCAAATATAGGTATCCCATCGAAATGCCAGCGTAGTGCACTAGTACTCTTCAGCTTGAATTTGAAAATAGAAGAAGGAAATCTTTACAGCCAACCGAGAAAGACGCTATGAATAAGCCGAATCCAATGACCATCGAGTGAGACATGTATATCAATTTCTTTCCGCTTGCGCCAGGGTTGAAGTATGTCTGGTAGATGTCGTATGTGAAGATGGACGAAACGGCGATGAGCTCAGCAGAAGACGCGGAGGTAACGGCCATAAAAACAATCAGCAGCGTGCACACTGCCCCACTTTGACCGAGCAGGGCAACAGCAGCATACGGCAAGACGAGACCAGCAGAAATATCGGCGTCATCCATACGGTTTGGGTATGTTGGAAAAGCCGGGTTTCCCTCGAGAGCGAGACCAGCGAGACCCATAGTAGTTGCACAGAGCCATGGGATAGCGAACCAGGAAAGTCCACCCATGATGTACCCGGGAAGAGCGTGCACTGGAGACGCCGCAATGGCTTTATTATAGTACCCGTTGTCAAGGAAGACAGTTCCGAAGTTACCAACAATGTTGATTACGAAGAAGATGGCTCCTTCTTTTGATCTCATAGTGAGATAACTGCCCCTTGCGTTGCCCTCGACGGGATGCTCGGCAGCTGCTTTGACAAGGAGGTCGAAGACGGCCTTTGGGGAACCAAGAACGTCGCTGGTGGCATAGGTTGTGAATGCAAAAATCAAGATGATGATCAGGAGGATGAAAGTATGGACCCTGTATCAGATGATCAGACGATTTCTTCAAGCATTTGAGCTCAAGGATGCGTTACCAATCAGTGAGAAAAGTAGCCTTGATACCACCAAACATAGTGTACATCACAACACCAAGTGGCAGCAAAAAGCATGCTGCGGCTGTCGGCATTCCAGTCAAGGAAGACACCACTGCAGAGCCTCCAGTCAACAGCATTGCCGTAACCAGAATGTTGGTCATGAGTCCAAAGATAATGAAGACGCAATGAGCTGGTGTTCCATATCTCGCTCTAATGACTTCCAAGAAGGTATGAGCATTTGGTGCCCTCCTCTTCAATTCAATGGCAATAGTCGCAAAGAGCAGAATTTGGACGGTAGCTCCACTGGCATACCAGAATGGGCCAGAAACACCATATCGGTAAGCAACGCCTGAGGATTGGAGGAGTGTAGCTGCCCAGGTCCACGAGGACACAACCGCGGAGGCGACTAGACCTGACTTCACCGTCCTTCCAGCGGTGCTGAACATTTCGGAGGTCTGAAGCTCATGGTTGTATCGTTTGAGGATCCAGGTAACGAGGATCTGGGCTTCTTTAGCGTTTGGATACAGACCTGGCATGAAGCTTGGGGCGAAGCTTTAGAAAGATGCTTATGTCAGAGAGAAGCTTACCATGCCAAACGCAAACACGGCTCCAAGACCAAGGACAATTCCATATCCCCAGCCGGCGTTCAATGGGGGCGCAATCGACATTTTGGTGATGTCGTGGGGGAGCTCTTCTATCGAGGTTGCTACAGCTTCCGGATGATGTGAGACTGTGTGTGATGCGAGGAGGACAGGCTAATATATGTGCCAACCCAGCAAATTTGAAAAGTGGGAGCACAAGACACAGAAGACGAAGAGAGATGAAGGAAGAATTTCTATCAAATATTAACTATCCAGGTTAGATGATGGATTGGCCCCTGAATCGAGAGACCTCGCGCTATCCCCAAGCAGGATCGAGCTGTAAAGTCAATGTCAGATATATCAGAGGAATCGCATCTTCATGTATCAGGCTCTCAGCTGATCTGCACTTGTGTCTGCTGTCGAGACTCACGATAAGGAATACTCCATGATGGCCGTGGTAAGCGAGAGAGTGACGATCTTGTGATAAACGGGCATTTTCAGTGCATGTGGCATTTCTCATTGGATAGGTTGAGGTTGATAAGAAAAGAAGTCCCGATAAGAATGGATCTATCCTGTCGATACAGTAGAAGAGGGCTCGGCGAGTCTTTTCAGTGGCTTTGCGAGGCTTACCTGGGATAAGAGTACAAAGAAAGTGGGATGGATACGAAGTATGCTTGGTTGCGTTGCTTTTCGTTGCAGTGTGCATTTTCGTGATCACGTGGGAGGAAGCTATTCCCATGTCTCGATAGCCTTTTCCCACAATATCTTGTCTTTGGATTCTCGGTCTATAATAGCAATGTCTGCAATATCTGGAGGATACAGAAAAAGCTTCATTATCCTTGACTCACATGATATGTACGGTATACCCCTGACTCGCTTAACCGCTCCTTTCCTATCCACCTTCGCGACGAACAGAATCTTCGTGACTGCACAGATACCGATGCGCCTGTCAGCCTCGCCAATTAAATTTTCAACTGTATTTCAACAGAGTATCTCAAGAAGACGACGACCAGGAAGACGGTTGCATAGCACCATGGCAGCCGAGTTCCCGCCACAGAGGGTGAAGGCGATCGTTGCGGACGTGGCGGCACTGTTGAAGGAAAGGAAGGAGACTGTTAGTGTCGCTGAAACGGTGAGTGTTCTCTCTCTCTCTCTCTCTTTCTCTCCTTTCAGTTTCCGGGCAGATCTGGACTTGGGGTGCAGGGACTGTGACGGGATTGATTTGGGCTACGGACTGGCATCAGAGAGTCCGTTGAGGAGCTTGAGGAGGGGGGTTGAGCATATAGAGACGAGAGCCGCCCCAGAAGTCCACATTGATACAATACGCTGACAAGATCCACAGGCCGCAGGCGGATTGATCTCGGCCTCTATCCTCAGCACCCCCGGCGCCAGCGGCGTCTATAGAGGAGGTCTGACCGTGAGGAATTTCCCAGCTCCCCCCTCAAATACTCTCAGGACTTGACTGAATTGTTCACTGCCCAGCTGTACACTTTGGAGCCACGGATAGCCTTTGGTATGCTGCAGCCATCCACACACAGACTCTCTCTCCATCCGTATCTAGCCAGCTGATCGAGTAAGCCGGTTGGACCCAAGAGGACATCCAAAACTACAGAGGCCCTACAACAGACATCGTATCCGGCCTCGCATTCAACGTAAGAAGCAAACTCGGGAGCACGTACACGATCTGTGAGAGCGGAACGGCAGGGCCAACGGGTGGCAACACGCCGAACAGAACGCCGTGAGTAGTCGACCCCCTCTGTTCACTTTGCAACTGGGAAAAGAGCCAGAAGTGTGAAAATTAGAGCCAATGTTGATATGTGCCGGTATCGTATCCAGTGGCTACGTAGCTCTCGCTGTTGCGACCGAGCGCGGGGTCTACAAGCGCGAGCTCTCGACGGGACTGGGTGGTGACCGGGAGGGGAACATGGTGCAATTTGCGATTGAGGCAGTGGGCTTCCTGAAGGATGTCATCAAGGGAGATGCGAAGCTGTAGAGTTGGCATGCGAATTGCCATCTTCAACGACTTCGTTCGGTGGTGTACGTACGTACGTACGTCTTGCCTGGCGTGGCTGCTGAGATGCTTGCAGGTACGTAATAGCACATCAACAGTTGAGCAGTACCTAGACTTGTATCATTGCGAATCTCTCCTGTGCTTGGAGGCAGTGCGCTTTCAAAGTGGTGGCAAGTAAGACCAGCCAGCTGCCGCGTGGTCCTTCAAGTCACATGACTCTCCGTCTCGGAATCGTGCCGCAAGTTCCAAAATGACGGTGGTAATTAACAAGGGGGAAAATAAAAAGACAAGTAAACACCACTTCAATAAATAATAAAAGCAGGAAAATATGTTTCATCATAAAGGGTTGGAAATTTGAATCCCTTCATTATCCACCACCACCACCAGCAGCGCACACCATCTCCCAGCCTCCTCACAGCCATACTCCAACCAAAAAAATAAAAAAGAGGAAGCGAGGGTCTGTTTTTGTTTCCCGCCCATCCATCCATCTAGGTATCCACCTGCCCTTGTGCACCCGTGGTGGCGGTAGCGGTACGCGGCGAGGGGGCTGGCGCAAGCGAGGGATAGAAACATGAAAAAAGATGCAAAGGGAAAAGGGGGGGCGGGCTGTGTTTTGAAAATATCGCTCTCGCCCTTTATTAACAAACCACTTCGTAAACTTTTACGTTATTTTAATGCAAATTGCGAGGCGCCTTACTTGGGTACTTCTGGAGAAAGGGTCGCTAGCTGGCTAGGTAGCGAGGTGGGTAGCGAGGTGGAGAGGTTGGGGGAGGGGAGGGGAGGGGAGGGGTTGGACGGGCTCCTTCCAGACGTGGCGTGCCACGTGATTGGCCTGGTGGAGCTGGAGAGGTCGTACCCTTGGCGGGATGAAGTGAGATGGACGATGGAGGATGGAGAGGAGGGGAGAGGGCTTTGGGTGTGAGTATCACTGAAATGGTTGATTGACATTGAGGATACGAGGAAGGGAAATGGAAGGGAAGGAAGGTAGATTAGATTAGACTAGATTATATTTAAATAGTTCGTGTGTGTGTGATCATGACATTCGTTCATTAGAGAAGCGAATTAGTGACTAGCTATGAGGGTAGAAATGACCAGCGTACTGGGTTATCATGCTCCAAACCAAAAAAAAAAAATACAACACACTGAAAGTTAGATTTCCCCAAGCCCACACTCCCTTTGATACTTTTTCCCCTTCAAAAATACTCCCCCTTGAAAAACACTCTCGCATCTCCCAGAAACTATCCATCCGAAAGATCCTATATGACTCCGTCGAAGCCAACCAACTCCGTCATTATCCTAACTGCATTTCAAGAAGAGGAAATCCAAAAATACGAAAGGGGTATCGCTTTTCATTTCAGCTGCTCCATCTGCGAGTAGTCGAAATCATCGTGCGGCGCGTGGTCGTGCCAACCCTGCGCCTTGGGATCGTGATGGTTCGCCTGGACGTCAGGGATGTGGTGGTTCTCGACTGCTGGCACGACGACAACTTCATCGTAGGCGTCTTTCGAATCGTCGTACGTGCTTCTCTTCGCATCGTTACGGTGGCCTTCGATCCACGGCAACAGCTTCTGCTCAACGCTCTGCTCGATGTAGTTCACACTGCTCTTCGCCGGGCTGATTCCCACCTGTTCCGGCCAGTTCTTCTCCGGACTCCCGTTCTCGTCTGGCGGGACCCATGTCTTGCCATCAAGAGGCAGGTCAGGCCACGCTTGGCTCTTTGCTTCGTGGGCGTCCCAGCTGAGTGCGGGCGTCGTGCTGGGAACGGTGTAGTTAGCCAGTGCCCATGTTGGGTCGGCGTCGAAGGACTCGGTGCCTGGCAATTGCCAGCTTTGAGGAGTGGGCTCAAAGTCGGCGAGGTTGACGTGCGAGTTGCTGAGGAAGTTGTCGATATTGTGGTCGACTAACGTGGTTTCGCTGTCAATTGTGTTGGTGTTGGAATGGAAACTGAGGTTCTCGCTAGGCAGATCATAGGACGGAGCGCCATAGGCGTAATTGGGCGTATTGAAGGAGGATTGCAGACCGGCTGTGTGAGGCGGTGTTTGCAAGCCTTGCGTCACAAAGGGGTCAAGCAGATTTGGGTGCTGGAGGTGCAAGGAGGTATCGGACCAGCTGTTGAAATTATCGCTCATGCTGGCTTGGATTTGGTGGCTCATACGGGGGGAGGGTGACATGACGGTTCTGCGAGCCGGGGTGTTGACGTCGAGATAGCGGAATGTTGTGCCGATGTTCTGGGGGCTGGTGGCCTGGCGGAAGGTCCAAAGGATGATTGCACGGCGCACCCACCCAGTGTGCGGTCCTGCTGAGGATTGGACCTCTTGGTACATTGTTATTTGATCAACGAAGTCGCGAGCGGGTCGACACTGACCCATGCCATCGTTGAATGAATGTTGCTGTCTCTCCTCGTACCTAGATTGGATGGTTTGGAGACAGGAGAATGCTTGGGCCCAAGGGCTTGCGGGAAACGGTATTTTGATCTGTGTCTCGTCATCGTTCACAGATGTCATTTCGACGAGGAATGGCTGTGCCTCCATGGGTGGATCGGAAATCTGGTCGCGGTAAAGCTCGCGTGGTTTGTTGAGAGTTGTAACGGTTCTCCACTCGGTGTCGCTCTGCATCCCAGGTACCGAAAGCACTGTGCGGCTGCATAGCTCAGACCCTTGGGCCGGCTGGCTCGTGAGCAGATTCAATGCAGCCTCCATGTGGATGATATCACAGTTCAGCTCGCCAGAGGCGTACAGCTGCTGCAAGACCGGAAACTTTTGGCGCCAGTTTGTGAGCGCTTCAAGATTGCTCCGTATCCTCTCCCCCATGAGTGAAGTGAATTTGTGTGCAACCAAGCCACATTCGTAGAGGTCCTGTTCGTGTTCGTGGACCTCTCGGTTGCGGTCATCGACCGTAAGCGATGAAGATGTCATGAGAAGCCAAAAGAGGATCGGTTTTATGGGAGACTGGAATGCTGGCTGACTTTGATGTTGCTCGTAGTAAGAATGTTTCGTCCTAGGTAGACGACCGGCTGCGAGAGCTTGTAGGCAAGGGTCGTTCTTGTAGGAATCTTCGAATCCGTTTTTTGCAGCAGGAGGTGGAGGAAAGAGCCGATCGTCTGCTAGGGTCAGCAATGCTTATACCATTCATATGAGGAGCCTTACATGCTGGGTGGTCTTTCAAGAAAGCCTTGAGTACTTGAATATGACTTGAAACTTGTTTTCGGGTCCTCCTCATTGATTCATCAGGTTTGACCCCCGGAGGCAGGCTTTCTTTGTAGGCGATCCATATATACTCTGTGATCAACTCATTTCGACCATGAGGCTTGCTTTGGTAGGAGAATTTCCTGCGGCCCATCACAGGTATGTTCATGAGTGCTGCAACTGCAGTAAGCACAGCGAATATCAGATGGGATGAGGGGACCTACCATCAAGGAACGCGACCTCGAGCTCTGGAGGCCATTTTGATTCCTCACTGTTGCCTTCACGCTCTTGTCGAGCACGATAAGCTTGGTATTGGGGAGACTCAATGATGGGGTTCCGACTAAGCCTCAAGTGCCGCTGTCGACGTGTGCTTTGACGTCGAAGCTCCAACGTGTTGCCTACAGATTGTCGAGGAGGCTGGGAGGGGACGGTGGGGATAGAGTACATGGGCCTCTCCACTCGAGGCTGGTGTCCTTTGCTATCATTGTAGAGTATGGAAGCCAGATTGTGAGGCTGGGCGTTCCCAGCGGAGTTTGCAAGAGGCTCTCGGGCTCTTGAAAATCCACTGAGGTCTTCCAGTGGAAGTGTATAGCTGGAAGGTAAGATATGTCGACGAGATTCCATCGAACAAGTAAAGCTGTAGCTAAGAATGTTTCGCCTCACTCAAGCACTTCCCAAAAGCTTCTGCAATGTCGTCACTGAGGCATTCACACGCATTCGTAACTTCGTAAGGCTGTGGGTGCAAAAAGCTTCTGTTGGCTGGAGAAGAATAAGGATTGCAGTAAAAAATGTTTGGAGGAATGGCAGAGGAAATTTTCGCAAGTGAGAAAAGCGAAAGAATGTCAACAGGTGACTTGAGAATGAAGAGCGGATCCAAGCTTTTAAGAGGGTGCTCGGTTCGAGGTTGAGCTGGGTACGTTTGAAAGGACCTTTGAAAAGTTTGCATGCAGGGTAACTCCATGGGATTGGATCAACTGGAGAAAGAAACAGCTAGAAGTGTGTCTATTCGCGAGAGCCCCATTAGGAGAGACAAGGTCAGGCTTTCCCAACTACAGGAGTGGTCAAGTTCGAATCCTCGAAGCAAGGACGCCCGCATGCGGAGGTAAACATTGTATTCGCGAATCGTTCCTGAGGTGAAATGGAGGAATGCTTCATCTTAGACGGATATGTGTCCCCTTGAGACGGGACTCCCGCTACACTACTAGCCAGTCAGACACTGGAATGCCCGGGCAGATGAGATAGCAGCGAGAAATAATGCCGGATAGAGACTAGTAACTTCTTTATTGCCTTTGAAAAAAAACGCTGAGGGAACAAGGGAAAATCACGCGGGGCTCAGACAGTCTTGCGTGTGACGTCCTTGGACTCATCGAATATCATGACTGCGGAGATTCAAAATGTGAAGGCATTTGCTGAAATAAAATAGGGATAAAACATTTGTAAAGGAGGTGTATTAATTGTCCTTGTGGAGGGATGTCATCGCAAAGTGGTTGTTAGTCGCAGCAAGGGGGTATATTGTGCTAAAGGCCAAGGAGGCGAAATATCGCCAAATACCTTCACCCCCTCATTCCATATCCTCATCCCCCTCGATATCGAATTTTTTTCGGTTTCGAGTACCTCCTGTGAGTTTGTGCGCGGCAACCTTGTTGACTTGTGCGCCGGTCCTCTTTTCCATCTTCGCAATTTCTTCTTCGGCATCGACAGCATCATCGGCTGCAAATTCTAGAACCAGGCGACGGCCCAGTAAATGGGTATCTTTCAGGGCCTCTAGTGCATTCTCCGCTTCCCGAGCCGTAATGAAGTTTGCAAAGGCAAATCCACGTGTGGAGTGGTCGAATTTCTTGGGAACACGTACCGAGCGAAGCTCGCCAAAGGCACCAAAGAGACCTCGCACATCCTGCTTGGTAGCCTGAAAGGGAAGGTTCTTGATAATAATCTTCGTCCGTTTGCCAGCATGCTTCTTGGCATTATCTTCCTTCCGGCGCTCTTCGGCTGCATCGACTCCCTTGTGTGACGCCTTGATCAGTAACTTGTGGTCTTCGAGAACATAGCCATTCATCGCGGTCAGAGCTGCTTGGGCCTGAGCTTTGCTTCGAAACTCCAGGAAGCCGAAACCCATACTGAGCACTTGGCCAGGCTTCCTCGGATCCGTCTTGGTCTTGACTCGAGCTGAAATAAAACCGTCCAGAGGCTTGAAGGCTTCCGTGAGGCGATCACTGGTGGTAGTGAAGTTAAGATTTCGCACAAACAAGGTTGACGTGTCGAGTGTCTCACTCTCCTTCTCAAGAAGATCAGACGCAGACAGCTTTTCCTTCCCTGACTTGGTTGCCATACTGTCAGCTGGCACGACGACCGCGTTGCTGCTTGGGTTTTTGAATAGGTTCTTAGGCGCTTTCTCGAGGAACAAGACCGAGTCCTGAACTTTGCGGTAGGCCAAGCTTGCAAATGCTGCTCGAGCTTTGGTAGGTTCAGAAAACTCAACGATCGCGATTGTACCGATGGGTGGCATCAAGACACGAAGCACCTGTCCAAAAGGCTCGAACATCTTTCTCAGCTCTTCAAGAGACGTGCCGTAGGGGAAATTTTTCACGAGAATAGCTGTATCGCCACGCTCTTGCCTCTTGAAAGCGTCCAAATCAACACCATTCTTTGCGAAGTAGGTTTTGGACTCTTGAATGGCTGATGTCTCTGCTATTGCTTGCTTGTATCCAGAATCTGCGGACGTTGGATCAAGCATCTCGGACTTGGATACGCCAAGGCGACTGGCAATGGCTTCATTGACTGCATCTTGGTTCATGAACAGAGAGTTCCAGTTGAAGGTGGATGTGGCCTCTGCCTTCTTCTTAATCTGCTTCTGCTTCTTCAACGGCAACTTGGCGACGGCGAACTCGTCCAGCTTGTTATCTCTCTTCGCAGAGGCAGGGAGGATGTGTAACAGCCTACCTTGGAAAGGCTCACCGTCAAGGGCATGGAAGGCTTCTGCAGCAGCGCTCGGATCCGAATACTGAACATACACATATCCTTTGCTCGTGCCTTTGGCATCGACTGGCAGATGTACCTATGATCGAATGTGTATCAGCACCGACCTCCCACTGATATCGACGGCACAAATGCGAAAGGAATAATTGTTCTCAGAAAACACGAAGCATCTACTAAAATTTTCGTCCAGCTCTCATCACATGCGTGTAGCATAAGCTGTCCCTATCTGGATATTCATCATGGAACGAGAGGGTAGAAAAATAAGGAAAATTATAGACATACCTCCTCCAGAGATCCGAACGGTGCGAAATGCTCTCTGAGATCATCCTCGGAGGCGGAGTAGGCTAGATTTCGCGCAAACAGTCGACCGGTAGCTTTGATGGCTTCGATGGTAGGGTCTAGCTCTTCCTTGTCCTCTTCGTCTTTCTGTTGCTCGGCCACGGGGTCTGCTAATTCAAGAGCTTCATCTGACCGTGTGTCAGCCACAAAGGCAGGTTCAGCTTTCTCATTTGGCACGGCCCCTGTTCCAGCAGTCCCAATCTCGTCGGGGTCCATCAGGTCCAAGAGTCTGTTCGTCCGACTCCGAAGCCAGTCATCGTTTGTTGCGTCTGGGGCATCCGTCGTCTTCGGCCCGTTCACATCCGTACTTTCAGGTGTGGCCTCGACGATCGGGGCAGGTATCTCGTTGGATAGCGGCGGACTCTTCTTTCTCGACTTCTTGGGCACAGGCTCATATTCGCCATCACTGTCCTTTTCAGGAATCTCCATAGCTTGCATCTTTGTGGGCGGCTCGTCGTCCTCTGTCTGGGCATTCCAGGTCCTGGGTTTCGAGGCCGGCTGCATGACATCTAGAAATTCCTGTAACTTGGGATCTGATTCGTCGACGACGTCTCTCTTCCTCTTGACTCCGTTACTGAACGAAGCATCAGCGGCTTCAGCGCACGCCTGTTTCCTGGCCGTGGCATCTTCTCGCCTCTGTTCGCGCTGTGCTTTCCTCGATGGCGGAAGGGTGGTATCGGCAATCTGGATTGTATATTAGATACGGACAGTAGCGTGGCACACACAAAGCACCTACCGGTCGAGCAATCTCTACCCCAATCTTGGACATACGTATGAATGTGCGATTGAAGTATTTGACGGCCTTCGCAGCCTCTTCTGGGCTCTTATATCCCACATATCCAATGCGGCGATTCGAGATCAGTTTGGCATCTGTGATAGTGGCAATAGCTCCAAAATGCTTCTTGAACTCGTTTTCAGTGATGGTCGGGGGCAGGCCCTTGATGAAGATGCGTGAGGAAGCCATGGTGGGTTGGCAATAACGAGCGGGGCAAAGCAAAAAAAGCCTTCTACACTGAGAGAGGCTGGAAATGATGAAAAAGGAAAAGCTGGGTGTCCCGGTGTTACTATAGTCCGAGACCACACCATCGGAATAATATGCGGCCGAACTGTCGAATTACTGTAGATGAGGGAAAGATCTCTCATCCTCAACCTTTTCTTTGCGGACCAATTAGGTCATAAGGTATGGATCGACCCAGCATATTTCACTTTGCAGCTGACTTATTGAAAGATGATCCTCTGATCGGCGGCAGCACGTGAATTAGCGCCGTTCAACTGAGTTGATTAGTCAAGTGCAAACAACCAAAGCTGGGTCGAGCAGCGGATATAAATAGAATGGTTCGGTGGAAATTGCTAAGAATAGGGTCTGAATCTCCATCAGCACGTGAAGAATTCGGCTCGCTTAATTGCTCAGAATAACATTGGCAAGAGTGTTTTAACTAACGTCAAAGGCACTCTCAGACGTGGTCAAGGCAAGCGGTACATCCTTTGGTAACTCTGGCGCCGTCAAGGCGACAGCGGGATATGTATACGACGCATGTTATATGATCTTTGTACGGAGGTACAGCGGTTATATTATGTACCTTGACTAGTGCAAGCGCGCGGGTCTTCTGCAAAACCTTTCTTAATCGAGTAATCGAGTAAAACCTCGCACGAAGGAAGCAATTTGTCCATGACTTTATTAGGTTAAATTTGGGCTTTGTACTTCTCTTGCACCCGCACGTACTAGACAAGATCCATAATATAACCGCTGTACCTCCGTAGATGCCGCCGACTTGAGAAAAGCAAGCGATCCGAGTTTAGATCTTCGATTCTAGGCCTATGATAAGGGTTCTCAGGCAAAGCAAGAGCCTTTGGTGCGGCAACTTCCTGGATGTTTACCAGCAAACTAAACGAGTTTTTCACGTCAACAATACCCAGTCTACGGGTGCTTAGGAAGCATCTAGAATCCGAAATCTCCAAAGCCCATCTCCCGTCCTGGTTATCACTTACAACCCCTAATTCATTCCAGAACGCCGAAAGCTACCTAGAGCTGACAGATGTGACGATGTCATGTCATGGTGTGGGCATTGGCACTATCATGGACCCAAAACTCAAAGCTCAAGGGAAGTTCCGGACCAGACTCCTGTTTGGCTCGAGTAAACTGCGTCCATCCCAGCCCTGAAAGGGTGTTCAGACTATGGTTACGTTATACATTATAGCCTTGATCACCTAATCGGTAGAATTGAGGGTGTACAGGTGGTCTTTGTTGGAAGGACGAGGTCGATCTTACCTACTCACCTTCGCTCACCTCCCAGTCATGAGGCCATTACTGGTCGGCGGCCTCTGTGTTTTCCTATATAAGTATGAACTCGCCCCCGTCAAAAATTCTTCCTTCATACACACACAGTACTTATTTCTTCACTTCACTTCACCATCACCCGGTCCTATCCATTTCCATACCAGACAACAATGGATTCTACCCTGGCTTCTTCTTCCTCTCCCCTCCCAGCACCTTCACAGCATGCAGTATTTTTCAACTTCCATATGTTCTCTCAGCAATCATCACTTCGTCTTTGATGACCTGAAGCGAACGGCCAAGGCAGAGGGCTGGGCGGTGCCAGCCGACTGTGCAACTTGGGAAGAGGCACTGAGCCAGGACTCCACCACTCAACAAGCGAAGAGGCTGGTAGATTCTTTCGAACAACCGGTGGAAGTCTTCGGCGCCAAAACCAAGCTATCCCACGAAGCTGCACGGCTGGCAGTAAAGCAGTACGCACAGCGCAACGAACGCATGCATTCCGAAGTCGGTTTACTGCAAGTACGCTCAGAGGCTCACCGAGCTTCGACAGTCGATCGACAAGGACCTGGAGGATTTGCCAACTATCCTCCCCGCGGCAAACCTCGGAAGCCAAGAGCCAGCATGGCGAGAGATCATCGCCTATTACGGAAACGAGTGCTTCGGGACTCAGGATGCGGTGTCGGCGGTTGGGGAGGACTCAACTGATGAGCCGGGTAAGGAGACATCAAGTGATGAGTCGGTTGAAGAAGCATCAACCAGTCAAGAGGACGTCGACACCACCATTCCTCTCGGAGACCTCGCACTCGGTAATAGCTACGATGACGATGACAATATCCAATTAGGTAGCCCAGATCCACCGCCGGAGCCGGAATCGGAATAGTCCTTTACAGGCGGAGGGACATTGCCGAAGCATGGGGCTGCCACACCCCATCCCGATGAGCCTTTCCCTAAGAATGCCAAAGTGAACGACGGTACGGCGCTTCTCAAGTTTGGATCGAAAGTTGATGCATCCATAGCCACGGGCATCAAAAACTACTGGAATTAGAATCTCTGGACGCCGCGGATTGTTTGGAATCTGTGAGTGCGTATGTCAGAACCCTGAGAGATAGGCGGCGAGAAGTGAAGAGAGCTGATTGTCCCCCCCAGGTATCATAACTGGAACCGCTTTGTGGCTGGCGGTGGCAGGCATGGGCAGACTGTTTGGTATAACAGCATTGGGAAAGACGACGACATGTTTGCTACTTGCAGACAAGATGAGGAACGTTGAGATTCTGTATTTGAATGTACCTGGAAGTCTATTTGGGTCAAATGTCCAATATTTGGTCCGCTTTCCTGTTCTTGATCATGACCCCGTAACACAGACGATTCGCAGCAACACCCAATTCCTTAGCACCCGGTTCATCAACATCGCCAAGAACTTCAATTGATCCCTCTCTCCTGGCTAATACAATTCCCATTGTCCCAGTCGAGAAGAAGCCAAGCCAGTCAGATGAAAGTTGTTTTCCCAGTTGCGTGGTCCGGACCGCGCGACGAAGGCCTTGATACTCCGCAGTCGATCCAGGTATATCATCAAGCAGGCTCTCGAACATTTGATAAAAGTGGGAAACTTCCTGTTGGACAAATTCATCGTTCCATTGGATTTCTCCGTTTCCCCATCATCACCTCCTCCATCTCCTCTACCACGCTATGTCTGTTGATCAGACATTCCGGCAGATTAAGACTAACTTGCTTCATTCCGTGCAACCGATAAAATGGCCAAATGATTTTCGGACAGTCACGGCGCAAAGGATACCAGATTGATACCGGGCCGGTCGTCTGACGTTGTTGTTGGGCCCAGTTCCCAAGAGGCGTATCCAAGAGACTGATCTCGAGGGAAGGGAGTCCATCCGCTTGTACCAGGAGGCCAACAAGTCGAAGGACATTGTGCAAGATACCGACAATCTGAGTACTATTGTTGGCCTCTGGTGCATCGATCACGATTCGTACAGCCCGGAGCTTCTTCCACGGGAGGTGTCGAAAGGTTTGGTACTCCCAGCCCTGTTGGTCCAGGAAATACCATTTCGCCCCAGCCGTACTTTGAATGGTGAAGAGGGCGTGGTGGTCGTTTCCGACCCGGATTTCGAGTGTCTCTCTGCCGTACAGGCAAGGTATGATTTCGTCGTTCAATTGGCGACACGCACTCAGGATTCCAAGCGGCTTTGCTGTCTCGCCCTTGGATTCCCTCTGGATCGGAGCACGTGAGGGTCGGAGTTCTCTCCAGATGAGATCTCGAACCTCTGGAGGCAGGGTCTTCAGTGTTCCAAGGTTGTTGGTAGACATGCGGTCGGGCAGACCGAGGGCGGATTTTTATATATTGTCGTGACTAAGGCGGAAATATGCGTATATTGAGATGATAATCAGGGCGAATATATCTTATAAGAGTACCTAGAGACGTGGACAACCCGGGATTGGGGGTGGTAAGGCCGACTCTTATGATAAATTTCGACCGACTCACAGGTTGGTTAGTGGGGAATTGAATGGAGCTACCTAGATAAGCTCCACTCGATCCTCACTAGATGAACTAATAAGTCATTTAGCTGAATAGATCCTCCACTTGGGCAGTATTGGCTAAGTATCTTACCTGTATAAATCCAAGCCTTGGAGGGCTAGGATTGTGAATTGCCATCTCCAATCTCAAGCTGCGCATGTCAGAGAGGGAATGACGTCCTGGTTGCCTCTGATGCATTTAACCATTTATTATCCTGTAATAAGGAAAGGGGGGAGGTTCGGATATCCTCGTTCAGGTCATCTGTTGTGCAATATTCGCGCGGCTACTCAGCTTCCCCGTACGCCGCTTAAAATATTACTCACGCAGTACGCAATCATTACCGCCGATGTAAAAACCGCCAAAGTGGATAAATAATACTATTGACGTACTACGTACGTAAATGATCCAAGTATGCGATAATAGTTAGCGAAGTGCGAGGTCAGTGAGTAAATAAACCAAACAAATGCTACTAGCTACGCTAAAAATAATAAGCATACTAGGCACGATCTGGATCAAGACTTGGCATGCGAGAGTGAGACTTAAGTTGCTTGAAATGATATTTATAAAAAAAGTTTGGAGTGTTGAAAGGGATACCTACCGGTATGGACTTCGCATTAAACCTTTAATTAACGTCACAGGCACTTTCGCACTAAATGCCTTGTCTACGCTCAGACCTACGCTAGAATAAAGGGGGTTAAAGTTGGTGGAGCAGCGAGTGCGAGTCCAACCGACGATTTCCGTATACAAAAAGTCCAGACTAAGTACAAGGACATTGTAGTCAAGTACCTACACCAACGCTATCGTCTCGACCTCAACTCCTACTCAAACCGAAGAAAGCAAGCTACGACGAGACACCGCGCTTGTCGATCTTTTAGACGTCAAGTCCCATCGTTTCTCTGTTTCACACTCTCGTCACGTCTCTTCTTCGTCTGCGACTGCGACTGCGATTGCGATTGCGACTGTAGCTTCAACTCCGACGTCGACTTCATCTTCCTTCGTTCAAATATATTTAGACAACTTCGCAACCGCAGCTATGTCCAGCGCCGAGAAATCAAATGACAAGCTTGAGGGTGAGATCTCTTCCCGCGATAGATAATTCTTATAATCCTCACCAGCTTGTCCTCTCTATCTTCCTCTCTTGATCTTCTTCTCCGCATCCCAATTCCCAACATGCATCTCTACAGAAGACATGAAGGAAGAGCTAACTGTCGGTTGTCCAGCGCAGATCAAGTCTGCGGACATGGTGAGCAATCACTCTGAGGGATCGGCTTCAAAACCCGCGCAAGACAAGACTAATACGCGCGCAGACGGATGATATGCAACAGGAGGCTATTGACGTGGGTATGTTTACATTCGGAGGCTGGTGTGCTCTGGTTCGCGGCACGGCACGCGTACGTGTGCCCTTGGTCCAGAATTCCAGCTGACGGATTCCCAGCTCAAGAAGCCATGAACAAGTACACCGTGGAGAAGGTCAGTCGATCTTTGGGCGCGCGCAATCCTTTCTTCCTCTTTGTGCACAGCTAACCAGTGCGCAGGACATCGCTATGCACATCAAGAAGAACGTACGCGCCCTGAAACCACTTCAACCTTGATCCGACCCCTCCTCCTTTACAAGCCCAACTCCTAGCCCTCGGTAACGAGTATCCGATCTCAAATACAGCAGCTGATACCACACAGTTTGATGAGCGCAAGGGACCTACCTGGCACTGCATCGTAGGCCGCAACTTTGGCTCGTTCGTTACCCACGAAACCAAGCACTTCATCTACTTCTACCTCGGCCACTGCGCTATCCTCTTGTTCAAGACTCAATAGACGCCTCTTCGCACACCACAAACTCTCTCCTTGAATCTCGCTCCCCTCGTTCGCCATCGGTGTGTAAGTTACGTTACGTTCACGGCAAAATTCCAGTCAGCGTGGCAGCGGTTTCGTTCTGGATCGGGGTTCGTGGATTGATTGCTTTGGGATAGCGGGGCTGATATGGGCTGGCTTGGCCTGAGTCGGTACGGTTCGGTGGAATACGGGCAGGCTGCCTTTCTCTCAGCGGGCTGGGCACACGCCTGATGATGGGATTGCGATCTGGCCCTGACGATGGATTGTTTCTCTGGATGCATGGGATAATTCCATTGGACAGACGTCTCCCGGAAGCAAAATCGTAATGAGTGACGAATACAAATGATTGCCAAAACACCAACATCATTTCCTTTGTTCGTGTCCCTCTTGATGAGCCTCGCCCGTGATGCTTCCTTGGTCCTGGGCACTCTCCCCAGCCCCGATCCGGGGCTTTGCGTACGGGATAGGTACCTACACATCCAGGGCGTCCCGGTAGCCCCAGAAAGCCCAACAACAGGGAAGCTTCCTGATCCTCGCCAGGACCGCCATAACATAACATAACATATCATAACATATCATAACATATCATATCATTACCTCAGCTCGTACTACGTATATTACCAAACAATAAGTCTAATATATCTTTCTATCTTTCTTTACTAAGCAGCTCCCTCCTCTTCCCCCCTCCCCTCTTACTTCCCCCAATCCCCCGCCCCCCTCTCCCCTCCCCCCCAAATCCGATCCCCCCAAACCCCCCAAATCCCCTACGCACACACGATACAGCAAAAGTACTACGTAGATTCTAGACACGCACACAACGTCAGCCAGCCTGGCTCGCGTGAGAAATAGCTATGTCGGCTACACTGCTATCACTGCTATCACTACTTCACTACTTCACTACTTCACTACTTCACTACTTCACTACTTCACTACTTCAACCTGTCTCTTCCTTCCTTTAAACTAGGTAGGTAGGTAGGCAGGCAGGTAGGCAGGTAAACCGAGCGAAGTCAAGGAACTAACCAACCTCGCAATATCCCGATTTTCCAGGTTGACTTGGTTAATGGACATGTGGAGTTGGGTTGGGTGACCTCGCTCTTTACGACGCAGGTTGCCTTAACTCGGCAGCAAAATCCCTCCGTTGCATCTCGTACAGTTGTGAGATGTTAATTACCCCCTGATACAACACCGAACTATATTTCACAGCCAGAAATCAAGGAACGTTGAGTGTAGTTGTTTCGTGATTCTTCCATTCATTCGTCGTCTGTATCTAATATCGGCCTGGAGCCCATCCTGACTGTTATGCTTATCCATGGTATCCCTCCGCTCCCATGCGCCAATTCATTTTCTCGAGTATCAAGTATCCATCATGACGTATCCATTTTACCATTCTGCGTGTCGCATGTAGAAGGGAAAGAAACAAAAGGTCCTCCTAGCCCAATCCCCGAATGCAACATAGGACCCCCCCTCGCGCCGAAAATGCTCATATGTGATGCGGAAGCCTCCGATGTGACGCCATTTGTACAATCTCACCCCCAAACCTCCTGTCGTGTGTGCAGGGCGGTCCCATCTCAATTCTCGTGCACAATCGCGATGATCTGTCTTCGCATATCCTCAAGCCTCTCGTGCATGTCCAACAAGTCGCGCTCCTTGCTGCGAGTGCGGTTGTCACCTTCCGCCAGCACCTCCTCAAACAGCTCAACGTAGCGCGGGTAGAAGAGCTTGTACTTGGCGGCCAAGTTGATCGCCTCTGGCTTCACACGAGCGGTACCCGAGCTGGAGGACGACGTCACCGACGACGACTTGCCATGTCGCTTGTAGATAGGCGAGCGCGAATCCTTCGTGGAGATGCGGGGAGCTGGCGAAGCCGACGAGGAGGTTCGGTCACCGGCCGAATCCATATCCGAAGCATTGGTTGGTGGCGATGAAGCGAGAGGCGAGGACTTTGGTGGCGAATTCGACTTGTGCTTCGTGGACGTGTAGGATGAGTTCGAGCTGTTGGTAGTGGCTCTGGATGTATGACTTGCGTCAGAGACTCGGTAGCTAGCGGCCGGAACGTCTTTCTTGACCTTCTTGCTCAAGGGGAGGCTAGAATCGCTCGTCGCACGCTCATCCTCCTCTCGCGGACGCTTGACGGCTGGTCTTGGCTTTGGGGCAGCCTTCGAAGTGGGAGGTGCCGGTCGGGGTGGGGAATCATTGTCAGAATCCTCAACGTATTCAGCAGAAAGGGCCTTGGTGCCCGCCTTGGTGCCCGCCTTGGGAGCCGCGGCCTTCTTCGTGGCCTTGGGAGCCGACTTCGCCGGAGCATTCGACGTGGCCTTCGAGGCGGCTGCCTTGGGCTCAGCTTTGGGGGCGGGTTTGGCGGCGGCCTTGCTAGGCTTGTTGGAGAACAGTCGCTTCGCCTGTGCCTCCTTCTCGCTGGGCTTCTTGGGCTTGGAGCTTGGTGGTTGGGACGAGGATCGAGCGGAGCCGTCTCCCTTCACCTTTGAGAGCTGTTTGTCGTCAAGGACATCGTCATCGGCACCGTTCGGTGTGTCTTTGCCAGAAGCATCTCCCGCCTTGGATGTTCTCGCCAGGTTTCTCGCTGCAATGTCGGCTTGAAGCTTGCTAAGACATTTGCCCGTGCCTCGCTCCGACTTCGCCAAGAGGCGTTCCCACTCCGGCTCGGACACTCCCATTCTCATTTTATCGAATTGTTTCACTGCATTGTCAATCGCACGTTGACGTTCGTCACCGGAGTATCTGAAGGTCCACACATCAAGTTCTTTCCAGTAACCTTTTCTCAGTTCCCACTTGCTGGTTGTCTCGTTCAAGTCGCCAACCTTTTGCAAGGCATTCTTGAGCTCCGTCTCGGAAAGATCAGGGAGTTTCGCACGAAGGGACATTTCGGTAAGTGGTTCCACGGCCAGGAGGTGAATGACCGGTTTGCGGGCTTCCTTCGACTTCTCGGCATTCTGCTGGGAGAGGGGGACAGAGGCAGGACCGAGAGATGGAGATCCGGCGCTGTTCAGAGACGGGCTGGTTGGCAGGGAACGTGTCGCGCTGGTAGCCAGCGATCGCTGTTGGTTCAGGAACTTGCTCTTGTTGGTGATCTTCTGGGTGGAGCCGCCTTTGCGACCCGGAACCATCAGCGAGTCAATGACCTTAGTACTGCCACAACGTCAATTGAGATTCTTGGGTCGTGGGGAGGATGAGTAACTTACGTATTGTCGTGCTTCTTCTGCTGCTCGGAAGCCAATGCGCCCGTCAGCTGGGCGAGAGCAGCATCGGTGGTGGTGGTTGACTTGGAGGCTGGCGCCGCGGCGGGCTTAGAAGCTGGCTTGGGCGCTGTCTTGGTCACGTCTAACTTGAAGCCCATGGAGGCCAGGAATTCGATGTTTGGTGCTCGTTGGAGCTTAATTCCGTTGACGGTTCCGTACATTTCGTCGTCGTCGTCGCTCGAGTCGGGGTCTGATTGGGAGGAATTGGTGGTGTGGTAGAGTTCGTGCGTAAATGGATCGTGGGATGCAACGAGGTGGTGAGATTTCGTGCCGTAGAGAAGAGACTGAGAATATGTCGATTAGCAAAGTGACACTTCATATTGTGAGCGGCTAACAATAGCAAGCGGTCATTTTGTCAATCCGGGGAATCTCGAAGGTGAAGGGGTAGCACTAATGGCAAGCTCCCCCAACCAATTCACCTTCGGCGCGCCTCAGTTGGCAGAAAGGCATGGCAGACTTACAGGGTGTTCCCCCAACGACAATTGGATCTCCTTGCCATTCTGCACGCATTTAATCATCTCCTCGATTATAGAATCGGTCAAGCTGAGACCGAGGACATCTGGGCCGCCAGCCTTGCCGGAGGAGGCTCCAGGAGAGCTACCCAGCGACAAGCCCGACTCTGGAATATGGAGGGAAGGCATGTTGAACATTATTTGGCTGCCGTCTGCAGGATCGGTCTTCGTTTCGTTTCGTTTTGTGGAAGTGGGAATTGGTAATTGATAGTTCTCGCAGGCTCGTTCGTCCTTGCGGCGAGGTCTCGACTGATGGCTGACACTTCGCTCGACTCTCTCTCGGCTCTCTCTCTCGACTCTCTCGACTATCTCGACTATCTCGACATGCACTCGGTCTAAGGGCCCATTTGAAGGGGGAAGTGGAGGGTCGGGAGGTTTGATTGTTCGTGAAGGAAAGGAGGGTTTACGTCGACAGTCAGGGCGAGAGAGGAATCACGAGCTCAGACAAAGCAAGTTGGTGGTGGTGGTGGTGATTGTGATTGTGATTGTGATTATGAATATGATTGTGAGCAAAGATCGGAAGGACGAAAGGGTTGAATTAGTCGATGTGATCTTGATCTGCGGTGAGATGAGTTGCGTTGAATTTAGCAGTGGACGACGAGGTGTAGTGAGTGTGACGGAGTGGGTGGGGAGGGGTGGAGGGAGGATCGATGTCGTTCCTTCTCAGCCCAGTCTCCGTACAGCGCAGCGATGCATAAGTGAAGTAGGCTTAGGCCTAGGCTCTAGACGGTCGAGAGTGGAGAGGTGGTGCTGGGATGTTGTTGGGAGTCCCCACTCGGGAGTCGGTAGGCCGGGTAAGGGGGGTTGGGGTGGGGGCGGGGGGGGCGGAGCGGAGGCGGGTAGGACAAAGCTGAGTGAGTATATATAGTAGTCGATAGACTGGGCAACTCGTGGAGTTGGGGATGTAGATGTTTGATGCTTGATGGTTGAGGCTCTGCAGTCAAGAGTGAAGAGGCAAGAGGCAAGAGCCAAGAGGCAAGAGGCCAGAGGCCAGAGACCAGAGACCAGAGGCCAGACGCAAGAGCCAAGACGCAAGACGCAAGAGGTAAGCAGGCAAGACGCAAGAGGTAAGCAAGCAAGCAAGCAAGCAAGCAAGAAAGAAAGCAAGCGAGCAAGCCACAAGAAAGAAAGCAAGCAAGAGATTCTTTCAGTCCGCCTCTTCCAAATACTATAAGTTGGGACACTATCTACTACAGCTAGGACTAGGTAGGACTGGGCTGGGGCCGGCCTGAGATTAAAGAGGTACCTAGAGCGAACTAAATCTGGTCACCTTTACCGCTCTGGATGATCAATTCGTCGCAGCTGGGACTACGTAGTAGTATTTCCTCCGTCAAGAACTAGAACTAGTAGTACCACTACCTACTGTAGATAGCTCGCTTTCAAGTTTCCTCACGTCCTTCCTTTGACTTTCTGGATGATCAACTCCGCTCCGTACTCCCGTATGTCCTCATCCCTGCCGACCTCGGTTTGAAAAACCCTGCCGGACCATGTCTTGTCGGTCGGTGCGTCGTCTGTGCTCGCTTGCATGTTCTTAGCATTCCATTGCGGACGGGAGATGTATGGAGTGTGGATGTGGATGTGGATGTGGATGTGGATGTAAAGAGAGACTTGTCCGTACTCGACCGGTACCGCTAGCTCGTTCCACCAAGATGTCCCATCCGGCCCGCTGGTGTGAATTCCCTTTCATGGTGATATTCTACGGAACACGGAGCTACCTAGACATCCCATGATAGTTGATAGTCATGGTCACGGTTATAGTCACCATCACCATCACCATCACGGTCACAGTGACAGCCCAAGGCGAAGAAGGGCAAAAGCGGGGGTAGGGCAGGCTAGGGCAGGCCAAGTCATATGATCCTGTCGGGCTCGCAAGGTTCAAAAACCATTACTCATAAGAGCGATTCGCCATGCGGAACTAGACTCCGTCGTCTACTTGGGGCTGAAATAGTAGTACAACGTACGTAGTACCTACTACTAGTTGTAGGCACTACTACGGAAGTACGTAGTAGTAGGAGTTGTACATCGGATATATCGGCAGATATCCCGAGAAAGAGTGTCTTGGCGGATCCCCGTCTAAAATAACCAGGCTTCTTCCAACCATAGAGGGAGTCGGGTCCCTTGGGCCAGATCGGGTGGTGTTGGCTGAAGGTTGCAATAAAGGACCATCAAAAGAATACCTAGGTACCTTAGGTCGTAGAATAGAATCGAACTTCCGCCTCTACCGCAACCACATCAGCTGACGGATTTCCCCCTCCCCTCCCCCCCCAAAACCCTTTCCGTACAAAGGGCCGAGACTGTGCATCTCAGGTCTCATCTCATCTGATCTGATTTCTCGTCAGCGTGAGCGATGCAGTCAGTGGTCATGAGCCAACAGCGACCTAGTACCGGGCGCCCAGAGTCAGTGCCTCCGCCTCAAGCTGCTCTCCAAGACTTGCGCTCGCTGATATCCGGTGTTCAATGTTCAAAGTGCACTCTTACTTCTACTTATCAAAGCTACCCCGCTGCTGCGGCGGTAATTTGGGGATTATGATTATCTACTACTACGTACCACCGACAACGTCACAGGCGTAAGTGTTACACCCTGAGGGTAGGGTAACCGGGAGCTTTAAAGTGGAGATTTAGACTTTTATGGCATCCTCAGGCTGTAACACTTACTTAGGCCTGTACCATGGTACTCACTTAGTAAGAAAACCCCTTTTTTACTTACTCTCCCCCCCATGAATACATGTCGAAAGTATAACTTTGCAAGGGATCTTACCCGGGCTTAAACCTATCAACGTACTACTACGTACCTACGTAGTACTACACGTAGTAGTATAAGAATCCAGCCTCGAAAAGTATCTTTGGGTCAGAATTTAGTCTGTGCCATTGAGTTGACAGGGCTTTGAGCCATTCAGAAACCACCTTTCTACGATTTATGGGCCTAAACTCCGACATGTAAACATGGGGGGGGGGGGAAGTAAATCAATGCAGGGCCTTGGTCCGTGCGAGCTTCCGGAGTCCAGACTGAGAATCGAATCGAATCGGAACCAATCACGCCTAATCTGTCAATGCTGATATGATAAGTATCAGACACGTCTGAATAGGTAGGTACTGACCATCTAAGTCACTTACTTAATCACAGACATTTCTCCAACGCCTCGTCCATGAATAAAGAAAGAATAGGATATGCTGTGCGGAGGTGTCAAGGGTAAAGTATATCACCGCCCTCGCTAGCAGGGGGGTCGGCCCGAGTGATCTTTGGTGGTGAGATACTATTCGGCTATCAATTCTGCCATGTACCTGACAGAGTGGAAGGCGGTGACATACTTTATTTACCCTTGATACCTTCGTACGGGGGAGAATGGAATAGGTAGTACAGGGCCTCCTCCTCCTCCTCCTTCTTCTTCTTCTTCATCTACTTTCTCTTTTTCTTCTTCTTTAGTCTCTGAGGTCTCGTTTCGTCTCGTTTTCGTTCCGTTCCATCTCATCCCGCACGTATCATCATCTCAAAACTCCGTGATCATCCTTTCGTCGGCTCCCTCGTCCATCCATGTACCTTTTTTTTTCTCTCTCCGTACTTATCTCCGTAGATCAAGTACCGTGCAACCCGCCCGGCGCCTCCCATACCATACGCTCGGACAGCAGCATCGTTTTTTTCCCACCACTGCTTCAGAATCCAAATCGCAACCAGCCGTGCAGGGAGCGGTAGGCTACCGTCAGCCACCGTGGTTATATACCGGTACCTACCCATATAGGTATACCTACCTATATATATCTATCTTATGATGAGATCGGCCGATCTAGCTCATCGCAGCATCTTTCCCTTTTCTCTCCTCCGCATGTTCGCTCTCCTACGTAAGGAAACGCAAGAGGGGCGGCCTAGCGCGTGGCACTTAAGGAGGAGGCGACCTACGGACTTGGAAATAGGCGCGATCGAGGAATCGAGGCAGGTGAGCTGTCGTAATAGTACCTAATAGTACATCTTCTTTCTCTTAATACTAACATCGTGACTTTACCGTAATTCTGCCACCCAAGATGGTCCCGCTAGACTAAATCATACGATACTCGCTAATCTGGCCCCGCGGTGGCCCTGGCTGTTTCCTGTGCATACAGTTATGCCGGCCTTGGCGACCTCGACTTACTACACTAAAAGAGAGTAGATCTCGGTTCATCAAAGCCCTTATTGGATTTAATTTTAGCATTGCCAATTACTGCCGCGTGGGAAGAAAAACCAACGAAGATCTGGACCGTATCGCTGAAGGAGAGTACGGTACTGGGAACCGCAAGCCTTGGCTCTGACTTGTTCTCCGACCAGGGGGGTGCGATCGCTACCATCCCTACTCTGAATTGAGTGCTAAGTATAAAAAAAGCTGGCTGCATCTTACGTAGTACTTGTACCGGTACTTCAAAGGGTCACTCACTACTACTACTACTACTACTACTACTACTTACTGTATGAATTGAGTGCTGGAGCCGGCGGCATCGGACTTAAAAGGGCTAATTGCATCGGACTCGAAGGGGCTACCACAACTCCGCAAAGCTGATTTTGCATCAGCCAAGTTCAGAAAAAGATTAAAAACGTTTAACAGAGGGACTTGACGTCGCAACTTCTGGGGCCGACCTAAGGCTTACGGAGCTCCAGCTTTATCCGCTATACGGAAGTATACCACAGTGCAGCCCTACCACAAGCACCCTCCTAATTACCGGTTGAGGGTGGCTGAAAAGTCCAAAATCTCCGCCTCAAACCCCTCGGTTCCTTAACCCCCAGGCGATAATTACTACGTAGTATTACGGAGCGCCTGAGAGGTGGTAGGTAATACGAGTATAAAACCTTTCTCATCGCGCCGGCTATCGGCAGGCGGGAATGATCTTCATGTTCATGGGGTTATTTTTAGCCTTCAAATCAGCAACTTTCAAAATCAGAATGCTACTACCGGTACGTATATACCGGCATCAATCCTGCATACTGCGAAGATGGTCTCTATCGAATCTTTGTTTATCGTGCTTCTGTAAGTAGCCAGCCTATCTGATTCCCCTTGGCTCGTTTTCCATAGCCCGCTTGCGAGATTGGTACGTAGTATATTGCTTTAGTATTTCTGTACTGGTAAGCGCGCAGATGGTAGTATAATCTTGTGTCTGTACAGTTGCGATCGAGCCGGGACCGAAACAGTGCGGGATGCGTGCTATATCAAGCGCCTCCGGACGGATCTTCTTAAATGCATGATGCAAAGGAGCTCAAACGTCCGATCGTGTCATTTTGCCTGCCTCTGACGTTAATCAAGCTAGTTGTGCCTCGCATCGAATTTGGACAGCGGACCAGATAGGTACCTACCTACTCCGTACTCCGTACTCTCCGAGGTGAGCACTACGGTACCGTAGTACGGTCTGTCTACCTACCCCTTTCTTCCCTATTGGGTTAGTTGGTTTAGACTTTATACTAGCGGGTGTAGATTTCTTGGTGTCGATGCGCACGTTGTAGTACGTAGTAGTAGATTCAGCGGAACTGCTGAACTCCGATCGGCCCCCTCTTGTTCTCGGCTAACCTAAATACAGGTACAGTACAGTACGGTACTGTACAGAGTAACTTGCTGCAGTACTGATCTTATCTACCAGTGGGGCCGCCGACGTGCATGAAGTGGGCTGCTATACAGGTACAGTACAGAGTACCTTATACCCCCATCTCGCCACTCGCAGCTTGCAGCTTGCAGCTTGCAAAGAAACTATATATATTACGAGCGTCAACTATTCCAAGATGGGAGATGGGAGATACGCTCCTCTGCCATTAATTGCCACCTTCCTCTGCTGCTACCCAGCACTATCAATTTCTTACTTATTAGATTTCTTTGCTTCTTTTTTCCCCTCTGGCTGAAACTCGAGCTAGCTTCCGCGGATACCTCCAAGACGAACGCAAAGGGCGCATCCCGTTTCCCGGCACGGAACCCTGAAGAATGCCAGGATAACACTCCCATTTCGTAAAAGAATGTACGTAGTACTACGTACCGTGTAGTCAGAAATCGGACCTATAGGTACATATACGCTGTACACATATTATACACGCCGGCATCCAAGCGATACGGTCTCTCCGCTCGCGCAATATCCATGTTTGAATCTGAGGTCGGCATAATCCACCCCACCTCTCTCTGTGTGTGTGTGTGTGATGTACCTACAGCCAGTCAGTGAGGATTCGTTGTCACGTGACACGGTGCGAGGTGAAGTTCCGAGAGACTACCGGTACCTTACTCAGTATATACGGTGCGGATATCTCGATTGACGTGAACATTTCAAGTGCAGGCTCGGATCCGATTGCCCTGGCCTGCAGTGGAAGGAAGGGCAAGGGTAGACTTTCCGGTTCCTGGTTCCTGTCCCGTCCAGACCGAATACGTCACCACATCGTACTTCCAACATCCGTACATTTTGTCGTTGACGGCTACATCTCCAAAGCTCCAAAGCTCCAAAGCTCCAAAGCTCCAAAGCTCCACTGCCCTTCGATCCATCCCTACCGTACCGAATCAAGTGAACGGATGTTTGGTCTCCAATTCCCCTCCCTTTCAACCTCGTCATTCATTTCCTTAGTCTTCATTTTCTCTCTCGTCTCCCTCTACGTATTTCCTCTGCTCTTCTCTTCCCCGACCAGTAGCAACACCAATACAACTCCACACACAGACCCAGAAACGATGGCTCGCTCCGCGGGAAAGGCGCATCAGTCGCTCAATGGTACGCAATGCAATGAATGCAATGCAGCTAGCTAGCTTCCTACTCTCCTCCAAGACCACCACTCGCAGTCTTTCTCATGCAGGGCTCGAGTCAAAACCCGAGCTGGATGGTTGGCTGATGGTAGGAATATGCAGTCTTCAAAAAGCCCCTCGGTCTCTTCAGCAAGGAGCCTATGACAGGCTTCTACCGAAACGGATTCTGCGAGGTCGGGCCCGACGATCAGGGGAACCACTCGGTCGCTGGTACTTCCAAACTTCCTATATTCCTTCCCTCCTTCCATATCCCCTCCTCCTGACTCTCCCACAACCAAAAAAAAAAAACCTTGTTGTCCCCCCCTTGTACTGCGACCATGGCTAACTTCCCGGCCTTAGCAACCCTCACAGATTCCTTCCTAGACTTCAGCGCCTCCCGCGGCAACAACCTGCGCTCCATCGGACTCACGGCCGGCTGCAAGTGGTGTCTCTGTGCTGCGCGCTGGCGGGAGGCCATGGACCACGCCGAGAGGAGTGGGGAGAACGTGGTGCCGAAGGTGCATCTGCACGCCACAAGCGAGCGGGCGCTGGATGTCGTCGGGATCGAGAAGTTGAAGAAGTACGCCGCAGAGCCCGAGGTGGGCAACGCGAGCAACGTTGCGCAGGGGCCCGGAGGCATGGGGGGAGCCGTCAAGGAGCACAAGGATATGTCGAGTCGGGCGAGCATGACGACGAGGGACAACAATGGTGTCTGAACTCTGCGCTGGAGCAGTGTAGAAATATATATTATACATTATACCTATTATACATACAGAGTACTGAAAATATGGCTACTCGTGGCTCGAAGACTTGCTCGGCTAGGTATGCATGCACCTACCTCCACATCCAGGAGAGGCAGAATCGCGCCCTTCATTTAGGGACATCTTAGTGCGGATCATAACCTCAGCCTGTCTTTCGGGATCGAACTCTGCGGATGGAAAGACGCCTATCGAGACGGGGGACGGGTCTAGGACTGCGTGGACCGAGTCGGTCCCCAGCCCAGCCCAGCACTCGCTCGTGCTGAACGAGTTGCTATCGCGGTCTGGGAACCGAGTCCCCCCAGCCAGCTAGCTGCCTCTGGATGCTGCGAGGTCATCTGAGCACAGAGGTAGAAAGAAGAGGGAAAGAAAAGAAGAGAAAAGGAAAGAAAAGAAAAGGAAAGGAAAGAAAAGGAAAGAAAAGAAAAGAAAAGGGAAGAGAAGGGAAGAAAAGGGAAGAAAAGCACCAGTGATCGTCGCACTCCAAGCCGTAGCCTCAGCTCTACTCTTCCCCACCTAATCCTCGCATTCTAAACGTGGAAAGTACGGACGGGAGTGAGAATACCCTCCCCCCTCCCCCCTCCCCCCCCCCCACACCACCTTCACGAACATGGAGAGTTGCCATTCCAGAGCTCCCATCAAGAAAGCCTTCGGATGAGAAGATGACAGACTTCATATTTGGCAGGCACTGACAGGACTTCAAAGTTTCATTAGCCTGCAGACAAGAGAAGCCCAGAAAGCGACGGGTAGCTAGCTATGGATGAAACCATCATCGACGCAACTCTCGCCATGCTCCACAGCAGCGGTACCATCTCCATCTCCTCTCGCGGCGTTCCCCGATGCGGCGACATCGTCCGCCACGACGAGCTTCAGGTTGGACGCATCGAGAGCTTGGCTTGCTCCTATTTACTTGCGCGGGGGGGGTTACCCACGCATTGCATGAGACTTTGTGATGATATACGCTGTCACGGAAGGGGAATGAGAATTTTCGAGGCGGGAGAAAGGGACTCGTTGAGCGATGTACATACACGTGGCCCGCGCTCGGCTCCAAGCAGAGTCGGGCAGGAGCGCGTAGCAGAGGCAAGGTCACACCGCGCAAACACGTCGATATGATGAGGTGCTAAAGGTGAAGGCGGTTGCGGTACTTCGATCACGATGTGGCTTTGGTCTAAGTCTAGTCTGGCTTGAGCGCGGGATAGCCTTCAGATTCCACACATGCACACACACAAGTCAAGCAGCTCTGGTCTACGATCTATTGCGGCATAGGTACATCAAATAGCGCTGAGGGTGGAGGCCTATTGGGTCAGATGCTGGGCAGTATAAGCTCTCTCTGCCAGCTACCTATCTAGTCCGCTGTCACCGCGGCGGCACTCGGGAGCGATTCGGAAGAAGCGAGAGATTCGGGCACTTCAATCGTCTGGAAGGTGGAGATGGAGACTAGAGTGAGAAACGTCGTTGGCTGGGGGTCGACCGGCGATGTTTCGCTGGGTGGCGATGGGCGGCTTGGGGTCTCGATTGAGAGAACCGGTGCAGAGCTGGGCACGGCACTCGCTATCAAGGATGCAATATCTCCTCCGATGCTCTGGGAGATGATAGGGATGCTGGCGACCAAATCGTCCGTCGATAAGGGCGTACCTGGAGCGAGGGTTGATGACCCTGTCTCGGTATTGCTTGGGGCCACGGTACGCGGCGCGGCCGTGCCCGAAAGGACGTCGGAGGGGATCCCAAAGCTGCTGATTTGAAGATCTGGGACGAAGCCCGAGAGCGGGGCTGTTCTGGTCGCGGCGACGAAGGTCGACTGATCATCGGGATTTAGGCTGGGATATCCAGTGATGAGACTCCAGAACGTGGAGACGACCTCGGAGCTTGCCAAAAGCGAGAGCGAGGCGGAGGGCGTTACGGCTGGAGAGCTGACGGTGATAAAACTCGACTGGATTTTAACTGTAGTAGGTGGGGATTCAGGACCGGAGGAAGTTCCAGAGCTGCTAGGCTGGAGACTTCCGGCGGTCGATGTCGGGGGCAGACTCGAGAAGACATCTGGAATGAACGTCGAGGGTGATTCAAGAGTCGATGTTAAGGATGCTCCTACTGTGAAGCTCGATGTGGCAAGTGCAGATTCGCCATCAGAAACAGGGGTCGAGGATGCGGTGGCCGAAGGTAGTCCCGAACTACTAGGCGGAAAGCTTGCGACTGTCGATGGTGAGAGCTCTCCTGGAGGACTCAGGGTGGCAGAGGTCGACTGGGCATCGGAATTGATGCTTGGTGATTGGGTCAGAGTTACGATGCTGGGTTCCAGGCTGGCAATTGTCGAGAGTGGTACGATGCTTGGATAACTGACTGGGGGGGCAACGGTCGATACATCTGTCGCTACGCTTGAAGAGATAGCAATGATTTCCGTAGTGAGCGAAACAGCATCTACAACCGTGCTCGGTTGCACTTCGGTGATTGGTGAGCTGACGGCAAGAGAGGAACTAGGGCTGGAAAATATCTCTGGCGATGAAGGCGTGCTGGATGGCAGATTCTCCGAAGGAGAGAGACTGCTTTCTGCTGTGGAGGCTGAGAACGCCGATTGATATGACTCTGGTACAGCTGTGCTGGTCGAGCTGATTCCAAATATGGCGGAGCTAATAGGCAGCGTAGCGATCGCTGACGGCACATCCACAGCCACGCTTGAAGAAGCTTCTGGGAATACATTGCTGACGGAGACTTGTGTCGAGGAGGTAGTAATCTCGGTGGCAGTGATATACACGCTTGAAGACTCCAAGACTGGGAGCGGTACCGATAGCTCGGTAGAGGAGCTGCTTGCTGGTATCGTGGTTGCCGGCGTAGTCGTTTGACCCTGAGAAGAAGCCAGAGACGAAGACCCCTGGATCAGGGAACCACGAGTTGGTTCTCCGCTTGTCTGCAATCCACTGGTTGAGAAGTCCGCGACAGAGGAAGAAAGAAGACGGGAAGGAGTCTCTGCGGCTAGGCTCTCCGACAGAGAGGCACTGATGACCGACGATGCCGAGGGGATCAGTTGCGAGGACTCCGGTACGGGTATTGTTGTCGAGATGGCTTCGCTCGAGACCGGGGAGTCATAGGAGCTTACAGCAATACTCGTCTGGACGCTCGACAAGATTGTCAGCACCTCGGTAGTGGAAACCTGTCTCGGAGTGGACTCTGGCGGCGAGACAAGGCTTGAGAACGAGCTTAGAGCCGCTGAACTTGTACCGATCAATGAAGAGGTGGCCGGAATCGAGTCACTTAGCGAAGAAGAAATTTCAAGATTCGAGGATTCTGTTGCTGTTGGAACCGAGCTAGATTCGACGAATGAAGAGGATATCTCTGGTGTAGTTGTGAAGCTTGAAAATGCTGTGCCGGTGAAAGACGGAATCAGGTCTGTGACAGAGGAGCTGAAGACCTGCGTCTCGGCAGAAGGCACTGAGGTTGTTTCTAGGACGATGTACGAAGTGATAGGGGATTGAGTGGCCGTCGAGCTGATTTCGGGAACACCATAAGAGGAGGTGAGTTCAGGCACGGCCGCAGAGCTCGCCATCAATGAAGCCTCTGTCAGACTAGACACCGAGTATAGGTCACCAGTGACCGATGGCGTAGCTGATGCGAGAGGCACATCTGAGGGCTCTGTGGCCAAGGTGGGGACGGAACTTGAGACATATGTTTCCTGTGAAAAAAAGCCAGAGAAATCATCTCCACGGGTAAGGGTTGATGACGATGGCGTCGCTTGGAGACTGGACTCAGTTCCTAACAGGCTGGAAGTGGCACCGACGGGCGTGAAAGTGCTTCGGACCGTCGAAAAGACAGCTTCGGATGCGAATGGCGATACAGTTGGCAACGAAACCAACGAGGAACTCGCTAAACTGCTGAATTCGTCATTTGGTAGAGAAGTCGCAAATGTGGCATCGGCGGTCTGGGATGTCAGAGTGGTCTCAGATATGGACGGCGCCAATGATGTTAGTAGGGTTCCGGAGAGGGCTGAAGAAAATTCTGTTGGTGATATTGATGGTTCGCCGACGATGCTGCTCTCGCCACTGGAAAGACTCGATCCGGAGCTTGATGAGGGGACACCCAGTATCTCAGATAAGGTGTCCGTTGGTATACTCGAGCTTACTGTGATGCTGGAGAGCGGAACACTTGGCAAGACCGAGGAATCGGAGCTACTCTTGGGGGCCGCGAAAGACGTTGTGAGGCTGACATCTCCTTCAGTTGAAGAAGAGAACGATGTAGCTTGCCTCGATATGGGCGAGGTCTAAGTAGCAAGTGAGTTAGCAATCGTCATGACAAAGATCCTTCTTGAGGGTAAAAATGACGTTTCCAATATTCCCTGGGACATTGAAGAAGGGGTTCTCTCCTAACACCTACGGTCAAGATGGCAGAATTCTGTTGCGATGTAGAGGATATGATCTGTTGTGAAGTGGATGAGGATGAAGTTGTTGTGGCCTGTTTCGAGCTTGCATAGGACGATGTCGTGACTTGTTCCGAAGCGGAAACCGAAGTAGACTTATAGGTGGTAGAAGTAGGCGCGGAGGCTGATTCCGATGTGGTTGAAGACGATTTCGATGAGGTAGTGCGTGGTTCCGCACCTGGGGTAGGAGTGCCATACGCGCACCTGCAAACAGAAGATAACTGAGCCACTCTGGTGCACTTTTTTATGGCATGCGTTGGAGCGTCGTTAACGGAAAGTGTTATTCCAGTTGTAAATACCGAGCAGAACGATTTTGCCTCCTCGGCATATGCGTCTCCATTGAAGGCGCGGTAGCAACTAAAAATGGTCAATGAGAGGAAATCAAGAAGATGTGCAAGGCATACTTGTTGTGGCTGCAATTTGGGAAATAACCTGCTGCCACTAAACTTGACAGGAATAATAGGGCCAGCGCAGCGAAGTTTTGTAGCAACATATTGTTTCTCTCTAATATTTGATGATGATGCAAGAATTTGAGAGAACACCTCAAGCTTTTGCAGAGCAAAGCTCTTTACAAGGAAAATATTGAGACATAAGATACCTCTATGAAACTCAGATCCCTACCTAGAACAGTTATATCATGCCATTTCGCACTTCTCTGAACAACTGCCGATGCCAATAGCTCGGGAGAGTAATTCTCATAGACGATCTACAATCAATTGGGTACGATGGGAACACCAGCATTCCTGTGGAGAGTCCGAATCAACGCCAACTAACAAGAAAGCTTCCTAGGACCTATCAATAACATTGTACTTCGATTGATAAGGCTGTCAAGACTTGAAGTCTCAGAGATCCCTTAGAGACCCTTGATAACCCTTTGGGGACGGCATTGAAGCACCGAATCTAGATTCTGGAAGGAATGATGGACATGACAGGCTTCATATTGGTGCTATAAGTTACACAGGCGACATTTTCAGGTGTCTTGTTGGCCTCCTATTGTGTCGAGGAATGGACAGAGGGAAGAGAAGTCTCAGTTCGGAACAAAATGTGAAGTATTTAGCGACCACGTGATTATAATGTCAGGCTATTGTGACCACTTCGACGTCGCCAATCACGATGCTGCTGCAACGTTTTGATTTTGGGAACAATGGGACCTAAGCCGTTAATATACAAGATGACTCAACGGCAAGCAAAACTGTCTTTCTTTGAGTCAGACATATTGAGCTGTCTCAACTTCGATACATTATCCTTCAATAACCCATCGTTCGCCAGAAAGCGATAATAGTACACAAAAGTCAACTCTTAGCCGGAAAACTATCTACTGGTCCTGAGCCTCAACTTGAGGCCTCGAGCCAGAAGCAAACTCCATTCGATAACGCCGTGGGATCAGCCCTTCAGGCTTCAAATTCAAACCACGTTCTTCCTTTGCCCGCGATGTCTCTGCTAAGTCTGAAAAGATATCTCTAAATGTTTGGACCGAGCCCAGCGATTCCTTCTCAAGCCATGGCGCAGTCATGCGCCGTGTCTCCAGCCTGATCAGAGGCATCCGGTGAAGGATGTAAGGGCAATAGGCCCAAGTCATCGATTTCCAGTGGCGCTAGTGATGCCGAGCCAGATGCTGACGCCGAGAGGATGCCGACAAGAATGACTAGATGTGTTCGCAATGCTCATCTACTGCCGAGTTCCGCCAAGCGTTGTTCGAGATTTATGATCCCAAGGTGGTTCATCTGTGTCAAGACATTGGCTACGGTGAACCTTTAATCATGGAGCGTATGAAAGGGGGCAACTTTAAGAGAATCAATAGACTGACATTCGCCACTGATAAGAGCAAGCCTATGTCGTCAGAGTGCCACGACAAGCACTCAATGAAGATCAAGGATATGTAATGTAATCAAGGATCATTTTACAGTACATCTATATCGTATAGACTCCAGAGCCATTCCCGTCCATACCATTGCGCGTTCGACTCAACACAGGACAATGCTATCGGCTCTCAATATATATGCAGAGATTGCACGGAAACAGCATATAGGACGCGTTCTACAAGCTTCCGCTGTCCGACAAACTCCAAAAGGCCACCTCTATTTCCGAGAAGCTTGTAAAGCTCAAGTCCGCTGTCTTTGATAAGCCTAGAAGGCTGGTTGCGACCGGTGATCTCCCTGCCACCCGGCATCGACCACTCACAGCTCTCAGCGAGATCCAGGTCACAAGATAGGCCCGTGTTGAAGATGCAACCTCTTCACTTCTGTAATTTTCTCATTGCTCGAGCATCAGAAAAAACAAAAACCCGAACAGACGGTGCAATGGGAAATTCAATAGGCTGCAGGCGATTGCTTTCGCGATGCAATAAGCAGGTTTTACGCGAGCCAAGGACAGCAGCAGCGTTCCACGGCACTAACTAGGATCTTTCTGCTTCGAACTCGCTGGTGCGGTGCGGTGCGGTGCGGTACGAAAGACATTTCTTCCCGTAAAAGACCAAAGCCCACCAACTAACGACCAGCCGTACAAGGCAAGGCGGCAATTCGACTCCAAAGATGCTCTCGCGAATCCGAACCGAACTTCAACAATGTAACAAGCCAGCAAGGTATAAATTTAGTACACGATTCTCTCGCAGCAAACGAAACTTGAAAAAAAAAAAAAAAAAAGTCTAGTAAGCTCACCACCAGAAAGAAGCTTTCAAAATGTCAGATACCCCAACCCAGCCCCCCCCCCCCCCCCCTCCCCATATTTACAATCAATCTATGTATCCCTACTACCTACCTAGACAGCACGGCAACCCTTGCGCCAACTTACACAAGCAGACTTCTCTTCCTATGGAAGAGCATAAGCAAGACCGACTTCTGGAGAATGTATCTGATATCCGTTCGGCTGCCAGGCCGCCAGGCTGCTGCCTCAGCGGGAGTCGAAAGATTTAGGAGCCGAGCCGGGCCGAGCCGAGCGGTTGGTCGGTCGATCCCCTTTGTTGACTTACTCTTGCCGACCTTCGCTTATTTGATCTATGCCCCATATTTTTTTTTTTTCCGGTCTTGGCTTGGCTAATAAGGTAAGCAAGGCAGGCAAAGGAAGGGAAGGGAAGGCAAGCAAAGGACTGGGGCAGTATTTTTCATATCTCCGTAGAGTAGGAAGAATGGCTGGACCTTTGGGTTTCCGGCCGCACTGAAGCCGAAAGTGTGCGATGAGGAATTCACGAGGGGCCTTGCCCACCAGGCTGGTGTTCATTTTGCAATGCAAGAGAAGCATGAGATCGCATGCTTGGCTGCTCTCGAGGGGCCAGGCTCAAGCAGGCCTACGAGGGACAAAGACCATATACACTCAGGTAAATCAAACGAGTGATAGGGCAAACAGGAAACGGAGATAACGAGCATATGTAACATCCTATTAAACGCTTCAGCAGGCTCCAATGGTGCTGTCAAATTTACTGCTTGCGGGAAGGTACGCTGAGCGATTACCATCCAACGCCACACGCCAAACGCCAAGCTATGCAGAAGTCCGAAGTCATCCTCCAAAATCCTTAACTTCCTTACAAGTCCCCGATCGTCTTTCCCACCCACTGAGCTCCACAGATATCACCCAGCTGCTTTTCCGTAAAATCACCACTCTTCCAGTTCCTCCCCGCCGCTGCCAAACCTATCCTCAGCCCACCAACCACTGCGTCCCTATCTAACTTCCCTTTCTGCAACATGATAAACCGCAACCCAACCTCTGTAGTCGTGATCAGAATACTAATCACGATCAGCACGATAACGATCCAGGTAATGACAGTCATCTTGGCGTCGGCGATGCTGTCGCTGAGAATCTCGGCGAGTTCCACAAAGACACGGCAGCGCTCATTGAGGACCTTGATGCGAGGGGCAATTTCCATGTACTCGCGGAGGGCGATGTAGAGCGGATGCAGGGTGGGTTCCGAGTCCCAGAAGAAGTTGGGAACGTCGAGGATATTGGAAGCTGGATTTCATTAGCGATTGCCATTGCTAGAAGGGTTTTCTTCACCTAGAACGATGGTGACTTACAGAGATTAACGTTCACCCGACTCTGGAAAAGCCGTCCGAGAATTTGCAGAATCTCCTTCCGACTCATGCCCAGATTGCCAGTCAGAGCTAGTGATTTGGGCACATCTTCCGCATTTGACATTGTCTGGTTCATCTTCTCCTCGAAGAAGCTCAGCTTGGTACTTTGTGCGATGGCGTGGCTCATAGTGAGCTTGATCATATGATCTCCACTTCTCAGCGTAATCATGTCATTGAAAATGCGCGGCCGTTCGGCCAGCGGGCTGTACTCGAAATGCAGCTCTTCCGTCTCGTACTCGTCTTCCTTTACAGGACGTATCACGAGAGATACGCCCGTTTCGTGTTCGGAGAAAGTCAAGTCGGCCAAGATATCCTTTTCCTGACGTTCAGTGAAATTCCAGAATACCACTACTCCGTAGGAAAAAACAAACATTTCACCGAAAGTAGTGGCATCAGGAGCGATCCGATTTGGGCTGTCTCCTCTCTTCCCCTGTTCCCTCAACCTGGTTTCCTCCCTCATTCTCCGGCCATCTTCCTCTCTCCGATTCCTCATCTCCTCACTCTCGTTACTCGGACTCTCCTCCCCACCTCTCACACCATACTTATCTGTATCTTCGAAATACCCTTCATGGTAATCCCTCTGCTCACTCCTCTCAATCTCCTCATCCAGCACCGCCTTCCCGCCAGGACTCTTCAACACAGGACTACTCCTAATCCTAAATCCCTCATGCCCGGGCAACAAAGGCAAGTGGTACACGGTGTAGAGACAATCATCATACAGCTTCGTCTTCGCCCCATGCTTCTCTTTGACAAATGTAGCCATAGCTTTGGGCTTATAGCTCTGTGCCGTACAATACGCCGTCACCCGCGCCAACTTCTCTGCTCTCTTCGCCTTGGGCAGACGCTCCGCATAACTCTTCCCCCTGACACCACCCCGCTTCTTCAGGACATCCATCTCCGCATCCCTTAACGGCGACAGATCCCCATCCAACCGCAATTTGCCAAACTCGCCGCCATCTTCGTCAGAATCCTCAACCTCATTTTCCGTCTCTGGGATGAGGACCAGCTTCTCCACGACCTTTGTGCTCCTACCCGGCACGTTCTGCTGCGCGATTCTCGTACTCGCGCCTAGAGCAGCAGTATTGGGTTTTCGTTGGGTAGGAGTAACTGGTCTGCGACCAGGCGGGCCTCGTGCTTGGCCAGAGGGGATTTCGGAGGCGTATTGAAGGACATTGTCGACGGAGATTAAGCGTGTCGGTGCGCGATTTCTGACTACGTTCTGGCCGTTGATATTTGGTCGTTGGGAGAGGGTACGAGCAATTTGAGGTCTTTCTCGGGCGTCAGTGACCTGAAAGACTTGTAAGTATTTGAAACGGGCAGGCTTTACTTTCCTGTGAGGTTATGAAATGAGGGTGCATACTAGGACCGATGGGCCTCTCTTACCAGCCACCGTAGACATTATGAAGATCCCCAATCGATTGGGTAGGTCTGTAACATCTATTTAAGTATCACGAAGGATGCAATTAGTAAACATTAAAGCGGTGGTCGAGTTCGTGGGTGAGAAGGGTGGTCAAAGAATTGTTGAGAGCTCATTGAATGCCAGTCAGTCTCCTCCGCAACGGAAGAGCTATCGTCATAGCAAAACTTAGGCGATAAGTAAGCCATGCTGAAATGTACCACCCGATAAGCAGTAACCACGAATTTCACATTAAACCTTTAACCCATCAGTCTTCACTTTTCTCGTACAGAATACACAATTGAACAATACATTTATCATCCGGCGAGAAAGTCTTTCTCTTGAAAGATGTGTTCTTTGCTCAATCTTGTGACTGATGCTCCGTCTCGCTATGTTATGCTCAAGGCCTTGCTCGTTAGCGAGCTCGAGCAAAACAGAGAGGCGAACCAGCTAGCTATATGAGTTTATTTCAACTGGGACAGGCAGTAAGTCTCCCAGGTACCAGGTACTGCCAGCTCCAGTACCGAAATACTGTTCATGCCAATGTCCCATCCGATCCTGTACACCCATGGCAGTCATAGTCTATTTGCTTTTATCTAGACTTCTTATTTCATTTCAGATCTGGCTGGATCTTGCCAAACCGGACGACTTGCCTTTATATCCCTTCCCTCCAGGAAATTATCGCTCTCCCTATCGCCCTCCCCAACAGTCAATCCGTCCTCACTCCTCCCACTCATCACTGACTGTTGCTGCCATCCACTCCACTTCTGTTCCCCCTCCCCATCCTCCTCTCCCTCTTCTTCCCCTCCCTCATCTCTAACCCCTCATCGCCAAACTGCGTCTCCTCATCACCGACCCTCACCCCTATCAGTCTTCCACCCACCTCAACATCCCCTTGCTCTTCATATTTAGCCTCCCTACCAATCGATACGATAGCCACCACAAGCACCGCTGGACTAGCACCCACAAGAGCTGGCCCCATCATGACAAGAACCCACTTATCCAGCCACTCCCCCACCCCCCCACTCCCCCCATTCAACTCTAAACACCATGTTCATCGCTCCCAGCAGTGCGCCGACTCCCGCGCACATCAGCACAAAGGGAAGCGGTCCAGGCAAGAGGAGCGAGGGTGTAGAGGCCGATGAACGTGAGGAATGAGATAGGGGGCGGGCCAGGCAGAGAGATACGTGCAGGAACTTGGACGAGGGTTATAAACCACAAGACAAGAGTTGCGCACGGGGCTTGGCGCAGGGCTGATTTGGGGCTGAGGAGAGAAGCGTTGGAAGAAATTGTGGACGACACCTCTTTCTGGCTGTGGAGAAGGCACATTCGGAGTACAGACCAGTGTCTGTGGGCTGAGAGCGGAGGGGGAAAATACTGCAACGGGGACGATACCAGAACCGGCTGAGGTGCCGAGACTGTAAGGAGGATCTTGAGTCCGGGAGACTGAGAGAGAAAGTGGGAGGAGAGAAATGTTGGATTTACAGAGATGGAAATTATGACAGACAGAAGCGAGTACAGCCCGGACTTGCCAGGTTGAACATGTATTGCAAAGGAAAGGCTGTTGATATCCAAAGGTCAATTAACGATGTTTCATCCGCGAGGTTTGCACGGAACACAAGCTGTCTCTTCAATCCGAAGTCATACGCCTTGGGGGACATAAAGCACCGACTACCAGGCCCCTTTGAGATATGTGCCTCGCCTGCACCTCGAATGCCTCGCCCAAGCATCCAGGTACAAAAACGCAGTTTTCAAGACCCAGTCTCAAGAAAATTTGAACGAAGTTGAAAGAGCCTTCATGCCGCAAGAAGAAAACGGAAGATACTCGAACACTTGTCAAGAGCCTCGTTCTTCACGAGCACTGGCCCTCTCCTCTCTCCTCTTCGCAACCCAAACCCCCAATTCCACCCATATCACTTCTTTCTCCAGCGGTTTAAGACCCGCAGCAAGTCCGCTCGTACTACAAGCAACGAACACTTTCGCTCCCTCCCACCCCTCTGCAACACCCATATTCGCCGCTTCATCTTGCCACCCATACCGAAATTCCTCCTTTTTGATACCCCTCCCCTTCCTCGCCCTCCACACACTCTCCCAAATACTCTTACCCACGATACATACGCTTTCCGGCTTGAACCTCCTAATCTTCTCCTCCAACACCACCACACTATCATCCATCTCCTTCTTACTCAGCTCGCTCCCATTCCGCGTTGGCCGCGCCACAATATTGGTATGGCCAAGCTCGAACAGGCGTGGCAAATCGCCATCTTCGTCCGGCCGACACCTTCGTGGTGTACACCCACTGCTGTGTAGTAGTTTCCAAAAGAGGTTCGAGGGGTGAGCATAGGCGTGCCCCGAGCGGGCAGTCTCTATGCCGGGGTTGAGACCGATGAATACGCATATCAGATTTGGCTGTAGGACATCGCGGAGTTCGGGGAGGTGGGCGTAGGTTGATGGAGGGGCGTAGCCCGAGGGAGGGCGGGACTTCTTTCTTGGTGACGGTGAGGGCGCGAGATGGGAGGATTTGCGTTTCGGTGTTGACGCTGGCGTTGGGGAGTTGAGTAGTGATGGTCGAGGGGAAGGTTCGGATTTGGTGGTCGGAGAGAAGGTGTAGCTTGCCAAATTCAGTCGTCCTTTGAAGGTTGCTGGTTTGTTATCTAAGGGAGCGGCTGTAGCTTCTTCATCATCTGTCTCTGTTTTGATACTGTCCATTTCGATATATAGAAAACCTTGTAGGGGTAGAGAGAAGGGTTAGATGCATGTTGGAAGAAATGGGGTTGAAGTAATTCGCTTGTTGCGCAACGACGTCTGAGACTTCTACTCGACCATAGCTGAGTTGGAGTGATAAGACATAGATTCTCCGAAGACATGTGGTCAAAAGAAGGTTGATCGATCAAGCTCGTTCTCGCCTGAAGCTTTTGCCCCTGTCGAAGCTTCCCTGTTGACAAAAGGAGGGGCTATCGTAAACTATATTTATCCTCAGACCATCATACTACTTACTATACGTATAGTAAAGCATCACAAGTCCCAAAAGCCTCTTCAATCTTGACATCAATTTACTTCACCGATTTCTTTGGCTAATACTAACACTCTTGCAAACAACACTCGCCATCATGGAAGCTGTCAAAAACGTTCTGCACAAGATGCACGTCACCGGGAACAGCGAAGCGGCAACCCCTCATCGAGAGCCCACAGCCGAAGAACTCCAAGAGCTCAAGGACAAGTACACCAAGGCGAAACAAGAGCAAGTCTTTGCCTTCTACGAGACACTCAGCACTACAGAGAAAGCCACTCTCTTCGAGCAACTATCCTCCTTCGACCCCGAGCACATAAACACCATCACCGACCGAGCCCTCAACCCTCCCGCCGAAACGAAAGATGCAGAGAAGGGAACTGGCCTCGAGCCCCTCCCCGAATCTGCTACCGCCAGTATCCTTGACTCAAAGACAGAAGATATCGAGAAGTGGTACGACTCGGGCTTGGACTTGATTGCTGCCAATAAAGTCGGTGTGGTGCTTATGGCTGGTGGGCAAGGCACCCGGTTAGGAAGCTCAGATCCCAAAGGCTGCTTCAACATCGGTCTGCCATCCGAGAAGTCGCTATTCAAGATTCAAGCAGAACGGATTCGTAAAGTACAAAAGCTGGCACAGAAGAAGGGAGGAAAGGGGGAGGTCGTGGTTCCATGGTATGTCATGACCAGTGGTCCTACAAGAGGCCCCACCGAGAAATATTTCCAGGAGAACGACTATTTCGGACTCGAGAAGGAGAATATTGTGATTTTCGAGCAAGGAGTTTTACCTTGTATCTCGAATGATGGAAAGATCCTGCTGGAGAGTAAGGGGAAGGTTGCTGTGGCTCCTGATGGAAATGGAGGCATCTACCAGGCATTGGTCACATCCAATGTTATGAGTGACATGCGAAAGCGAGGTATCGAGCACATCCACGCTTACTGTGTGGATAACTGCCTGGTGAAGGTAGCAGACCCGGTCTTCATCGGGTTTGCTGCCTCAAAAGACGTCGACATTGCCACGAAGGTTGTCCGAAAGCGCAATGCTACCGAGTCTGTCGGTCTCATTCTTCTCAAGAATGGCAAGCCAGATGTCGTCGAGTATTCCGAAATCGACAAGGAGACTGCCGAGGCAAAGGATGCCAAGCAACCTGATGTCCTCAAGTTCAGGGCCGCAAACATCGTCAACCACTATTACTCATTCCGCTTCCTCGAATCGATCCCAGAATGGGCACACAAGCTCCCTCACCACGTTGCCCGCAAGAAGATCCCGTATGTGGATACCGATAAGGGAACTACGATCAAGCCAGAGAAGCCCAATGGAATCAAGTTGGAGCAATTCGTCTTCGACTGCTTCCCATTGCTCAAGCTCGAGCAGTTCGCTTGCATGGAGGTTAAGCGAGAGGACGAGTTCTCGCCGCTAAAGAATGCTAGAGGTACAGGTGAGGATGATCCAGATACCAGTAAGAAGGATATCATGGACCAAGGAAAGCGGTGGGCACAGGCTGCCGGTGCCACGGTCATCAGTGAGGGCAGTGCTGATGGCATTGAGGTCTCGCCATTGATCAGCTACGTAAGTTATCTGTTGCTTCCGTCTAGACAATACTAACATGGTCACAGGGTGGAGAGGGATTGGAAAAGCTCAAGGGGAAGACGATTACGGCTCCGGCAGTCCTGGAGAAGGAATTGTAGTGGGACCACAGCCATGTCGGAGTCGAAAAGCCAAATTTAGGACTAGAAGATATAAATGTCATTGCTTGCATTTTGGGATATATCCTGCTTGGCTGAAGGCCAGCATGGGGGTACACTTCTGGAGTTCTAGTGAACATGAGGTGATCTTGGTTGTTCTGTTGGGTTTCTAGCCTGGAGACGGATCCTCGCCACCCCACACTCGCATCCGGGTTGCCTCTGCCCTCTGTTGCGTACCATTATTCTCGAACTTTCTGACACTTCATTAATTACCTCTACAGCGTCACCTGATTGAAACTGTACCGTAGATCAGCACCCCCAGTTTTTAAGCACCGGTCTGATCTGCAGGGCTCTCCGCCAGTTAGTGGCGAATATCCAATCAGATGAAAATACCTTTCTGTACTGGACTGTATTACCCCAGGTTATGTCTGCTTATCGAGTTATCAATACTCAAGTAGCCAAGTTAGGTACGTAGTAGTTCTCTATTGCTCGGCCTTCCCGAATTCGCCACGCTCAATGACCCGGACATTTGGATTGTGTTACTTGAAGTACATGACTTATGCCAAGAAATGCCCGACCTCCGCATCTTTCAGACTTCCATTCAACCAAGGCGCAGCTTGGACTTGGGCTTGGGCTTGGACTTGGGCTTGATCATCCTGAATGCGACTGTGATGGCTATCTGTGGACGTGATAGGCTCAAGCCGTACGTCTTCGGGTCATTGATATACGGTACAACGGTAACGCGGATCATCAGCTTTGAATTCAAGTAAAAGCTCCGACGTGTCATGTCCTTGGCAAAGGCAAAGGCATGGGACGAGGCGCATTCAATCCAATTGATTATTCTATTCAGGACGCTCCATCACACAGAACAGCATAGCACACTCAAGGTTGAACAGCTGCCCTTTCCCATTCCCCATATTTTATTACATTTATACACATACCTATCTACACACACTCTCTCTCTCTCTCTCACATACATACATACATACTAAATCCCTATCCCTATCCCTATCCCTACCCATACCCTCAACCTCAACCCCACCCACCTCATCGCGACACCCGCCTTGACACATCCAACATTCACACCACCAATTCAATTCGAGAAACGCATCCACACACAAGAACCTCTACCCTGCATCAATCAACTCAGATCTTCGGACTTCTCTTCCTTGCTGCCGACCAGCACTTCCCTTTTCTCCCATCATAAAACAACGGAGAGGACTCCACGATGAAGTTCTTCTCGACGCTGGCAGTAGCCTGTCTCCTCGCCCCGACAATCGCGCACCCCCAACCCCTCACCACCGACAACCAACGGCGCGAGGCCGTCGCAGAAGCAGAGTCCATCTTCGCACCCGTCAGCGCAGTCAGCGATCTCTGGAAGCGAAAGGGTGGCGGAGCAAGCGGTGGCAAAGGAGGCTCTTCATCGTCGTCTGGCAAAGGAGGAGGCACTTCATCTGGGTATGTTCCGAATCCTCGTCCGAGAGAGAGAGAATATGGCGGGTGACATTTCGCTGCTTGGAGGAGGAGATGAGGTGGAGGCTGGAGGCAGTGCTTCGGCGTCGGTCCATTTGGCTGCGCATAGTGTGCAGGAGGACCTACATACGAAGCGGCTGTCGTTACCACCAGTCTACCTCTCTCTTCTCTTACTCTTCCCAGGACCAAAAATGGTTATCGTCTTCTCTCCTCCCAGGCAGACAGACTAACAAGTATAGTTCCACATCATCAGGTAAAGGCTCGTCGAGCTCAAACGCAGGAGGCTCTACAAGGACTGGTTCAGGCGCCAGACCCGTCTATGGCGGGTATTATGGCGGAGGAGCTACGACACCATACAGATCTGGCTCCAGATCTCCATTGGGAATTGCCCCTGTATTCCTAGGTGTTGGTTTGCTGGCCATCTACCCGGGCCTGTGGCTCTACGGTGCCTACTCGTACCCTTACAGCAATCCATACTCGTTCCGCAACCGCACTGCCCAAAACACGACGACTCCTACTCGTGACGTGCAGATGGCTAGAATTCTAGTCAGACAGAATGAAGGTGTCAACGAGACGAAGCCCGTCATCTGTCTCTGCGCTGAATATTCTGGTCAGTAACTCTCCACCATCAGGGTTCCTTGGTATCGGGATTGTCGGAAACACCCATGCTAACATGACACAGTCTGTGGTTGCGACGACAACAACAACTCCACCTTCCTCGATATTCTCATCGGCGATGGTGATTATTTCAAGCTGAACCAGTCCTTGGTCACTGTCGCCGACGTCAACGGCACAAGCACCATTCTCATCAACGGAACCCTCCCCAACGGCACCACCGCAGCTGGAGGAACCGAGGATGCCTCTGCAGCCATCCGCAGCATTGCCGAGGCCAGCGGGTACTGGGTGATGATAGGCCTTGTGGGCCTAACCTGCTTCGCCATCTGAGCTTGATTCTCACACTCAGCTTGCTAAAATTTCTCTTCGTACAGCCAGCTACAGACTAGAACTAAATCCTTTTCTGAGCGAGGACTTCTTCTGGGACCAGAGCCACTCCAATCAAAATTCACCCCGAAGGCTGGAACTCGTTACACTTATGGCATAATCATAATTTTGAGATTGAGGCCTGCATGAATGTACTACATACGGTATTCTCTGGTGTTCGGGGACCTGGCGGGATATCATTGGGATTGGCCCCTCTGCGTTGTTTTTCACGGTTACGGGCACATACGGAAGGGGTGTTAAGGAAGGAAGGAAAGGAGTCAAAACTCCATTGTATGATAGCCACTGCATCATATTGCTCTCGGCGCCTCGGAGGAAACTCGAAGGTATGATAAGAAAACAACAACGCGCTGTTTCTGATGACATACTTGGGCTTGTATTTTGTCATTTGGGAAAGATGCTTTAAACATAGACGAAAAGATCACTCACTCACTTCACCTCCGACCCCAGGTCTTTTTCTCGTAATATAATAAGTAGAGAGAACGGTATTTATTGAAAAGAAGCCTCACAGAGAGGTGATGCAGATATGCTCCTGATGCATGAATTCCAAATTTACCGGTCAAGCTCAAGGAAAAAGAAAAAGAAAGCCAGACCCAAGCCCCCAGTACCAATGCAAATAAACATATACCGAGACCAGGTCCGTCTAGTTCCGGTCCAACCTGCGCCTCAGATTCCTCGTCCGCCGCATCAGCTTCTTGTACTTGTGCTTCTTCATCTTCAGCTTGCGCTGCCTCTTCACACTAATCGCCAGCATATCAGTCTCCTCGCTTCGCTGTATTCGATACTGTTCCTGTCGCTGTTTCATGCGCTCCAGGAACTTCTGCGGGCCCGCCTTGGGCGCGTCTTCGATGAGCGGGGATGAGTGCGCCATGTATGTGACGTCGCCGTTGGCGTCCGTCGACTCCTCGATTGTGAGCATGGCGGTATATATCCTCGGTTGCGGGAGCTCTGCTTGGATTTCTTGCGCGGCTTCTGCGCCTGCTGCTAAGGACTCGGGCGTATTTTGCGGCGTCGGAGGGGCAGGAGGGTGGAATGGCTTGTAGCGCCCTACGAGAAGGTGTTTCGGGAAATTAACCGAACTATCCTCCGCAGTTGGGTCCAGGTTCGTAGTCTCCGCAGAGAGCTGGCGGTACGATTCTGGTGTTATACCAGCTCGAACATCGTCTGTCTCTTGGTTCCACTTTTCTTCGTGCACCTCAATTTTGACCTCTCCTATTCCGCGGGAGGACATCGCTAGGTTGTGATAGTTGTCATGATCTTCCGAGATCAGTGGGATGAATTGGGAAGATTTGTTTGCTTTGGTCTTGGCCGTGAAGATCGAGGCGAAAGCGGCGTCTGTTACTATCCTTGGGATGCTCTGCGTGAGGGACATGGGGCGGTGGAGAGCGAAGAAGGCGGATGCGCTGATTTCTGCTAGGCGTTAGGTTCTCTCCTTGATATTTAGACTAAAGACTGTGGATACTCACGCATAGGAGCAATATGATGCGTACTCGGCACACTGGGTAGATGTGCGTATGCCTCATCTCTACCCTTGACTGTAGCATCCTTCGCAACGTCTTTCGCCACCTTTTTGGACCGTTTCGACTTTGCCGGAGCTGCCGCTATCTCGTTTATTCCACTGGAGCCATCGGCTGGCCTAGAGGGATTAGAGGAGGAGTGTCGGCGAGAGTGGTAACTGAGTATATGGGAGGAGACCGCTGGCGGAGCTGCGGAGGAGGGGAGGAACGAGGCAGTGGGCGGTTGTGATACCGCGCGGGCTACCCGCCGGAGGGAAGAAGAGAACATGCCCTCCCCGTTCTGTGTTCCCGTTCTGTGTAAAGAGCGTAGGATAAGGTGGTGGTGGTCGTCGTAGTCGTGGTCGTAGGTTGGATGGAGAGTGGATGTATGATTTCGTGATCCAGGACAATGGGGTTAAGGTTTGTGAGGTAGCCAGCCACCAGACCCTGGCTTTTGTACGCTACCGGTACTCTGTTAGTGCACGTGAGTAGGTAAATTTCCAGAAATCATAATTTGGTCAATGATGTGATTCCCCCAATGATCATTATTCACCTATGCGCTATATAATTCTTGACTTTACTTACTACTGTAGAAATCGGATGCGTCGCTATTTCAGACTTATAGGTACCCAACGCAATTCAACCATCGCCTGCCTACTCATGCGAAAGAAACTCATAATGGAGCTTCCTAATACCAGCTTCCAGCTCCATGGAACGACCCAACTTGGGAAAATTCAGCGTCAAGTGTTGTGGAAAGACAAACACGCAAAGAACCAACTATTGCAATTTTCTCACATTTGTAGTGCCCAAGGTATCAATCGTCCCTAGCCATAAGGTAATCAACTCATACAAAATCGCCATTCAACCATTTCGTAATAACCCAACCTCCAAAGTCTCACCCTGACCTGACCGCTCAGCAAACATGAGATAGATCCCTGAAAACCATTTGAACTCTGCTCCTCTGCAATGCTCCCGCTGCAGGACCCTGACCCTATTTGCGTAGATACTGGCCAACGGCTGCAGCGACCAAGATGCCAATCACCAAGAGCTCAATGCCCATCACGATCATCGCCCATTTCTTCTGCTTTTTTCCAAACTCGTAGAACTCGTTCTCGCTGTACGAAGCCATGACACAGTCCAGTACGCCGAGTGAGTACAGGACCAAGGCGGGTGGGAAGATAGCGCAGATAGCAAAGGCAACCCAGGAAATCTTGCTCTTTCTGCTCAAACTGTTATAGATACTCCCTCCTCGTCCGTCTCGCGACATCAGTCTCGGAGGCTCGTATACATGCCGGCGCGCAAGTCTTTCGCTCTCATCAGCTGAGATGGTGGATCGGGAATTATGGAAACCATCAGCCTTTGCTCTCTCCTTGAATTCAAATAGGCGCGAAACTGAATACAATTTTTCCCATGTTCTGACCTTAAGTGGAGCAAGTGGAGAGCGGTAGACAAATGTATTTGGTTCAACGTATGGGCTGTGGATGGTGGAGCTGACTGGGGTAGATGGCTGTCGGTCTGCAACTAGAGAGAGCGGGCGTAGAGTCTTGCTTGCATACGTCTTCGATGCGTTGCGGTTTCCTAGAATTTTTGCAAAGCCATCATTTTGGTTAGATACAACGCGAGGTTGGTCCGAGACCGTCCGCACTCCTTGATAAAAGGCACCTGGAGGCCGACGAGCTGATGCTGGCTCGATTCTGGTAGGGAACACAGGTCTCTTCTTACCGATAAGATTCGCAACCTCATCATTCAGCTCCTCGAGGGGCATCTTGTCTTTATCAGAGCGCGACTTGGCCGAAGTAGCAGGAGGCTCGCTGCTGCTCATAGCAGGCATGCTCTCATCATGGGCATGATCCACAACATACGCATACGAGTTTGGTCGATCTCGGTCATGATTGATACCTTGACGAGCGAACGGGTGGATCTGAGTGCTGATGTAAGGCCCATGTTGGCGGTAGCTGTCTCTCCACTCTGAGTCTGATCTCTGTTCAGCCTTCCTCGACTTACTGGTCTCATTTTTTTCCTTGGGCCCACCTGGGGAGAGAAAGCTACGGAGAATACTCTTGGGTGTGATTACTCGTGCGACGTCCGGCGGTGATGAATTGAACGGGTGCTTATGGTTCTCTGAGAGTGGCGGTGGGCTCTGGAAATAGGCCGGACTTTGAGGCTGCCGAAGTCTCATTGAATCGGCAAGATATCCGTTGACCTTGTGCTCTTGGAAGACAGGCATGAGGACTGGCACCTTGGCCTTGAGCTTCTTCACCTCTCGCTGACGGTAATCGCCAGAGTATTGAATTGAACCCGGGTGTTGTGCGATTCTGTCTGTCGAGCCGAAGTCTTCGAGCTCTGCGATAGCCATGCTCGAAGAGCCAGCATCAGAAGTATTTGCTATGCTGCTGCCAGCTCGATGGAAGGCACCTCCAAGCATTCCTGGGTCATTTTCGTCCCCGTAGAAAAGCCCAAAAGCACTCTCCGCCTCTCCGACAGTCTCCCAGTCATTGGCATCACTGTCCGGAGTAGAGCGTCTGTTGCGTGATTTTTGTGCTCCCATAGCCGTAGGAGGGGCTGGAGGAAAGTCGGGGCAAACATCATGGTTGGCGACATTGTGGTTGATTGGAACTCGAATACTCTGATGAGAGTTGATCCAATCGGATGGAATTGCACTTTCATCGTAAAAGCCCGTCCCTTGCTTGTCCACGATGTGTACTCCACCATGCTGACCTACCGAATGTGCATGCCCTTTGCCTTTGCCATTCTGTCCTTCAGTGAGCTTCACCAGGCTTTGGTTCGCTGGGTTCTTGCCATAGTTGATGATCGCACCAAAGTCCAGGAGCGAGGACGAAACACTATCCACACTATACGCACTGTAGCCACTTGCACGTCTCAATGCCTCGCTAACTTCTCGTTCGAGGGGCTTTCGAGCATAGCCTAATCCGTCATCATATACACTGTGATTTGGACCTGTACGCTGCAACGAGTTTCTGGCTTGGCTGTATCGATGAGAGTTTTTGTGGCTGATGCGCGGAAGACTAGGCAAAGTAGAATTTGCAACGTCTGAGCTAGACTCGTTGACATACTGGCCACTGTCGTCTTGACTATCTTTGGTACCTTGGCCGTACTCGGCGCCTCTATTTCCGTGTTGAACTTCAATTGACGATGACTTAGGCATCGCAGAGTCCGAACTCTCTGTCTGATCATATTGAGAGTATGGTTGCCCAAAGTAGTTCTCTGTCTTTCGCTGCTTCTTGACACGAAGTTCAGAAGGCTCGAGTGGTCCATATAGCGGAGAGCTAGGTGACTGACGTTTGTTTGGGTTTTGGGGGTTGAAGAGATTCAGCTGACGGGCTGGAATTCCAGGTCGCTCATGACTATTCTTGTCTCCTTCCCGCCCTCCAGAGCTCACATAGTGCTGAACAATGTTTCCAATTGTACTTCCTTCCGGCACCGAAATATTTGTGGATGAGCTCAACAGTCTCGAGGACTTGTAGGGTTGTGTGCCGATTGGCGGCGGAGGAGAAGAAGGCGGCAATGTTGGTGACTGGAAAATCAAGGGACAGTGGTTGCTTGTGTGTCTGTAGCTAGAACTACCTATGCCATTTTTACCGTGAGGGCCTGCTTGACTACCAGAATGATAATGGCTCGAGTGGTAGATTGAGTTGTCTTCCACATAGTAAACATCATGCGGGCTCTCCTCCAAAGATCTCGCATCATGATCGAACACACTGTTCTGACGCTCCTTTGGCCAGTGAGACGGCAAAGGTGACGCAATAGATGCGATGGCGTTCTTGAGGCTGCTTAGCACCGATGGGTCTCGCTCTGGCAAGCTAGGCTTGAGTGGTTCCCCCAGGTATGCGACCGCAAACTCATCTGTTTCACCCAGGAAGTCATGACCTCTCTCATAGCTTCTGCTTCTTGGCAATACCGCAGGAAAGGGGACCAATGGCGGGTTTTCTCGGAATGAAGCTTCCTTGGGTCGACTCGAAGGGTCTAGCTCCTGCAAAGCAATTGAGTGGTCCTCCTCGGCAGCAATCGCTTGGCTGTTCGAGGGATTCCGAACCCTACTTCTAGCCGTTCCAGAAATGATAGAAGAGTATGCAGTGTGCAAGTCATTAAAGACAGCTCTGGTTGGTGTGTCCTTGCGCTTTCCAATCGATTGAGCCGACTCTGAGGATCGTAATATAGAGGAATCAGAGTCAGACGTGTCCTCTTGCTTCCGAAAGGGGTTCGTAGACTTTCGATAATTCTCACGATAAGTTGCGAAACCATCTTCGACACTGATGAGGGTGGGCTGAATGTCGGTTGGTGGCGGGCGAGCATCTATTCTTGGTGGAGGGCCATCATGGACGCGTCTAGATAGGGTCTCCGAGTCCATTGTCAAGCATGGCCAGGTTTTCAAGACGTCGATAAGTCTAAGTAGAAACAACAATGATTAGTTAAGCTACACTTATGCTTCGCAATATCGTCAAAGAACATCGATCTACTCACTGTTGGCTGAAAGCGTAAGACCTTCCTTGAAGCTATCAGTACACTTAAGTGGAGTGCTGAACGGCTGCTGCAGACCGTGTTTGATACTCGCGAACCAATTGCTTGTGTCGTGTCTGCAAAGGAAGTAATTCTGGCGCAGGTAAGAGTTCGGCGAAGATTCAAAGGTACGTCGAAGGAGGGAGGGAAAAGAGTGACGGAGATGATATTGTAGAGCAGAAAGGTAGAGACTGTGTCGGGAGGTAGTAAACGAGAGACTGCACAGTGAAGGTGCCCCACAATTGGAGATGAAAGAGCTCCAATTTTGGAGTGAATGCTGGTGTTGACCTGATTGGTGTTGGTGTTGTTGTTGACGCCGATGGGACCGAGTAAAGGAGTTTGGTTTCCTCACAGACCTCTCAGCCAACCAAAACGCAGGCCTCTCCGAACCTAACCACCACCAACCTGAACTTGACCCCAAATCCGACCCAGTTACTTGATTTGCCGAATTCAATGCTTCTTATGCTGCTGTTGCCCTAAGATTTTTGACTGCGGAAGAAGATTGCAAGTCCAGCGCCGTCAAGAACTATACGAGTCACCCTAATGCCCGTGGTCCAGTCTCGCAGCACCACTTGACGGGTGACTGAAGGCCGATATAACTGCTGCAATGCATCGCTGAGAGGACGAAAGGACTTGAAAAGCCGTCTTAGAAATTGGCATGCTCGTCTCTTTGCAAGTGAGATATGGAGCGTCCAACTCGCACTGGAGACCATGAAGTCGATTTGAAGCAAGGGCAAGAGCAAGAGCAAGAGCATAGCGAAAGCAAGAACAACTTGGAAGCCAATAACTTCACGAAGGAAATAGGGAGGTAAGGTACGTATTTAAGGAATCTCGCGATCGTATCAGATACCTAACAGCATACAGGCAAGTACGACTTACATTTCTTCGCCTCCTCGTCGTCAAGCTTACTTACTTACTCTTTAGCAGACCATCTCCACAATCCTACTTAGCTGTCCTCAAGTTCCAGTCCTAGCCGCATCCAGAGACTTCAGTAATGAACTCATCTCTCTGGGGTACATCTTATTGCCTTCACCGTCTCCGACTTTTGATACTTCTCTTTATCCATCCATCATGGCAGTTCTCGGAAGTAGCCTATCCACCAGCCTCCAAAGCCACTGCTACTTCCAGGCAGTATCCTTCTAAATCTGCCAAAACAATAGCTACAATGCGGCTACGTCTGGAGCGCATACCGGGGAAGATTTCAACTGAGCAGGGAGCTTACAAAGTCCTCCTCCCCACTTTGAGGTTGACCGAATATCCAAAGCATCGTAGCCAGGACTTCACGGTAAAATTTGAGGTGTTACCGAGCAACTTTTTGTCAGATAACTCTCTACTCAAGATAAGGGGCTCTGATGAATGTTGTTGTCGTTGTCGGTGTCGTTGAATAGGATCCCCTTGGCGAGAGGAGTTTGTGCACGAGCATCAGAGCGACCTGTTTTTGACCCCCACTTCATCCCTCCCCTTACCTATCGAGCTGCAGCTTTCAGACAATCGCTCGGTCTCTCAACCTTCAACTCCACCAAGATGCCTAGATTCGATACCCTTCCTTCAGAGATTATTCTCCACGTTGCTAGATGTAACTCCTCCCTTTTTGGACACTATTCCGAAAACTAATTCAACGATACAGTCCTTGATGCTCTAGACATCGTTACATTGCAGCATGTCAACCAAAGATTCCTAAGCCTCGGCAGAGATGATGCTCTATGGCGAGAACAATGCTTCAACAGGTCATATTTCCTTACCAGTCTGCGCCGCCGCCGCGAGCTTTTGACTTCCTATGAGCCGCAAGAGCTCCAATTTCGTGATCTAGCGCTCGCTCTGGCAAGTGGAAATGGACTCGGCGACTCCCGACTCGTGGAACCCCAAGGGGAAGCCCGCGATCTCAAGGCTCGATCAAATGAACGGATACGAATACTAGCCAACTGGGATCCCAGCTACCCCAATGAGAAGATCGACTGGTATTCCGAGTATATTGCGCGGAATGCCCCTATCTCTACGAGCTGGATGGAGCAGCCGCACAATAGGGACAATAACGACCGCGAATACTTAGAAGTCCGTGGTATGGCTCTTTATACACCGGCTGGGGAGGACGATGCTACCTTGGCTGTCGGTCCCCTCGATGATGGAAGTGTCTGTCTTTGGGATTTGAAGGGTACCCAGGGTCGACAAGGCAGCATCGTGGCCAGAAGCAAGTCTGGACTCATAACTACGGACCCCGCAAATCCGGAAAGGGATGCCAAGCGCTCAAAGGTGTTTAAAGATGGCGTGGTAGAATGTGTCAGCGTGGACCATTCGTCGAAACGGGCCTACTTTGCATTACAGAGCGGTATGTCCCATATCTTTCTTTCCGTTTTATGCTTTTCACGGCATAGGAAGCATGTCAGGTGCCATTCGTCCTATATTGTCACAAGTGTGGAGTTGATGTCCTTGGGCATATTTGAAAATCCGTGCATCCTGGCGCTTTCATTGCGTCTAGGTAAGCTTGAATGTGTTCAGGAGCTGTGATCGCGTCCCTGACACGTCAAGTGGTCGGTGGTACTGGATTTTTATCATCATTTCGTCCCTCAATCACTACAACTTAGCTCCTCACAGTCTTTCAAGTTTTATACTGCTTTTGCCTGCCTGTGCTTTCTTCCGGTTTAATCGAGATATGGAGAGCACAAGTGAGCCTTGTAGCTAATGGGAAAACTTAGGGCTTGTTGAAGTCGACCTGGAGACACTTTCTGTCATCAGCCACGAGAAGTTCCCTTGCTTGATCACAGCTATTTCCGAAGCCAAGAATCCTGTTCCCATTACCGTAGGCACTGACCGTTTCCTCTATCTCCACGATTCTCGAGCTCGCAGAGCCTCAGGGCCAGCAGACAGTGACTCCGATCATCTCGACTCCTACGATACAATGTTCGGCTATGTAGAAAGATCCAACAGCCTGGACTTCCGTGCCCTTCTCAATCCAGAAGCCAGCCCCATCTATACCCACCTCAGCCATTCGAAGCCACTCAGCATCCTACACCTCCCAAGCTCTGGAAGCGAATGTGATGGCAATGGCGAGATTTACGTTGCTGGTAGGTTCCCGAGTATCTTGAATTATGACCGGAGGTATTTCCCTAAGCTGAGGGGATCAATGCATTCTGGTGCGAGGTTGGCTAGTATGGCGTCTTTACCGTTTCCATTCGCATCAATGGAGAAGGATCTGGCTAGACGGGGTGAGCTTTCAACGGAGCAAGTTTGGGTAAGGCTTTTTATTTACTTCGGTTGCTTGGCCACCACAGCATTGGCCTTCGATTGCTAACTCCTTGGCCCACAGGAGTTCAAAAACCGCCCCGGGAAGACACTCATCGCTTGTGGGGAGTACAACAGCAAAGGCTCTCTGGAGATGTATGGATTGTCGTCAACACCGTACCCTACCATCTCCTCAAATTCCGCTGCTGGCAAGATTCACGATTCTGTGATGAAGAACCGGCAGACCTCGTCCGGTTCCAAATTGTTGTCCGTGTCGAATCACGGAACCCGGATTGTTGTTTCTGACGGAGGCGGTAATTTGAAATGGCTTGAGCGAGACGGATTTACTGAGGCGAGGAGATGGAATATTGCTCATGGTTCTGAAGAGGCTCCACGAGGAAGTACGTAGAGCTCTCGCTGCTTGCTGATATGCTAATGATGGTTAAGTTTTCGGGACTCTAGGCGACAACTACATGCATCCTGGATCAGGGGACATTGTTATCAAACTTGCAAACACCAATAACGGGCGAGAGGACAAAAGAGTCAACGAAGATGATCTGGTTCTATGGACCGGTGACAAGATCGGGCTGCTAAGCTTTACCACCAAGCCTGGTTTTACGGCAGACAGCTTCGAAGAGACTGGAAACAAGACGCCTGAAGAGGCACGCATAGAAATAGCGGAGAGAACTTATGCGGAAACCATGGGGCGCGCTCTGGAAGCCAACGCTAACGAGGTTAGGTGGATGCGTGGGTTAGGACTCGCTGCAACTTGATGTGCTTCTTGGGAGGATGTTCGCACGATGGAAGGGAAAACGACAGGAAGCATCCCAGGTTTGTGGTGGTCAGTAAAACGGCATGAAAGACGACGTGGAGAGCTAGGATCCAAGGACATGCATGGATGGAGCCCCTCGAGAGTCGAGGAAGCCAGTGGGGGCATCGACGACGTATAATTCTCCTTCTCCGTCCGCTGTTCCACCTCGACCCATTGGGCGGGCATTATCCGTAGAAAGAAACAAGGTACCGTATAGATAGGCAGCTGCATCCATCACCGTCGCGCGCTGTTACACGTGTTCCTGGGATGGGTTGTAAAGTTGGTGAGGTCAGAGTTTATCTCTGCCAGGGGGCGAGTGCACAACACTCTCATGTAGTAGTGTGCTCTGGTGTCTGGGTTTGTCGGACCTGGTACGATGGATGATTGATTGGGGATGCAGGTGAGATGCGATGAGAAACCGTCGTCCTCATTGCATTGCATGGCAAGGCGCGGCGAGGCGAGGCGAGGCGAGGCGAGGATCATTGGGTAAGTACCGGGAAGTGCACGGTGTCGGTGTCAGTGTCGGTGTCGGTGTCGGTGTCAGTGCCGGTGTTGGTGTTGGTGTCGGTGTCCCGTCGCTCGTCGTCTGAAGGTTTCGGGGCAGAAATGGCACAAATGGCGGAATGGCAGCAGAAGAGTGAGTGGGGTGTGAGTGGAGTGGGAGTGGGGTGAGTGGAGTGAGTGGAGTGGGTGCAGTGAGTGCCGTGAGTGGAGTAAATGGCTGACGGCGAATCAGAAGGGTAGGGCTGATCGACGGCTGCTTGGCAGCTACTTAGCGTGTGGCATCGACCCTGGCCAAGTCAACTCTACGGGACGGACTTCATCGCCTCGTTTCTTACCCTAAGCATTCCGTACGGGTATGTCTCCCCCATTGACATCAACATCAACATCAACATCAACATCGACATCTGCATCTGCATCAACGCTGCCTGCTCAATGCTAACGAGCATATAAAGACAATCGCGTTGGCACACAATCACATCTCTCTGTATCCATCTCCTTGCTGTCTATGCTTGCTAAAAATTTCGGTTCGTTTTGATCTTCGATGCACCTGTCGCGATTCGTACTTCCATCCTCCATTTCATATATGTTCCTTGATTCTTCATGGCGGTTTTCCTGAAAAGGAGCTTGAACCCAGAAAGCAGCCGTAGCAGCAGATCATCGTCAAGAAGGCATCGCCATGTCAGGCCCAATTCTCAGTCACGTTCTCGACGGCTCCAGAACGAGCAGCACAGTAACCGTCAACCTTATAACGAGCAACATCATTATCAGCCATACTCTCGACCCCTACACATCTCACTGCCTCACGCTGTCCAACCATCACAAACACCATGGTCGTCCCCCTCGCCAATGATCACGGTCACTTCTTTTCAAGTCGACCACGGAAACGTGGGCATAACAATGGAGCGTACCCCTTCCGGGAACTCTATCATGTCCGACACTCCACAGCCCTACTCTTCCCTCCAAGACGATCACACGCTAGACAGATTCGACTCAGAGGCCGCGCACCTCGTCGAAACCGTCTCTTCGCGTCTCCCCGCTCACACGAAACACTCCCGTATCCTGCGCTCGCTTATCCACTCACCCTTCCCCATTGACGACATTGCCCTCGCCTCGATCCTGCACTCCACCAACCTCCTCTTCTTCTCCGGGGTGCTTTCAGGCAGAGTCGAGTGGGAATGGTCATCCGCCCCTCGTTACTCCACCGAACTCATCGGCACCACTGCCCTCCGTCGTCGTGATGACGGCGACGGGTACGAATGCCTGATCGTGTTAAGCGAGCCGATCTTAAGAGACGAGAAGTACGATAGACGACTGCTACTGAGTGCCTTCTTCCACGAGCTCATCCATTGCTACCTTTTCGTGCTCTGTGGCTTCGAGGCGAGGAGGTGTGGCGGGCACACGGCGGGCTTTCGGCGGATCGCCGGCGTGGTGGATCGATGGGTAGGCGAGGGCGTCTTGGGATTGGGGTGCCTGAGGGCGAACTTATTGCACTTCCGAAAGGATCAAGGAGTGGTGCCGTTTGAGGGCGGGCCGTATAGGGAGGAGAGGTGGCGAGCATCTGAGTGGGAGCAGGAGCCGAATCGTGAACGTGAGCGTGAACAGGATGTGCGGGAGTGGAGTCCCAGGCTGGAGAGCGGGTTCTTGGACTCCGGCCAGATGATGGTGCCGAGGTACCATTAAGAGCGTATTATCTTTGCCTTTTCCGGGGAGTCTTTACTGTCGATTTCTCGACGTGGCGTTTGGGACGAGCATTGCTCGATAGAATATCTTGAAAGACGACAAAAGCATGGTGGCTATTAGGTAACCCGTGCTTAACCTGGGCTTCGGCTTGGTTTTGGGTTTGTATATGCACGAATCACTGGTGTCCCGAGAATATTGCTTCCCTAACATCGGGATTGGTTCTTTCAAACGGGACGGGAACGGGGACGGGGACGGGGCTGTTTCATCATATCATATCATGCCTCTCTGTCTCTATGTACATACGAGTATATATGTAAGTACGAATCTATATGGACTGTATATTCATGTATATAGGTATGTAAACACGTATCTTATCTATCTCTATGGGACATTCTCCATCGGGGCTGCGGCCTGCCTAGGTACCTACCTACCTACCCTATCTACCTACCCTATCTACCCCAAATACATACTAGGATTAATATACTACCTACGTACGATGTAAATGTATCACCATGCTTCTTCGGCAGTGCCAATCAATTCATCAATATCATCGGACTATTGTCTATTTATCAATTATTATTATATAGATATAGTTATCTAAAAAAAAATTTCCATTCATTTTCGATTCTATTCGAACCGAATCACTTCATCCAAAATCCAAAATCCCGGATCCCGAATCACGAGTTGTAGCTCGTAGCTCGTGACATGTGACCAAAGTGACTGACTAGTGGTGAAAGGAGAACGATTAGTGCGGGTGGTTTCAAATATCTATCTCATCTCATCTCATCTTATTTCATCGACTGACCGCTGGGTGCTTGATAAGGCGAGGTGGTGGTGGTGGTGGTGGTGGAAAAAAAGAGGAGAGAGGAGGAGAGAATGGTAAAGTCTGTGGGTACAGTAGGTGAGTATTACAACTGAACTACTCTTGCAGGATGGAGGCGGCGGCTCTCTTTGAGGGAATATATATATACATACACGAAATTGTGGCTCGGAGGTCTGGCTGGGAGATGCCATTTTGATCATATCCAGGACGTACGTACGTAGCAAACAAAGAGGACGAAGCTAATCAGGAAACGGTCCTCGCTCTATGGCATATCTTTTTTATTAGTTAGGGAGTTTTGGTAAGACTCGGGTACCCACTGACTGCAACGCCCATCCATGTCCCTCCTCGCAAAGCCTTGCGAAGTCCAAAGTCTCATGTATGTAGGTATGTATGTAAAACGCCAGATTCACTCACTCACACTCCAATCCAGTCCAACCCAATCCAATCCCACGGTTGAAGGTTCCGATATGCAAATAATTATCCATCCGATATGCTCCAACCTCAATTCACTTCACTGCTGCTCTCCCTTGTAAACACCCGGGCCGCACAACACGGCCACACTCTTGAAGAAGCGTCGCCACTCCAGCGGATCGCCCTTGACCTTCACAAAGCGCACCTCGAGCAGCTCCGCCTCGCCGGTGATGTACGTGTCGACCACGATATCACCGCTCAGACTACATTGCCTGCCATCCACCGTCTTGACCTTGATCCAGCCGGCGTGCTGGCGACCTTGCATCTGAGCCACGGGCGGGATGGGAACGTTGAGTTGGTGCAGGGCCTCGCTTAGCATCTGCAGCAGCAAGGGCGCCGAAAGCTGCGAGAAGAAGCGCGTGAGCGAGTAGTTCGGCACAATATCTCGGAACTGGCGCGCGTGCTGCGTCAGGCTCATCGGTACGGCGGGCACGGCTGCGAACTGGCTCATGCTCGGTTCGTCGGCGAGAGACTCGAGAGGGTGCGCGGCGCCGTTGGTCATGGTGCAGATGCCGCTCTCGTGGGCAGTAGTTGGCTGGCTGGCGCTGAAGGCATTGGCATGGGCGCGGGGGATGCGCTCCCAATCGAAGAGGATGTCATTGATGGGCGTTTCCGGCTGTGTGAAGGAGAAGCGCGGGCGCTGGTTGTCGGAGTCGATGTCCATTGCGTCTTGGCTCCCTCGGGCTCGTTGGGAGAGGGTAGGCTGCTTGTTGAAGTCGATGTGCAGGTTCTCAAGCATTTCGGTGGCAAGGCGGAGAGGGTCTTTGGATCTACCTTCTGCAGTTACCAGGCGATTCTGGCGGGTGTACCAGGGATGTTGCTTGATTTGGTGAAAGTTGAAGCGTTTATTGGGATCTACGTTCATCATCCCGCGGAGTAATGAGAGTGTAGTAGGTGGTAGCTTTTGCCAGAGTTCGTCCGTACTTCGTCCATTCTTGCCTAAATATTCTTCGAATTCCCAACTTTGCGATGTCGGCTCGTCCCATGGAGTATTCCCAACCAGTAAGACGAACAGAACCACGCCGCAAGACCAGATATCCACCTTGTTTGCCAAATAGCCAGCTGCGTTCGACACATTTCTCGATTGGGTATTCCTAGAGCAAGAAATGACTTCCGGAGCAATGTATGGCGGGCTCCCACACATCGTGCTACTCATCTTCGTCGCTCCTTGGTATTCGAAAAGCGTAGCCAGTCCAAAGTCCGCAATCTTGAGATCTCCTCTCTCCGAAAGCAATATGTTCTCCGGCTTGAGGTCACGATGGCCCACGCCCTTCGAGTGCATGTAATTGACGCCGCTGATCAACTGCATGAAGTAGAAGTGTGCGATATCCTCGCTGACCCCCGCATCGGCCTCGATCTTGTCGAATAGGTCCCCGCCCTCTGCATACTCCATGGCAATCCATTTCCAGACCGCATCTTCGCCGGTGGCAAACCATTCTATGATGTTGGGATGCTGGCCAATATGCGAATGGAGGGACACCTCCATGGCGATTTGCTTTGCTGATATGCGGCCATGCTTTACCGCGTACGCTTTGTGGATGAACTTGACTGCGAAGACGGGGGTTGTATCTGTGGGCGGAATTGCCTTTTTGATGCTGATTCAATGAGTACAGAATCTTCCGATGTATGTGCTTGAAGACATACGATGCATATGCTCCTCTTCCTATGGTTTTTGAGATTATACGGAAAGGCAGGTCGCGGGGCAAAGGGTCTAGTTGACTCTGCATTGGTGCCATGTTAGCCATTGTACGTGCAGTGATCTCAACATCTGGAATCGAAGGGCACAACTGTATATTTTCACTTACCATATCCAAAGAAAAAAAAAATTCCTTCCTAACGGTGTTGATCGAGTGGCAGTTGATATGAACGCGTGCGGGTTTCGAAAGGCAGTGCCAACGCGTAGGATGGCGCGTGCTGACCGGTGGTCAAGGCTACCTGTAAATTCAGCCTCGCTTCCCGCGTCCCCTGGTGAACCAGCAAGTAGACATGGCATATCCATTTGCCCACCAACAACACCTTTGTCTGCTTGCAGACGCAACTCGCGCATTTGCATTTGCATTCGCATCCGCAGTCGATTGATTTGCATTCAAACATTCTTCTGCCTCTCAGGAATTCGAGACCTTCTTTCTTTGTTCGCTCAATCAACTTCTTCTTGCCCTCACTTGCTTGCTCTCGCATTCATCATGACGGACTTCGATATGGAGGATACGCAGAACTCGGCCCCAGGCACCTTGCCCGCTGCACAGGCTTCGAAGCTCAGTGCTCCAAGAAAGGGCCCCGATGCTCAAAGTACCACCAAGAGGTCAGTTTGTTTGGGTCTTTGTTTCCGTTCGAAGCGCATGCCGTTGTGCCTGGCTTCTTACGGCTCTTGTTGGACATGGAATTCTGTTTCGGCACCTTGCCAATTGGACCTGCACCATTACATCTGTATTCAGAACCTGTCCAATTTTGTTATCAGCGCCATTGAACACTCGAAAAATCCCTTTATAAGTCAATTGCTAATGCCCTTGCCAGACTACAAACCGAGTTGATGCAGCTCATGACCTCCTCCGCTCCTGGCATCTCCGCCTTCCCATCCGCTGATGGTAACCTCCTCTCCTGGACCGCCACTATTGAAGGCCCCGACGACACCCCATACGCCAACCTGACTTTCAAGCTCTCCTTCGCCTTCCCCTCCAACTACCCATACGCCCCACCAACCGTCCTCTTCAAGACCCCCATCTACCACCCGAATGTCGACTTCTCCGGCCGCATCTGCTTGGATATCCTGAAGGACAAATGGACTGCTGCCTACAACATCCAGACTGTCCTGTTGAGTTTGCAAAGCTTGCTTGGTGAGCCAAACAAGTAAGCATCTCCCCATTCTCCTTACGAAGTCAATGCTGACGAAGAGAAAGCGCGTCTCCCTTGAACGGCGAGGCTGCTGAGCTGTGGGACAAGGATATGGAGGAGTTCAAGAAGAAGGTTCTTGGCCGCCATGAGGACATTGACGACGAGTAGAGTATCCGTGGGTTGAAATTGAATTTGTGGGGCGTTGGTCTTGATGGGCATGGAGAATGTGTACAATGAGAACCTTGAATTCGATGGGACGGAATGTTCGTTTCTGGCAGCATCGTCTGGGAAGCAGGGAAGGCGTATACCACCGGACATTGAAATGGGAGTGAGAGCGGTCGTTGTCCTTGCTGTAGATACCTTGGATGCTTGTATTCAGAAATTGAAGACGTTGAATCGAGTCTTGTACTATGCCTCTTGGAGGATTTTCCTGCTGGGTAGAGTGGTTGGTAGATCCAAAACTAAGAGCCTTGAGATCGGGTTCTAGCCAGGGAGATTGAATGCCAATGGCAATACTGTCTCCGAATACTACCCATGAATTAGAGGTAAGTAGGGTGGTAGACCTACCAGTATAATCTCCAGATTCCTGAGATTGCCATAAATCACGATACCAGGCGAGAGAAGGAATTGAAAGGCAGCATCGAAGGCGGCGGGACCGAGCGCGAGCGCGAGCATGAGTACTTGGAACAGAAAGTAGCTGGCATTGATTGATACGAGGGAAAACAGTCTTCGGTACCAGGAGTGGGAATGGTACGGCATCGGGTATCCTCTCACTCGAAATGGGAGAGCCTGCGAATATATATCGATAAGCGCAACTCCCGACTTAATTTCACAATGAGGGGGTAGAAGAAATTCTCTCTCCGTTCGTTGCCTCCTGCTGATCACCAATACCAACCAAGTGTATCCTATTCTCTCGCCCTGTTTCGGTTCTGTGACTCAAAGGCGGCAGATCAGGGCATGCATATCTATGTCCATATTGCTAGGTTACGCGGGAAGAAGGATACCGAGTCAGTGAGTGCACTGCTCAACTGGACAGGCGCATACTTCGTCGTGGAAGAGGGGCGGCACTCGCACGTCCAGATATAGATTGCCTGGTAAAGAGATTATTTCGAGTTCCCAATTTCACCAGGGAACATACGCTGTCCAAAGACTTTCTCCCACCATTCGCTCGGGAGTTCGTGCCGCATAGTCCATCAGCACCTCAAGTATCACAATGAGGCGTGTAGATACCCAGAAAATGGGCTTGTGTATGGGTATGTGTGTGTTTTGATTCGCCATTTTGACCCTTTCATTCATAAAGCTAGCCAGCAATCGAATGGCATCAATCATCAACTCCACCCAAACCTATGCCATGAAAAAAATCACCTAAGCATCCTCGACAAGAACCGTCTGCAACCCCTTCGCATTCTTCACGTTGACGGCCTGGACGTAGCTGTACAACTTCTCCTTCGCGCCCTCCTCGTCGTTACGCTTTCTCGAGATGCGGACGCGGATTCTGAAAGGGACACCCTTGATGCCAGCCTCCCAAACCTTCTTGTTCAGTTGGGGGTCGAGACGAACGTCGGATGTGCCCTGAATTTTACGTGTCAGCCCTGCCGACCTCGGCTTACCTAGCCAACTCCTCAATGCTTCCAGCGCTGCATATCCTCCTACTTGCGGGTCCTCGAGGTGGATGCGTACCATTGACTTTGTTGCGAACGCCTTGATCTCCTTGATAGCTCTCGGGGCACGCTTCTTGAAGGTAACACCATGAAGCTTTATTCGATCAGCACTCCTTCTCACTTTCAGATCCTAGGCGCTTCCATATCGAACGTACTCTCTTGTGCAGGTGGATGGTGTACTCGCGAGCAACGACATCGGAGATGGCGGAACGTTGGGTCTTGCCCGCAGGCTTCTTGGTCTTGGTCGACATTTCTGCTTGAAGTCAGTGATCTGTTTCCTGACGTGCAACGCAATAGAGCTTTTCTTGTTGTGAACGTACTGTGGATGGTCGCAAGTTGGTTGTTGAAGTTCGTTGTCGTGCACCTCAAATTTTAGAAGCTGAATTCAGACATTGGTTCTATTGTGGTGGCGCTAAAGTTACGCGAATTCTAGGCCCATTTTTAACTTCCCAAAACGTGCTAGTGCGAGTATATTGTTGCCTTAGGCATCAGAAACTCGACTTGGAGGGAAGGGAGAGCAGCCGAGGAGGCTGAGGAGCGCGATCGAAGTTTAAATAACTTCACCTCATACTGCGAGAGCGCTTCTATTGATAGAGTGCTGGGATCATCAGCTGTCTTCTCGCGGTTTTCGCGCCGCCGCACACTCGTTCACCCTCACTTCCATTGACCTCATACCGAAAGACAATATTAAACGATTACAATCTCCCGACTGTCCGACGACTACTTCAACTCCACTTCAATTCTCGGTCGGACCTAATCAGTACCGTCTCTCGACAATCAAATCCATAATCTCCTTCAGATGGCGCAGACGCACTCCCCCTCTCCGCAGCCGGATCTCAACCGGAACAGGCTCCCCACGCTCTTTGAGGTGCTGAGCAGAAGAACGTTGGCACCCGTCGATCTCTTCTTCTACTACATATACATGAGAGATCAGCAAAGATCTGTGGATTATCTGGACTTCTGGTATGCTCGGGGGGGATGTATCGGAAGGATGCAAGATCTGGAGGCTAACAGTACAAAGGCTCGATGTTGCTCAACACATGTCAATGTGCCGCCACTATGTCCGTGAACTCAGACGGTCCGTATTAGTAGGAACACCGGATGGCGAGAGGTCTGCTTCAAAGCGATCATCCGCATTGCTTGAAGGTCTCGGAGACATACAGGCGGGCCCATCAGGACCATCGGTGCTGGCAGGCGAGAAGGAGAGGTACCAAGACGCTCAGATGTCAGCCTATCTTCGTGAAGAGGCCGCCGCCAACGCAGCTCAGATGGGCCACTCTCCAGCTGGTAGCCTTGGATCCAATGTTCCCCAAGAAAACATTGAACGCCCAAGACCAAGCTTCATGAGCAGCCATGGAATGATGACCTCGGACTCGAATTCTCCTGAACACACCGTTGCTCGCGCCGATATCCGTTCCTCCGCCGAAAAAATCCTTTACACGTTCCTCCTCCCAGGTGCTGAGCGTGAGATCATCCTCCCTGATGCTATCACCTCAGCAATTGTCGAGTCCATTGAGGAGCGAGGGCGTGATGATCCAGAAGTCTTTGACGCCGCAAAGGACTACGTATTCCAAGCTATGGAGCGTGATGCCTTCCCAGGATTCCTACGAGCAAAGGCCCTTGGCAACCTTGTCCCGCCTTCTTTAATGTTGAGGTTGATAATTGGTCTCCTCTCCCTCTTTGCTGCCTTCTGGGCTGCCTTTTGTCTCATCTTCCTTAATGAGTCTCGACATACCAGAGTCTGGGTATGTCATCTAGCTTGTTTCCTCTTTGAACTTGTAATAACCTTTATGCAGCTCATCATTCCATTCACAATCGGCATCTACGCTCTGTGTTCCCACCAGTACAACCTCGACCCCATCCTTGCCCTTGCAGGCTACAGCGAGTACAGTTTCATGGGCTTCTCCCAGATCCGCGAGCCATACGTGCGCCGCCTCCTGAACAAGCGAGCCATCATGGTCCTTGGTGTCACAATTTTCTTCACTACCTGCGCCTGTGTTCTCTTCATCTTTGTTCCTGGAAAGAGGTTGTGACAGAATTGCAGTACATGGGTGGTTGGTTGGTTGGTTGAGGTGTGGTCTCGGAGGGCATCTGGTGTTAGGCTTTACGGAAATTTGGCTTGGGCTTGCCAGGCAGGCGTTCAGGGGTATTCAAACGCTGCAAATTTGTGCGAAGGACTGGCTGGCTGATTGTATGCCTGCTGGCCGGCGTTCCGACGACTTTATGATTTCAAGCTTGAGATCCTATTGAGGATGCTCATGATGACTATTGTTGTCAAGATACTGTTATTTGCTTTTTAATACCCTTAAATAAAAGGTTCTTCTCCTATTCATAGCTGCTCCTAGGTTTGTCTATGCTGAGTAGCTCAGCTCCAAGCTATCATTCTGCATCGTAATTTTGTTTCGATTACCAGGCCAACGATCTTATCTATTTCTTGCCACCCAAACCACCCAAACCGAAGCCCCTCTTCTTCGATGCCCTCGAACTCTTCTCCTCGTTCTCATCAGAGTCAACATCCATGCTATCGTCTCCGCCGTTGCCTCCCAATCCGTCGTTTCCTCGCTTACTCGTCAAGCCCCCAAATTTCCTCCCCGTCGTTTGAAAAATGCTGCCCTTGACTCCCTTCTCACCCTCGTCGAAACTCGTCGCCTGACCCTTCTTCTCCTCAAGTTTGCCATCCATCAGCTTCTCCAGCGTAGTTTGCCACTCCGCGTCCTCCTTGTGGCGCTTCAGGGCCTCGGCTTTGATGCTGGCGATCTGCTTCTCGAGGTCGGCGAGCGTCGACACGCAGCGAGCGGACCATTCGTTGAGCGTGCTGAGCATAGCTGGCACGGAGTTGGGCTGCAGATCTCTGAGAGGGGATACGGACGAGACTGCTACATTCTGGTGGTATGGGTCGAGCGTAGCGGAGATGAGGCCAGCGTAGATGGCTGAGATGACCAGATCCTCCAGCTCTCTGGGAGTCTCTAGGCCCAATGCTAGCAGTAGATTCTTGTAGGACAGGTCGGATTGGTTCTTCGCGAGCGTGAGGAAGGAGAGCTGGCGCAGTTTCTGTGTCTGTGCTGCGTTCAGCTTGGGGAGCGGTGGGGTGGTCTGAGAAATGAGGTAGTCGGCGTACGTGCCATAACTGAAGATCTTGAGGAGGGCAAGGGAAGGGGCGTGATCTGGGGAGGAAGACAGGGCTTGGATGTTCGGGGCCTGGAGCAGCTCAGCGAAGATGAAGGTGTTGGGTGCGCTGGTGGCAGACTCGATCAGGTTGGCTGCTGCACGCGGGGAGTTGGCGGTTTTGGTGAGGGCAAGGAAGGGCTGGTTTTCTTGTGGTTAGTAAGTGTGTAGTCTGTTGTGTGTATATGGGAAGCTGGAGTCGGGGGAGAGGTACGGCCAGTGCGTTGGTAGCTTTGATTTGCTCCATCCTGAAGGTTGTGAATGAGGTTGAAGCTAGAGTTCTTCGCTGCGTAGAGGATTATTGGCTTTGCTTTGTGGTTCGAAAGCTTGGTCTGGAGTCAAGCTTTGCTTGCTGATGTTGATTTGTTTGGCCTGCAATGAAACCAGTCCAATGTCCAGTCTCGGAATCGGAACTTGTATCAGTTGTTACGCCGGACTCCGTAGGCCATTCCATTATAAGTACCGGTACCTACCTACTACTGTACGTAGTATTCATTAGCCGACCGGAGGTAAGACGATGGCGCGACCGTCTGGCAAGCCTGATTCCACATCTTCTTCACACATCCGAACATTCATTTACGTCGCTGTCAAGTAACAGGTACCGAAGTCGATCTTTTATATACAGAAAGAAGAAAAGAATACCGAACCTCTTTTGAGAGAGAGAGAAAAGAAATGGGTACTTTGGATTACGGAAGGTCCTCGGTCTATCCGGGTGGGCAGGGTTCAATGTTTCTAAGTTGAGACACGGCTGGTTGGTTGGTTGCTTGGTGTGCGAGACTTGTCGCGACGTCGTACATAACCTGTGGATGCCGCCCGACTTCTCGTAATCGTCTCCTCGTTCTTCTTCTCTTTGTCGTGCTAATCGCTCGGTTGTCTCTACTTCTTCCTTATGCTACTTGTACATATTCGACAGCTAAAAATCTCCCTTTGCTGATACCCACTGTCTACTTCGTATTATTACGTTACCGACTCTATTTCTGGATCCGAAAGTTCCTTTCTTGCGGCGGCCCGCACAGGATCCCAGCAAATACATGTCCAAGAATCCCCGACTTTCTGCAGTGCCACCAAACTCGCAGGAGCTGGTCTTCTGCTCTCTATAATCGGTGAGTGTTGCGGTGATCATCGGTTGCTGTTGTGTGCATCTGTGACTGGGATCGCACGGTGTCTAATACTGACCTGCCTCATCTAGTACGCATCTCATTACTATTCGCAATCAGCTCATAATCGCCGGCCTGAGCCCATACCTTTCAACCCAGCCTCCCGCTGCCCGTCCAGTGCACCTACTCGAGCGTCAGCGAGTTCGTCAACCATGGCGCCGAAATATCTTCAGGTTGGCTCGAGAGAGGCAGTTCCGCAAACGTCAATCGGCACTCCGGCACACATGGCGACTACAACGCTCAAAGTTGGGGGAATGACATGTGGCGCATGTACATCTGCGATCGAGTCTGGCTTCAAGGGTGTCGACGGGGTGGGCAACGTTTCTGTGAGCTTGGTGATGGAGAGAGCGGTTATTATCCATAATCCGCAGCGGATAACGGCCGAGCAACTGCGAGAAACGATCGAGGAGCGTGGATTTGATGCGGAAGTTCTAGCCACAGATTTACCGTCGCCTTTATTCGATAATAAGGGATACCTGTATGATGACGCAGTAGTTGACGATGAGGGAGGAATAGATGCGCCGCGGACAACTACGACGACGCTGGCTGTGGAGGGCATGACGTGTGGGGCATGTACCTCTGCTATCGAAGGGGGGTTTGCGAATGTACCGGGCGTGAAGCATTTCAGCATATCGCTGTTGTCGGAAAGGGCGGTGGTCGAACACGATGATTCTCTCTTGACTGCGGAGCAAATCGCCGAAATCATAGAGGACCGAGGATTCGGAGCATCCGTGGTGGAGAGCACGAGAACTGCACCATCCAAGAGTTTAAAGGCACGCCGTGAGAGCACGGGGAAAAGAGAGAATGTTGCAACGACTACTGTTGCGATTGAGGGAATGACCTGCGGCGCATGCACATCTGCTATTGAGGGCGGCTTCAAGGGTTCGGATGGTGTGGTTCAGTTCAACATCAGTTTATTAGCAGAACGGGCAGTGATCGTCCACGACCCTGCGAAGTTGACATCCGAAAAGATTGCAGAGATCATCGAGGATAGAGGATTTGATGCTAAAGTACTGTCCACACACCTGGGCTCTGTCGGACAATCAACTTCAGCAGCCGTTGCGCAGTTCAAAGTCTTTGGTGTAAAAGATGTGGCAGCCGCCAGAGCTCTCGAGGCCAAACTGAGGTCGGTGCCCGGAGTCGATTCGGCGACAATCAGTCTTGCGACATCGAGGCTAAATGTCTCACATCATCCCAACATGGCTGGACTCCGAGCCTTGGTTGAGCTAATTGAAGCCCAAGGATACAATGCTCTTGTGGCCGATAACGATGACAATAACGCTCAGCTCGAATCTCTGTCAAAAACAAAAGAAATCACTGAGTGGCGGCGGGCTTTCAAGACGTCGTTGGCTTTTGCCATTCCCGTATTCCTCATCAGCATGATAATACCCATGTTTGTCCCGTCCCTCGACTTCGGTAGCTTAGTGGTTTTGTTCCCCGGTCTTTACCTCGGCGACATTATCTGTTTAATTCTTACGATACCTGTTCAATTCGGCATTGGAAAGCGTTTTTACATTTCTGCATACAAGTCCATGAAACATGGATCGCCCACCATGGACGTATTGGTCGTCCTTGGTACTTCTGCGGCATTCTTCTTCAGTATTGCCGCCATGCTGGTCTCCGTCTTCCTACCTCCTCACACTCGCCCCAGCACTATTTTCGATACCAGCGGTATGCTGATCACCTTCATCACTCTCGGACGATTCCTTGAGAATCGAGCCAAGGGACAGACATCAAAGGCATTGTCACGACTTATGTCTCTTGCCCCTTCCATGGCAACTATTTACGCTGATCCCATTGCGGCCGAAAAGGCTGCGGAGGGTTGGCAGGTCGCCATTGGATCCGGAAAGGAGCCCAAGACTGAACAAGAAGGAAGTGCAGCCGAGGAGAAGATTATTCCAACCGAGCTGATCGAAGTTGGTGACATTGTCATTCTGAGACCTGGAGACAAGATCCCAGCCGACGGCACTGTCACTCGCGGCGAAACCTTCGTGGACGAAAGTATGGTAACCGGAGAGGCTATGCCAGTTCAGAAGCGTAAGGGTGGCCTTCTCATCGGAGGTACTGTCAATGGAACAGGTCGTGTCGATTTTCGTGTTACCAGAGCAGGCCGAGACACTCAACTCAGCCAGATCGTCAAGCTTGTTCAAGATGCTCAAACTACTAGAGCACCTATTCAACGTCTCGCCGACACGATTGCAGGATACTTTGTACCCATCATTCTGCTGCTTGGATTCTTCACTTTTGCAACTTGGATGATTCTCAGCCATGTCCTCTCGAGCCCTCCCAAGATCTTCGTTGATGAGGCTAGTGGTGGAAAGTTTATGGTCTGTATCAAGCTCTGCATTTCGGTCATCGTCTTTGCCTGCCCCTGTGCGCTTGGTCTTGCCACACCAACCGCTGTCATGGTAGGGACTGGTGTAGGTGCAGAGAACGGTATTCTGGTCAAAGGCGGGGCTGCTTTGGAGACTACTACGAAGATCACGCAAATGGTACTTGACAAGACAGGAACGCTTACCCTTGGCAAGATGACTGTTGCAAACTCCAGTCTCGTTCCCACGTGGCAAAATAATGCATGGAGAAGAAAGCTCTGGTGGTCAATCGTTGGACTTGCAGAGATGGGTAGTGAACATCCTATCGGCAAAGCTATCCTTGCATCCGCAAAGAACGAACTGGGCATGGACATTGAGGGAACAATTGACGGTAGTATCGGCGAATTTGAAGCCATCGTAGGCAATGGTATCAGCGCCCTCGTCGAACCTTCAACCAGTGCCGAAAGAGCTCGCTACCGCGTCTTGATCGGGAGCGTCCGCTTCCTGCGCGACAATAAAGTCGACGTGCCTCAAGCAGCAATCAACGCTTCCGAGGAAGCCAATATCAAGGCCGCCGGCTCAGCCAAGGCTGCATCAGCTGGTACTACCAACATCTTCATCGCGGTCGATGGTGCCTTTTCCGGACATCTCTGTCTCTCGGACACGGTCAAAGAGAGCGCACGTGCAGCAATTGCCGCCCTGCACCGTATGGGTGTCAAGACCGCTATTGTCACTGGGGACCAGCGCTCTACAGCTTTGGCTGTTGCCCGTATCGTCGGCATCCCGTCCGAAAACGTACATGCCGGCGTCACGCCGGACCAGAAGCAAACCATCATCCACAAGCTTCAAGACGCAGGTGAATGCGTCGCCATGGTCGGCGACGGCATCAACGACTCCCCCGCTCTTGCATCTGCAGACGTTGGGATCGCCATGTCTTCAGGTACAGATGTAGCTATGGAAGCCGCAGACATCGTCCTCATGCGCCCCAATGACTTGATGGACATCCCGGCCTCAATCCAACTCGCCCGCTCGATTTTCAGCCGTATTAAGCTCAATCTGAGCTGGGCGTGCGGATACAATGTTATCGGCCTTCCATTTGCAATGGGTATCTTTCTTCCTTTCGGGTACCACCTCCATCCCATGGCTGCAGGCGCTGCCATGGCATTCTCCAGTGTCAGTGTGGTTGCCAGCAGTCTTCTCCTGAAATTCTGGAGGCGCCCTACATGGATGGAAGATGTGCTTGCAGAGGAGAAGGGGCCATTGAGACGGAAGGGCAAGGGATGGGGAATGATGGGTGGCGTGTTGAGCAAGTTCACGGACCTGGCGAGGGCTGTTACTGGCAGGAAGAGAAATCAAGAGGATGGGTATGTACCGCTCGGTAACCTGGATGCCGTATAGGGCTAGGAGAATGGAGGTCTTTTCATTTTAGAATTGGGATATCTCGGCGCTATTTAGCGTTGCATGCATGGCACTGCACTGTTTTCCCTCTGTTTTTACTCGATCTTTTCAGCTACATGTCTATAGGCTATGTATCTATACGGATTCAAGCAATGGCAAGAAAGCGTTGTCTGGGACAGGAAGAAGGAGTTGTTATTATTAATTCAATCCGTTCTCGAGCTTGATGTGCTGCAGTGCTTACACTTGTTTGACTGCCATACTTACTACTACTACGTCCCAGGCGTAAGTACGTAGTACTATTACTACTCGAGGGTAGGGTAACCAGGGGGGGTCTAGAGTGGAAACTAAACTTTTGAGGCACCCTCGAGGGGTAATACTACTACTTAGGCCTGTACCGTGGTACGTAGTAGTATTTCTACTAGTAGTGGTACGTCCCAGGCGTAATTGTGACGCCCTGAGGGTAGGGTAAGCAGAGGGGTCTATAGTGGAAACTAAACTTTCGAGGCACCCTCGAGGGGTAATACTACTTATGCCTGTACCGTGGTATTTTATCCTTTTCCGCTCTGACGGTGAGGACTCACCAGCTTCGGTCCCTTGGCCGGTGATCATTCCCCATACTTCGATACTAGTGAATCATAATGTGGTATGCTTCAACGCCTTAGTAGTAAATTGAATGTCTCTCTGTAGTAGTATATTGAGTTTTTGTCTAATGCATCACGCACAACTCTAACAATTATAGTACCACGTACAGGGTCACTGGCGTAAGTACTACTACGTACTACTAGTACTACTATTTCACCCTGAGGGTAGGGTAAGCCAGGGGGTTAAAGTGGAGATTTAGACTTTTGAGGCACCCTCAGGCAATTCGTGGGGGGGGGGTTATATTCGCGTAACTTTTGTCTTTTTTCAAATGACTGTTTTTAGCGCGATCGTAGACCTTTTGATTTAGTAACGAAGCTTTCGACGCTACTGTACTATCCCCCACCCCCGTTGTAAAAGACAAACCCACTTGGTGAAAGCATATTTTGACCGTAAAGCTGACCGCTTACCCAATGTAGCAAAATGACGTAGATATTGATTTTCTAGTATCTTGTAGGCCCTCCTTATGCATCAGTCACTGCTTGACATCGATACCACCATGGATTATACGTAGTACTACTAGTAGTACAAAGAAATAATGAATTCTTGGGGAACGGCTTCCCAAGCGTTAGTGGTACAACCTCCGGGTTAATACCCAACAAAAATATACTTTTCGTCTTTTATTCAGGGGGGAGAGGGGGATAGTATACGTACTAGAGAAGCGAGCGACGCTTCACTCTTGTTCTGCTTACACTAGAACCGATCATCATAGCATAAAAAGTACCTTGAACTTGGGATATCGCCAACTAGTACAACTAATTAAACGGTTCATCAATTCTGTACGTAATCCGCCGTTTTCTCCAGGAACGTCTACTGCGTCCCAGGCGTGACGATCGCCGCCCCGAGGGTTGGGAAACCAGGGGGTTTAAAGTTGGGATTTAAACTCTTGAGCCTCCCCTCAGTCGGTAATCGATCGATAGGGCTGTACTGACCGCCGGTACGTCTCTCTTTTCGGCGACCTTGCAACAAATTGATTCTGCGAAAAGCTCCATTCCCGATCACGATTTCTTCGGCCCGACTTTTTCATTTTACTTCACCACACGCTCAAGAATCCGACAAGAGAGACGTTAATTACGGTAGTTGTACTGCGTAGTAGTAGTTGACATAGGGCTGCATTTAGTTCAGGCTATCAAAGCATAAGAAATCACAATCCGGTATCCTCGAGACATAGTAGTAGTAGTACGTACTACGTAGTAAGAAAGCATTTACCTGGTTTATCCGTAAGTAACGTAGTAGTAGTAGTAGTAGTAGTAGTAGTAGTAGTACTACTAATTTGATCATGAATACCCAACGCAACGCTTATCGACCGACATGCCTGGCACTTCGATTTGCTTATCCTTCTCCAATCCCCTGCGATCGGCCTGTTTTGATGAGGTGGGGAGAGTAGCCAAAGACTCTTTCTACTGCTACTACTAGCTTGATGGAGAGATCGCTTATGGTTAAGCTTTGAGACATTGTTCTTGACATGGTCCTACCCCAACCTACTCCAACCTACTACTACCGTTGTACTACCTACCTTAGGTAACTTGACTCTGGACCCTCTGACCCTGAAGGTATACGGAGGGGACTTGGCAACTCCGTCAACGTACTACGTAGTAGCTGTATCACGTGCTCTCGCTCGCCGGCTCAGGGTTCATGGCTGCTGTGTTCAAAACTTTTCCTTCCTACGACCTATTTTTTCTTGGATGCATTCTTCTCCTTTTGATCCATGTGCGGTGACCGACTCTCATCAATTGGCCGTCCGCCGTCCTACTGATCGGCGTCACTACTGTATACTGTACATTGCTCTTCTTGACCAAAGGTAGTTGTGCTACTAGTACTACGCACGTTTTAAACGTAAACGTCAAAAAATTTCCGCCGCTTATGCTTGCGAATTTCGTGGAGAAGAGTTCAACTCTAAATTGCCCTCTCGCACAGTTCGCTTACTTCGTACAGTACTACGTACTCCATATGATCTGATCTGATCTGTATGTCTTACTTGTATTAACAGTGACTAGGGGCACTCGGTGCTTCTCTGAACTGAACTGAACTCTATGGGGAGATCCCGTACGTGAATGCGAAGCTCGGTTCAGCGTGGCGTGGGAGAGAGACTCTATCATGATCATTCTTGCTACTGCGATAGCTCAGTGCGAGACGGTTCCGTACCGCGAGAACATTCTCTCTGGAGCTCTGGAGGCTGATTGCTGATGCACTGGGCCGAATAGTATGTGACCTTTTCACGCTCTCGTCGCCATCTCAAGAATTAAGCTTACTCTGTACGTGCGTGCCTACTGCAAGCGAAACTCTCTCCGGAAAGGCCGACGAGTTTCTCGGGGCATGCTTTCCATGCTTTCAAGAGAATTTGCATTTGCATGGCGCTCTCCCTCTCCTCATCAACTTCCCCTCACGTAACTTACGTAACCGGCCAAAAGAGTTTCACACCTGGAGGGTCTTCTGCTGAAACCTCTTCTGCTGCGACCCCTTTTTCCAACGTTCGTCTCTCTCGACACCGTGACCGACGATCATTCGGACCAGCATTCAGGTGTCCGCGGCCCTGGCAGATAGGAGACAATGGGGATCAGACCCTTCTCTTTGAACTATGATGACCGAAAGAAAAGATGCCAAGCAAGGATACTTCTGTGATGGGGTGCAACGACTTGATGCTTCGGAGAAATGTGACCCCCTACATCGCGATGCCATGGGATTATAAAGTCTGGACGGTTCGCTCCCGTCAGCAGTCTTGATCATCCTGCAGCAACATCCTCTCATTCCAATTGCTTCTTTGCATTCTCTGCTTTGCATTTTTGCGCTCACAATCGGGAACTCCCTCCGCCTCCGGTTTACCCTCTCAGTCCGGCACTATGAAGTCCATTCTCAATCTTTCAGCGCTGCTAGCCATCGCCGCTGCAGGCATTGCCAGTGGTTGGGAGAACAATGCTACTAAAGTCGTTGCTCCAATCGATGAGGAGGCTGTACCTGATCAGCCAACCGAAATCTTCAAACCGCTCCCCCATAAGCACGTCAACAAACACGACCACAACAACCTCGTTCCTAAGAAGAAAACTTCGTTCTACTACTCGACGAAATCGAAGAACAAAACGGCTGACGCACACATAACCGTCAACCACACCATGAAGTACCCGTCAGTAATGTTGGAGGACATTGCGGCGATTACCGAGGTCGATTGCACCCCTAACTCGGTCAAAACGACGTTCAACGACACGAAGGTGTTTGAGAGAGCTCGAGCTTTTTGGTGAGATCCTTCCCTCGCCTCAAATGACCTAAGCTGATGGTTTCCAGGTATAATAACCATGGCCCTCTGGTCCTCGTTACGAACCATTTGGGAGATTGTGACAGTGAACTGGATAGAGCTTTCTTCATTGCCACCTCTGTAAAATGGGACGCCAAGACTCTGGTAGCAATCGCATATGCTAGGAAGGCAGATGTTTCTAGTATTGCCAGTAAGTGACACCTGACGTGCATACAAGCCGAATCAGCGCTAATTTGCCATAGCCCAGTCCGAAATCTCCTTCGGCGATATCGCTGCAGGCTCCCTCACTCCAGTCAAGAGCAAGCGTAGTTTAGACCCCTCCATGTCCTTCAGCCCAACTTACTCCCTTTCTCCGAACACCACCCTCTTCTCCCAAGCGCCTTACGTAGATATCAAGGCGGAGAAGGGTTTGTTCGCTTCAAACGTGACCTTGTCAGGCTACCTGCGCTACGACTGGTTGGGGTTTAAGTTAAAAGAGCTTTACTTCGATCTCGATGCCGATTTCAACGCGGACTTGGTTTTCAGCGCCAGTGTGGAAGCAGAATTCGCCACGTCTTTCGAATTCGCTGCACCTGTGGTCGCCCAGGGCATTGCCGTTCCAGGAGTCCTGGAGCTAGGACCTATGCTCGAGTTCTCCGTCGGCAGTGACATCGGAGTATCTGCTGCTGTTGATCTCTCCACTGAGTTTAAGCTCGACCTTGCAGGCGCAAATGTCCACATTGATGTCATGAACAAGAACAACACGGCTTTTAGCGGCTGGGTCCCAACCTGTGAGCTTCCCTCCAAATTTTCCCAATTCATGAACTAACATGAAGACAGACTCCGCCAGCGCGGATCTAAACGTCAAGGCCCAAGCTCACTTCGACCCATACGCCGCCCTCACCGTTCAAGTCGCAGCCAATGCCTTTGGTGGTCTCTTGGACCTATCTACCGGAGTTGTCGCCAAGGCCGAATTCGAAAACCAATTCTCGATCTCTGCCGAAGTCGCCGTTGACGAGAACGGCATTGAGAACACCACGGGCACCAAGAACGCGGGCGTTTGTCCGCACGGAATTTATCTTGAAAGTGAGTTCTTGTTCAGTCTGGATGTGTTCGCGACGGAGTGGTACTCCGCTTCGATTGTCGCATTCGCAGAGCCCTTCTTGGAGAAGTGCTACAGCTGGGATTCTCATTTTTAGATTTGAGGAGGAAGGAGATACGCAAAGAGATAGATAGATAGACTTGTTCAATATAGACTTGAAGATTTGCCGTATAAATAGACCTCCCTAGACCATGGTGACTACCTGTATCTGTAATCGAAAACTCTACTTCCGAGCTTGGTACGTCTTGCGACAGGATACCCTGTCAAGGTCGCTTAATCTCGCTTCGCACGAGGTCGTGGGGTTCTTCGTTCTCCGTAATCCTTCCTCCACAGAAATTATGACGGCCACCGACACAACAGCCCCCATCAGTATCACGACACACAGTCTGGATACAGCCAGTCAATACATGATTCTAAAAATCCCCATCTCCCCAGAAATCAAAACCTCCTCCTCCTCCTCCTCCTTCTCCTCGTCTCAGAAAATGTCAAGACGAAGTCCGACCCTAATGCGATCCAGACCTACGGTACTAGGCAAACTGCTGTTGGCCACTTAAGCGAGAACATCAAAATCAATATGAGACCTTCAGCTATCACTTTCCCTTTACGCCATAACTACAAATCCAAATCAAATTAAATGAAAAAAATTATGATACAGATTATGAAATAGCGATTAGTCTAAAGTATCGCACGCAGCTTGCGAATAACTTTTTATCCTTTGCCTTGCGTGGTTTTAAATTCGATTTTATCGATTGCAACGTCGAAAAGGATTAAGTAGAAATATTATATATATATATATATATATATATTATTTTTTTTGCTATTAAACGTGCTTAACTGGAGTGAGGTCGAGGGAACAAATTGATTAACAAAGCGATCTTATTCCTGCTAAACCAAAGCCGAACCTTTTTTTTTTCCAATATAAATCGATGCATTATCATCTTGCTGAAATTAATATCTACGTTGAAATTTTCGACAGATGACTATAGCTTGACTTCAGCTTTGATTGAAAACTTCGAGGTAAGATTATGCTAAGTACTTATATCTCTCCGATCTGAAATCTCGATGTATGATATAGAGATCCGATCTCTCGCGGTCTGAAAAAGGGCTTTTTCAAACCATCATTTTCATTTCTATTTTTTTTTTTTTCGCATCGTATGTATAGATTATCCGACGACTCTACCGTATCTCTCTCTCTCTCTACTGTATAAGCGTGCGGAAAAAAAACCTATTCGGTCTCCTTTCCTGCGACCTCGCTCGGTAAAGCACTTATTCGATTGGACGATTTCGCTTTAATCTTTTTCCCGTTTTCATCCTCGATTGTTTAGAAAGATACTGTTATGGTCGAGCAGCTGCGTGTTTTGGGACAAGTTCGGAGCGCTTTTTACGTTTTTGAGTAAAGATTTTACGATTTTTTTTTAAAAAAAAAATCTAGTACTTGACGAGAATTCTTTTGGTAATCGAGATTATACGCGCGAATAACTTTTTGTACAGGTGTTTAAGATTTATGCGAAGGTGTCGTGGCAGAACTTATTGGTCGGATAATAAAATATGCTTTCTGCCGAATAGCTTTCGATATGTACAGTAGTACAGTAGTACTACTACCACGGTACCGGCGTAAGTACTATCGTAGTACTACTCGAGGGTGCCTCAAAAGTTTAGTTTCCACTTTAAGCCCCCTGGTTACCCTACCCTCGAGGGGTAATAGTAGTACATAGGCCTGGGACGTAGTACTAGTATTACCCCTTGAGGGTGCCTCCAAAGTTTAGATTTCTACTAGTAGTACGTCCCAGGCGTAAGTATTACCCCCTGAGGGTAGGGTGACCAGGGGCCTTTGAAGTGGAAATCTGAACTTTTGAGGCACCCTTAAGGGTAGGTTCTCGCTGTCTTTATAAGCTTCTATTTTACCAAGCGGTGTACTGCCCCTCCGCCGCGGTTACGTCTAAACAACGTCGTCTCATGGTTCCAATTAAAGCAACAATTCTACGTAGTATCTTTCTCGATCGAATCCCACGCTTCCTAAAAGAAAAGGTCAGACAAAGCAGCGTTAAAATACCCATCGAATAGAATTTAAACCTGTTCGATACACTTTTGCTATATTCCGATCCAATCGGACGCTTCTCCGCTTTATCTCGACCCCCTCGAAAATCCTATTTTCCCTGGTAAGAACCCTTGTCTCATACCCTGAAGGGTGTAACACTGACGCCTGCGATGCTCTTTCGTTGCGCGATACTACTACTAGGTACTACACTTGCTTTTCGAGTATAGTTAATCGTGGTACAAAGCATTTCAAGAGCCTTCGCGATAACGGACAGATTTGCATTGAAAGCAAAGCCGCTCTTAATTAACCCTTGTTGATAACGAGGAAAACAATGCCCAAGAGGCCGATTACTAGACGTCGCAGCGAGAAGAGTGCGTTAAGGTAGTATTTTCATGATTATTACAAGAAGCAAAGAAACGCGTATCGCGACAAATCCCGATTTTATAATTTTCGGCTACCAGCAGTTAGAACATACTACTAACGGCTGCCATTACAGCGACTAGTCCAGAAAAGACGTCCAGACTAAGGTTTCGCGCCAACTGATAAGTACTAGTACGTAGTAGTAGTACAGTCAGTAAGTAGACTAAGATGTTGCACACACATATCGCAAAGCAAATCAGGACCGGCACCCCGAGAACCAGGCTAAGAAATGTGGCAAAGACAGCAGGGTTTAACGAGTCCACACTCGCTGGTCATGTCCACACCTACTAGCCCGACTGGGAATCATAAATACTACTAAGTAGACCCTACCAACGCTCAGTTTACGTAAAGGGGTACCTCCCTAGCTGATAGCATAATTTTGGTGCAAAGCTACCGGTACCGTGGCAGTTGCGAGCGGAGGGTCACCGTTTTTTCAACCAAAAAAATGAAGCGAAATTTCCGATCCTTGCTGATATCTAGGTACTACTATCTAGGTATCTACTACGTACGTAGTACTACTAGTAGTAGATGTAGTATCTACCTAGAAGTGTTATGTGTGGCCTTAGGCAGCAACTACGATAAAGCTGCCCTCCAAATTACTCTGTACACGACCTGTCCACAAGGTAGTATGAAGACTGGAGATTATTGACGCGCTCAGAGTCTCCTCCATTTCCAGTGATGCCCGGCTTCACCCTCCCATTCAGCGTACCTGCGATTGAGTCCTTGGCTATCCCAGCAGTCTCTTTCCTCATATTCTTTCTTGCTTATTCCTCTCAGTACCTTTTCTACCACCCTGATCTTGACCCCGGGCCCCTCAGCATCCAGGAAGCAAGCGTGTTCAACTACTTGGTCTTTTCAATATGGTGGTGTTATGCTCGAGCCTGCACGGTTGACCCGGGTCGAAGAGGATGGGTTGACAAGGTCGCTCCAGTCACAGAAGGAAAGGACGCGGATGGGAGTGTTTTGGCATTCGACAGTGGCTTGCGATGGTGCAAGAAATGCAATGCAGTGAAGCCCCCAAGGGCACATCATTGTAGGAAATGTGGATGGTAGGTCTCTATGTACGAGAAAGTAGATCTGCCACTGATTATCTCAGCTGCATCCCCAAGATGGACCATCACTGCCCTTGGACTGGGAACTGTGTCTCGCATACGACCTTCCCGCATTTCTACCGCTTTGTCTTTTACGCTGTGCTCAGTATGTCTATCCTTGAATACCACCTATATGTCCGCGCCATGGTCATATGGGACAGTCGCACACTTCCAGCATACCTCGGTCCCCCTGTCTGGGCCATGGCACATCTTCTCGTCCTTCTTGTTGTCAACACCTTCACATTATTCGCCCTCGGAATCATCCTTATTCGGGCTGGTTATAGCCTAGCACTCAACACTACAATGATCGAGAGCTGGGAGATAGAGCGCCACGAGGCACTAGTGATAAGATCTTTGAAATCTTCGGGGTATGTCTATGCTAGTGGGGGGCAACGAATGCGAATCCAGCACCAAGAATTCCCGTATGACATCGGTTTCTGGAAGAATATATGCCAGGCTATGGGCACAAAGAATGTATTCAAGTGGTTCATGCCTTTCAGTGGAGGGCCAGGTGTCGAAACCGCCGGAAATTGGGAAGTCAATGGGTTCGAGGATACAAGCAAAACGTGGCCTCCGCCAGATCCAGATAAGATGCCAAGAAGTGAGCTGGTTGAGCGACAAAAGTTTGATGTCAGGCACTATGGAACACCTGAAGAAGAGTTGGCAGCTTTTAGGAGACGCCAAGAGCAAGATTACAAGAGATGGCTGCGGAAGGAGAACGTTGGCGATGAGGCTGATGGTTCAGACGACGAGGAATCTGAGAATGAGACTGTTGGCGAGGAAGATGCTGTGAAGGAGAAACGGGGCTGGACAAATAGTGACGGGAATCGCCTACACGACTATGGGGTCGATGAAGAGGCTGAAGTTTTGGCGGAAGATGAAATACCACTAGCCGAACTGTTACGGAGAAGGAAAGCTAGATCCTATGTTCAAAGCTAAACAGGAATGATCATCAATCACGCAAGCCGCTTATTCCCGTGGAGCAGGCTCTGGCTATAGGGAGGCAATAGCACTGCGTTGGATATTCCAATGGCTCACATTTCTTCTGCCCAGACTGTTGATGTTGAGCAACAGAGCCACTTGATCGCCAAGAGGACCCGGCAGGAAAAAGAGGGGCGAATTCAGAAGCTTGGGATCGCTGCTGGGATTCTGGGAATAGAGCCGATCGGCGAAGGACCCCGCCATCCATAACTAGCTTTCGTCATCAGTTGAAGAGCAGCTGAACAACCACCTTGGTTTTCTCTTTCTATTACATCCAAATTTATAAATAAAAGGCTCTTCTGTCAACTACAGCCATCCAACTAACCAAAACGACCAAAGTATGTGAACATCCTCCTATCAGCTAGCTTAGTTGCATATATCTGCAGGCTCCAGGACTAGCTGAAAACTTCACTGGTAGCCTTTCCGGAGACAAAATGAGCGCAAGAGACTACTACGACGGCGATCAACAAGGCCGGGGGGACAACTACGGTGAAGGGCGCCGACCAGAGGGAGGCTACGAAGGCGGAAGCAACGAGGGCGAATACGGAGGCCGAGACAACGAGGGACGATATGGGGGGCGGCAAAATGAGGGTCGGTATGGGCAGGGAGAAAGACGTCAAGAGGGAGGCTACGAAGATAGAAGCAACGACGGAGGGTACGGTGGCCGAGATCATGAGGGCCCGGGATCAGGCAGACGTCAGGAGGGAGGTTACGGTGGCGGTCGTGAGAACGAGTACTCTACCCAGCCGATCGATGATGGGGAAGGGCGCAGACACGATAACTACGGTGGAGGTGGGGGATACGCTAATTCAGACGAGGATGATCTGAGCGGTGCTGCTCGGCATGCCGAGAGACACGCTGGAAGCTCTGGTGATTCTTCCATCTTCTCCAGCGTTTTGAGCTCGCTTGGTCGGAATAAGCAGCATATTGGCGACTCGAGTCTCAATGAAGAGGGTTGGTACCTTCTACTCTTCATAGGTGCTTGGGGGGTATAGCTTACCGTTACAGATGCCGTTCAGTCCCACCAGCAGATGTACGGGAACGGGGGGAGTGGACAAGCCAGCCCGGGCTCCATGGGCTCGGCTGCCGCTATGCAGGCACTCAAGATGTTCTCCGGTGGTGGCTCCGGCAACACCCCGGAAGGCAACTCGCAGAACGCTTTCATCGGTATGGCCATGGCCGAGGCTAGCAAGCTGTTCGACAACCAGTCGCAGCAGGGTAAGGCCTCGGGCGCGAGCAAGGAGTCGACTATCCAGCAGGCTGGAGAGATGGCTTTGAAAATGTACATGAAGAGTCAAATGGGTGGCGGTAGCTCCGGCGGTGGCATGTCGGGGTTGATGGGACTTGCGAGCAAGTTTCTCTGAGCTCCTGTTTAGCGGGAGGGCTCATATGAGCTTGAGGTAGGAGCATGGATTTGTGATCTCAATCAGCTCGTTGGGCTCACTCCAAATGGCGATGATGTTCCCTATGCTCAATGCTCCCAGCTTCTTGTGATTCTGTACGCGAAAGAAAAAGAGGAAAAAAAAAACCCCCAATCGTAGTACCTTAGCTGGATAAATAGATGTCACAACTTCATCCCAAGCTGCCGTCTCCATGCTGATCCCGCATTGAATCCACGTCCCCTGTCTATATCCTCACTACTCCTACGACAACGAAGTTAACCCGCACCCAGCCTCTTCACATACACAGTCAGTGCAGTCAAATCCTCTCTTCGTCCTCCTATCATCAGCTACGAAGGTCATCTTCAAAATCACCGACGGGGTGTAAGTAGAAATTCGATAATGGCCCTCTCTTATCTATCTATACCTTACTCGCAGCGTGGTAGTGTGACGCTGGGGATAGATCGCGTGGCCCCCTGGCATGGGCCTATTCCACCGACAGAATAGATCCAGCAAAGCTGGGAAAAGTTAGGGAGGGTTCGAACCGTAGGTATATATATATATACATCTGAGTAATCACTTCTGAAGACTAGACTGGACTTTGGCTAACGGTTTCTCTAGCCCTCTGCTCCATCCATTCCCCTTTTCGGATTTTCTCCCTGTTCTAAAAAGGCTGGTGCCGTGAGTGAATGAATGAATGTATGTATTCGCTTGTTTGGCATTGGGAGTAAGTATTGCCCTCGCTTAATCTTGTATGTTGCGTGTTTACTTCTGAAGCGAGGTATTTCGAAGAGCTTTCTTCCTGTGCACTGTCCTCACTCTTGTCGGATTTGCTTGATTTTCGTAACGACGGCCCTCAGCCTCACATACCCGATCCAGTCCCCACCCCCTGGACTCCTGCATACCGTCTCGAGAACCTCCACGACCTCTTTCACACAGCTCGCCCTCTCTCCCTCATCACTCACGGCGTCGAAGAATTGCTTCCCCATCAATCTGACCCAGCCCTCTATGCCACCCACATCAGCAGCCGTGGGTCTGTACTCACGCTCGATGCGCTCGACTTTGAAGCCACCGACGGTCTCTTCAAGCATCTTCGTCATCCACGTCTCGTCGGGGAAGAACCACGGGTCCGCGGCGCGGGCGGCGGAGATGCCAATTCTGCCGCTGATGACCGAGAGGAGGGCCGTTCGCATCTATGAACTAGTCAGGAAACGCATTCGGGGAAGGAAAGGAGGAGTAGATAGATGTAGATGGAGATAGACGATGGGAGAGAAGAGGATCCAGATACTTCAGCGACGTTTCCCATCCCACCCATCTCAAACACGAACATCCCACCGGGCTTGAGGGCTCCGCGGATGCCGAGGAAGAAGTCTTTCCTGGTCGCCTCGTGGCGCAGGATCCAGTGCATGGCTGCGTTTGAAAAGACCTTGTCGTAGCTTTCCCTTTGCAGGTCTAGGCTGGACAGGATCTTGGTTGCGTCGATGACTACATGCGTTAATATCGAGATTCATAAGGGTGGCTCGGCGAGGAAAAGGTACCATCAAACGTAGCCGCTTTGGTAGCAGCCGGATCCGCCGCGGCGGATTTCCGTGCAGACTCGATCATGGCGTGTGAGGCATCTATGCCGTGGATCTTCCCCGAGCCTTTGGCGAGGGTTTGAGCGATTTGAATGTTGATGATGCCGTCTGGACTTCTGCTTTCAGCGAGTAATCTCGCACAAGCGTTGAGAGACGGAAGGCAGGGGACGAATGCAAGACGATCGAGCAATGTGTCTGCAACACGCTGTGACATGAGGGATCCGATGCAGAAAATGCAAAGGGCTCAAAGGAGGAAAATCAGGTTCATCTTGCCTCCGCACCCGACATCTAGAATCAAATCATCCTCCTTGACATCAAGCCACCCAATAACCTTCGTAGCAAGCTTCGGGACGAAACCAGCGGACGTTTGATACGCCTGTTCTCACTTTCAGTCTCACTTTCACTCTCACCTCTCCGATGCGAAACGGTTTCTGACCTCTGAGCTCCAGTGTTCTTCTTGTTTTGCCATGTTCAAGACGTAGGAAGGACCTGCTGGATTTGGGGAAGTTGGTAGAGTGAGAAATTCGTAGAGCGCGTATACGAGAAGGGCAATTGTAAATGATTATTGATGCTTTGAGGGGAACTTCAACATGGGGAGTGAAGTCAGAAGCATCAGCAGTTGAGTCGATCAATACTCGAGTCCGGTATCGGAGCGTCGCTATATATCTATGTTTTCAGACTCGGTATATAGGTATTTCAAGATGATTTGGATTGGTAAAGTAAACTGGAATTCCGAGATGATGCTTTTATTGTTGATCATTCCAATTTCAAGTAGGTCGTCACGAGAACATGGGAAGGGGAAACGTGATCAAACATCTCGAATATGTAATATATTTTGAAGGAAAAGAAATCCCCACGTGATAATCCATAATTCTCCCAACGGCATCACTAATCCCCATCACATGACCAAGACCAAGGAATCGTCTTTTCTCTTTAAAGCGAGCCAGCCACCCCCTTTCTCCGCACATCGCTTATTTGATGCCGTGTTGTTGACATCGCCTCGCAAGTACCCCCCCCCCCCCAGGCCGGGCAACAAAGCAGCAACCATGTCTTCAGCCCCAACTCCCGTGCCAACAGGAGCAGCCGATACTCCCGCCGCAGCATCGAGCCCACAGCCAGTGCCAGCAGGAGAACCAGCCAGTACCCCCGCCAGAATAATCACCAGCGCCGACACGCCGCACGTCGAGGAGCTCTTCGAGGTGGGCAAGCACGAGTACAACGTGCACGACCCGTCCGACGAGCTCGCTTCCGAGACGGACAACCTCCTCATATGTACCGCGTGCGGCACCCAGTTCGACGAGGAATCGCGCTCTCTGCTCGCCCGGTGCCGTATCTGTGATGACCCGCGGCAGTTTGTTCCACCGACCGGCCAAGCCTTCACAACCAGTATGTGCGATGCGAATCCTCACTTCAAGGGGGCTGGCTTCTTCCTCAATCCCGGCATGTTACAGCCCGAGGACATGCTCCGAGAGACCCGAAAACCTCCCGAGCAAGCAGCAAGCAGTTATCCCAAAACGGAGTGCGATGAGAAAACAGATTGCTGATTTTTACTGTTTTAACTTTCTTTTCTTACACAGTGGCTGCGCTCAGGGCCGGTCCGTACAAGAACCGATGGACGACGTTCGACGACGACCCCGACGAGAACTTCTGGCAGATCTGGACCGAACCCCACCTCGCCATCGGCCAGCGTGCAATCCTAGTCAGGACACCTCAGGGCAACATCCTCTGGGACTGCATCGCCTTCCTCGATAGCCCGACGATCGACTTCATCAACGAGCTCGGCGGCCTGGCAGCAATCGTCATATCCCACCCGCACTACTACACGACCCACCTCGAGGTAAGCATCAAGCACTCCCAAGCTCACCACTCACTTACTTCACTTTTCTTCCCCAAGCATCTCACGAGCCCAAGTTTCTTTCCTCCAAGATTTCATTCCCCGACACGTAAATAAAAAATAAAAAATACCACGTCATGCTAACTGACGCTACTAACCCCCCCCCTCCCCCAGTGGGCAGACATATTCGAATGCCCAGTCTACCTCGCCTGGGAAGACAAGTCCTGGCTCAACCGGTTCGACCGACTGGGCAAAGTCCGCACGTTCATCCAAAGCACGGAAGAGGAGATCGAAGTAAGTCACTATTCCACCACCGAGCCTGTCCGGCCCATGCCAGACAGGACGCCGACCAGATGATGAACTGACCCGGCCCATCCATCTTCCCCAGGTGCGCGGCGAGAAAACCGGCGTGGTGATCCTGAAGCCCGGGGGCCACTTCCCCGGCTCGTTGGTGGCCCTGGCGCACAACAGGCTGCTGATTGCAGACACGCTGGTCACGACTCCGAGCGGGAGGGGGGACTGGAGTAGGGGCGCGGATGGCGGCGTGGGACGACCGGCGGGCATGAACACGTATGTTTTCATGTGGAGTATTCCGAACATGATCCCGCTCGCCCCGGATGTCATCGCGGGTATGTGGAAGGTGTTGAAGGGGCACAAGTTCCACAGCACGCATGGTGCTTTCGTGGGGACGGATGTGAGGGATGGTAGCTATGGTGCTGATACGACGGTGAAGGAAAGGATCCTGGAGAGTATCAAGATTCAGATTGAGGGCATGGGCTGGAAAGACCACGCGCTGTTGAAGGAGACCTGTGAGTAGTTAATAGCCCAGAAATTTATGCATCGCCTGCAGGTAACGGGATCTCAGGAAAGTACTTGAACAGCAGAATGATACTGCATTGTCTTATCAATAGACAGGGTTGTTGCCAGAACCGCCCTAGAGAATAAACCAAATTATCCTGCCCCTACGTGACATCGTCCGCCAAGAATATTCACAAGAATATAAACAGACACGGTAGCTGCTGCCCTTGAAGATCACCTTCAATTCCAAGCCAACACTCCAACTCCGTCATCGAAAATGCCCTTTACATGTACACCCACCCATTTGGTCGCAGATTCATGAGTGACTCCAAGACTCCGATGCATCAAGAGGTGTACCCCGCTCTTCGCCCCGCCCCAATATTCCCGTAGTCGTTGCATGATCATGACGAAAGTCGCTGTTCCAGTCCTGGTTCCCCGCCCACTTACGCCCGCCTCCATCATTGGTCATCCATTTTCGCTTCGATACTCTCTTCTCGCCGATGTCATCTATCGCGCTCTCTTGACCATGCTGTTCTCATCGTAATCCCATTGGTGCTGCCTCTTCAACCCGCCTTCGTACACGCTGGCGACCGATTCTTGCCACAAGCTCGGACTGACGAACGATGGTATTGGTGCGCCACTGTACTGCTGTGGAGGAAGGGGATGGGTTCCAGGTGTCAGATTCGGCAGCGGTTGCATCTCAGGCAGCGACGGGATCTCTTGAGCACCTGAAATCGGAAGTTTTAGGGGAGTAATTTGAGAAGCGGATGTGCTCTGAGCAGGGGTCGTACCAAATGTGGTGTTCCATTGACTATGAAAGTTATCAGTGCTGGTGTAGGAAAGGTAGGAGTTGGTAGGACTCACTCAAAGATTCGCGAGGGATTCCATGTTGAAGGGTCAGCAGCCATGGGAACACCTGTCGATATCGGTGCCTGAGGTTGGGAGCCCCGTGGACCAGCGGCCATCATGACCATCGACTGTACAGCAGGAGAGTCACTCTTTGTGTCCACACCTCCGGCAGAAATAGGTGGTGAGATAGGGTGGGCTGTATAACTGACTTGTTGCGATCCATGCTGTTGCTCCAAGCCCTGTGCCGAACCATGCGCGCGATAAGCTGCTGTCGATCGCGGAGGAGTCATGTTGATGGCTCCCGGGCTTCCGTAAGGGAAACTAGGCTTGAGCACGAATGGTTTACTAGTATCAGCAGAGAAGGCTTCGCGCAGCGAGTCGATTTGTTGCTGCATGTCTGGCATTGGCCAAGAGCTGGTACATTTCTCCAGTATTCTCATGTGCCGCGTAAAGTATTCACGCGCGTCCGCATTCAGATCAGGATCCGGCGAAGTGATAGCAACCTGATTTCGTCGTTAGCCATGTGAGCGATGAGCATGTAAGTCCTAACTTACCAGGTGGAGGACGGTGCATGTCAAGATGCAGTAGATGGTGAAGTTTATACCTCTTTGCATGGACAAGAGTCCTGTCATTCCAAATGACTGCAGAATGGCTTCTTGTAACCTGCACAGCAGCTTTGCGGAGGAATAACAGATCATCATATGGTGCTTCCAGCCTCCGTCCATGCCGGTGGGCTCCATGAACGTGAGCTGGGGTCGGTGGAGCATGATGATGCTGAGGTAGTAATAGGAGTGAAGATTTCCTATAAAGTGAGAAGGTATCCAAGGAGGGGTCCCGTCCGGAGGAAAAGTAACCTGCAGGTCGGCGGGCAGATCATTCATCCAAGATTCGAACGAGGGGTTTAGTTGAACGAAATGCGGATCGATACCCCACTCCTTCTTCTTCTTTATTCGTGAGTAGACGTTGTTCATTCTCCGGACGTTCCGAACGATCTTGGTGAAATACGCAAAATTTCGAGTAATATGAAACTCGGCCTCGTCGTTCCCGACAACGTTTTTCGGCACGCTTAGATCCAGAGATTCCATGTCAACAGATAAATCCTGTCGGCCTGGAGATAAATCGGTTAGCATCAAGACGTGCGCGGTGGGAGGAGCGAGCGAACCTTGCGGAGACCCAATCATCAATTCGCAAGCGAAAACTGTCTGCCATATGCGGGTTTTGGTGATACAGTCGGCAAGATTAGACCCGCATGGTCGGCCGGCTTTGTGCTCCTCAAAGTGCTCATCCAGACCCAGGTCCTTGGCCATCTCAACACACTGGACGACTGTCATCCACGAACGGAAGTAGTACCCGCGCTTTGGAGCCGACTCTCGAGCCTTGAGCACGATGAGCATCCCCTGGAGCGTGCTCAACCGCGGCACATCCATGAAAGCATCGGCGTGTTCTGTGTCACTGTTAGCTGGGAACAGAACACGAGGACAGTCTTCCCAGCCTACTTGATGCAAGAGCTAGCCATTGATGTCCTTGTGATGGCTCGTCTGCAAGCTTCCCAGAGATTGCAAAAATGGCTTCCAAGATGAGGGGCGATATCGAGTCTCGATTCGTATGCCATTGCTGGTAGAAAAGAGCTTTGTTGAGTACGGGTACGTAGGGGTGAACATTGCTGAAGTACATGTCAAAGTATCCCATGACAGTCTGGTCATCTGGCATCAGCTCCATCGGTATCCGGACCTTGAGATCCGGACCAGATAACGTGGGTGGCAGCGCGTGCTTGTAATCATCGACATCTTCGAATGCTGGCTCTTCCAACAAGGTCTTGCTCTTCTTGCTCAGGTACGGTGCTGCATAACATGAGCTACTTCCGAGTATTTTTGAAGCACCGAATGCGACCTACCTGACCCCGCTTCATTCACTCTCAAATTGCCCAAAAGATCGGCTAAATCTTGCTGTCCGTACTGATCTTGTTCGTATGTTTCGGGAGAATCTGGGTGCCCAGATTGTTGTTGCAAGGGCATTGAGGGGTAGACGGGCTGCGTAGGGTAAGTTTGGTGCTGGTCAACAACACTGACAGGAGTCTGCATCGGAGTCTGCATCGGAGTCTGCATATTGCTGTAGTGCATAGCGGGTTGGCCGTGGCTAGGAGAAGGATTTCCATAAGAAACAGGATGGTAAACACCAGCAGGATCTGGATACGACATCTGTTGCGTGAAGATCGGAGGCATGTTCTTGTGCGGTCCACCCATCTGCTGCTGCATGGCCACTTGATGATGATAGTCATCATCAACGCTGCCACCGCTTTCATATTCCACTCGTTCCCCTTCAAAACCTTGACGGGGAAAGTCTTGGTCATAATTGACGGTCGGAGGAACACAGTGAAGCTTCAGTCGGATGCATGCCGAACATGGCCAAGTATTTGTAGTCGCCGCGTCACATTTTATCTTTCGTCTTCGGCATCCCTCACAAGCTCTCATCACTACCGACGACGGTCAGCCTAGCTAGAGCACTGCATACATGTTTTGATCTTACCCTTCAGCCTTTTATGGCGATTGTGCTCGTCGACGAATACATAATCTAGATATGTATTAGACAAAGCATTCTATGAAGACCATTGGGGACGCACTCTTCTGGTTTTCTCGCTGCCCGAAATTGTTGGGCGCGAATGAGAAGCTCTGCATCTGTGAGTTCTGTGGGAGTAGTCTCCTTGTTCCTTGATCCCCAACCATTGTCTGTCGAATTGGCTGCGTGGTATTCTCCGAGATGTTCACGAACTACGATTCTGACTCGACCGAAGCGCAATGAGCAGCACCTTGTTTTTTTGATGACGACCCGTCGCAGGGAATAAGGGATTGGAGATCGAACGAATGTACTATAGGGAGTACATATGATAGCGGGTAGGATATGGGTGGTAAATATGTTTATCTTCCGAGTATGACAGGGAATATTTCCAGAGCTCGCTTGAACTGGCTATATGTGCTATGGCATATCTTAGCAGGGCAACGAGTCATCGGAGTATTTCAAGGTTGAAAAGCCTGGATATACGAAGAATATGCATGATGCGACCAAGGCGGGCTTACCTTTTAAGGAATACAGAATGGTGGGTGGGTGGTGGTACCAAGTGCGCACAGGTACCCGTGAAGTTTGGTCTTGGGAGACGCAGGCCGCGAGCTGATGTATTATCCGCGCAAAACAACAGACTGATTGCGGCGCAGGTGTACTTGGGTAGTCATGCACTAGGAGCGCAGAGTAGAGTATGTAGAGTAGAGTAGTGTAGTGTACTTCGGTCGGTAGGATCGGAAGGGTTGGTAAGATTGGTCAGGTAGGTACGAGGTAGGTAGGTAGGTAGGTAGGTAGGTAGGTCGGGCTCAGGTAGATAAGCCAGGAACGCGGTTCCACGAGGACAGGGAGGGAGCCTGTGCTGCGCGGTGCAGTGGTTGTTATGGCCAGTCGAGATCCCAAGGTCTGCAGGTCTGATCCGTTGCGCCGCAGAATGGCGCCGTCTGGTAGACTGACTGACTGAGTGAGTGAGTGAGTGAGTGAGTGAGTGAGTGAGTGAACTGACGACAATGTAAGGAAGAGGGGACTTGGGAACGGGATTTTGGAGGGTTGAGGACGACCGAGTCAAAATACGAGTGGAAACTCTAGTGGGTTGACTAACGAGGGTATCGTTCTCTTTCAAGTGCTGCCCCTCTTTGCTGATCGAGGTGTATTCCGTAGGGTGTAGGGAGGGTGTAGGGAGGGTGTAGGGTCGGGGTCGGATAATAATGAAGAAAATATGGAGTAGAAACGTTCGTTTGGCCAGGGTCCCATTATCCCCCCCCCTGCCTAATTCCGACCCAGGGCCAGGACTGGACTCTACCGCTGCCGTACAGAGTCGAGTCGAGTGAGTGTACGCGTAGTACGGAGAGAGAAGAGAGAGAGAGAGCGAGACCAGATACTGACTGTACTTACGAGTATACGGACCACAGCACTGCACTGTACTGCACGGCACGGCACTTCACTGCACTATACGGAGTACTCGAGATGACAGGATTCCACAGCTCTTCTTCACCTGCCAGGCCCGTTCCCTGCAGAGGTTGATCAAGAATAAATTTTCGGAGGAGGATGGAGGCGGCGAACTCTCTGCTGTGTGGACTTGGAATGGTGCCAACCTGCCAACCAAGGAGGCGGCTGTAGATCTGACTGACGTGGCTGACGAGATTCCTGTACCCCTATCCAATTCTATCCTATCCAATTCTACCCTATCCTGTTCTACCCTATCCTGTTCTATCCCATCCGGTTCTATCCTATCCTGTCCTCGGATGGTGGTCTGCAAGGATGAAAAGGTGCCTGAACATGGGACGAAACGTGACAGCAGATAGTACTACGTAAGTACCTAGAGTATTGAAGGAAGGGGAAGGGGGGGAGGGGGGGGGGGGGGGCGGACGGGAGATCCGAGGCTGCTACAGTACTGTATTCGAGGGGTAGGTGGTGTTTGAGATAGCCGACCAATGTTGGGCAGTTGATTGTCGGGATTAATCTCTATACGTCTCATGGAGATTGAGGCTGAGACGCGATTGGATTGTTGATGGCCTTACTGCGGGTGGCCTTGTCGTTGTCGTTGTTGTCGTCGTCGTCGTCGTCGTCGTCGTTGTTGTTGTTGTTCTATCGGTAGTTGTAGAAGTACCTAGGAGTAATATAGTAGTACGTAGTAATAAGTAGTAGCCGTTGTCGCGGTGCGCAAGAGAAACAGAGTCAGTCGTGCAGCCGCTGTCAGAGCTTAGATAGGTACTAGTAAAGCACGCTAGTACAAATCAGTACCGCTACCTAGCGCTAGACCTTATCAGATAGTGCCTAAGAGAGCTTAGCCCAGAAGTTTGATTTAAGTACCTGTCAGTAAGTATAGTACTAGGTAGTAGTAGTATAAGAAGAAGCACAGTCGTGCATTGGCATGGGCATTGGCGTTGGGTTGGCGTTGGGTTGGCGTTGGCGGCATTGGTTCGGCGTGGAAGAGTACCTACTCTGTACCTCTGTACCAGAGTGAGCTTCCGAATGAAGTAATGATATTTATTCCACAATATTAGTAGTACGTAGTAGTAGTACACTTTGATCTACTACATACCGGTACCTCGTTCCAATATCCGAAGTACAAGTACGTAGTAGTAGTAGTAGTAGTAGTACTGTACAGAGTACTAGTACAGGTGTACTACGTACTAGTAGTAGTACAGTACATTCTGCTACCCCGCACTCATCCCAGCGGATTCACCGCTGGATATGATCCATGAAAATCCTACTAGTTGTAGTAAGTAGTACCTCTTACGGACAGTCCTACTCAACTCATACGCAGGGATAAGGATCACATCATACGGACGGACGGACTCTGACATGAATCGCTCGGATATTGAATCTTATGCGCGGATAGGCAGGCGGGCGGGAACCCCCGTCGTGGCTCCAAAACGTGGAGGTGCTCGACCAGATCTACAGCCCGCAGTCGCAGAGAGAGTTGGCACGGTACCGGTAGATGCCCCCACGAGTTTGAAGCGTCCGCATGTGACTTATGACCACGTGACCGATCGATGGCTGATTTAGAGTTAAGCCCGATGTCGGCGATAATAAGTTCCAACAACACCCCCACCACGCATGCCACGAGGACGACCGCAGCAATACAACAACAGCAACAGCAACAGCAACAACATCATCATCATCATCAACCCCAGGAGAGGTGAACCTTCATACACTACTCGTTAAAATAATCGAGAAGCAATATCTGCAAAACACAAACAACCCATCTGCCGCGTACCGGAAGAACCGAAAGGCGCCAAAACAAACTTCTCCCCTCACACCGTTGCGCCTCCTCCACAATGGCGGCCCTGGATAACGCTAACCCCACGATCCTGAGCGAATCCGAACTGCCTTCACACAGACAAAGACGAAGGACTAGAGCGGAGACATCAAAGAAGAGTGGCATTCGAGAGCTGCTGATGGCGAAGCCGAGTTACGCCTTGGACCCGTTCTACATCTCAGAATTCTCGGACACCGACACGGACGACTCGAGCGTAGGACCCATCGACGAACAAGAGATCTATGGTCAGTTCTGTTTCTCTCACATCATCTCGTTTGCCGGCTGTGTCTGATCTTTCCTTTCTTTCCATGTCTCAAGATCATGGCCGTGCTGTGTTCAAATCACCAGAGATTAATGAAATACGAGGCCCGAACGACTCGCAAGGGCTCCTAGCTCAGATATGTTTCTTTCCTGGGGGAGCTTTTGAACATGACTTCCCCAGTGGCCTGAAGGTGTCTTCTACGTTGTAGTATTGACAAAGCTGGGGAGCCCAGCCTCTTCTCGGGCGATCTGACAGATGACGTTTCACAGATCTCATTGCATCGATAGCAGACCCTGAACATCCCCTTTCACTGGAGTCCTTAGGCGTGGTAAAGCTCCAAGACGTCCACCTCACTTCACCTCCAGATCTTGCCAAACCTGCAGCGCTGTCACGCGTCCTCGTCGAGCTCACACCTACGGTATCGCATTGCTCACTTGCAACGGTTATAGGCCTTGGTGTCCGTGTTCGGCTTGAACAAGCTTTGCCTCCTAGTTACCGGGTCGAGGTCAAAATCAAGGAAGGTACTCACAGCTCAGCCGAAGAACTCAATAAGCAATTGGCGGATAAGGAGCGAGTTGCGGCCGCGTTGGAAAACGAGAACCTGATGGGCATGCTGAAGAAAATGATGAAGCCATGCGTAGAAACATGACGAGGTCGTTAATCGACTTTTGCCCGGGTTTGTAGACGAAAACATATGCGCGCGTCTGCTCCCCCACAGCTGGTACGTGAACTACCATCCCTGAAGCAGTCAATATTATTTGTATGACCGCCCCTGATCTCTTGCAAAAAGTCCAAGAGCCTTTTGTCTTGGACCCTTGGACTGCGGCATCTTGTTGTACGGAGAACGTCCGTCCACCTGGTACTTTTACGTAGTACTTCCACCTTCTGTCTACGGAGTACTCCCTGCAATCATCTCGAGCCACATTTATCGACGATCGCCACAAGCACAATCCCGACCCCTAAAATCCCCTTAGAATCCCGCTCGTGGTTTTCCCCGAACAATCCCCCCCCTGATGCCACATGTCATCATCCATGAACCTCGAATCACCGCCGCCACTCCCCCGCCACTCCCCCGCCATGGTTCTCCATACGTGAGAGTTGTACTCGGTACATCGCCGTAGACTATCTGCGGTGTCCCAAAGCACATGGCAGCCGGTCAAATGATTACTACTCCTTCGTCGTTCAGCAAAACACAATCGATAGTGAAAAAGAAGGATTTCGTCTCCACTGTCGCCCCCAGAATTCTTTACAAGTGCCTACTTGAACCTAACGTCAGGCCCTAGCGGGAAGTTGCGTGGCCGGGTCCTACCACCACACTGATGAAAAGACAAGGGTCCTCGACTATACTCTCCCTTTTTAATGAAATGGCCGCTTACGGCACACGGTACTACAAGTACTACGTACATATTGACGAATTGAGTGAAGCGAAATGAAAGCGGAAAGGAGACACGAGGAAAGACGGGTCCCCGGGGAAGAGAAGAGGGGAGGGCATGAGAGATAAGCATAAGCATAAAGGCTCTCTCTTGAGTCTTTGCAAGACGCTCGTCATACTGCATACAGTAGCAGCAGTAAGTACTACGCTACTTGTACAAAATAGAAGTATGTACTTCTACTTCGAGGGATTTCCGGGATAGCTACGTACTTAGTAGTACAGAGGCAGTGATCAATATTTTCATGCCCCCTGATCTGCTTCTCCCTATTGAAGTTTATTAAATGGGGGCTCAAGTTCGTACTCCGTAAACCGCGCGAATCCCTACTTACTGGAAATCATGGACTATTTTTGCTCTTGCTTGCTTCATGCTCCTCTGTCTCTTCTTGCAGTCGACCGTCACCTATGGTAGTACGGCCTCTCTTGTGTTGTTGCGTCGTGAGATGGGCGAAAGAATATCTAGTTTGCTTGATGTGCGCATTTCCGAACCTTCTTTCCAGATACTCCACTGTACTGTCCATCACTGTACTGTCCATCACTGTACTGTCCATCACTGTACTGTCCATCACTCTACTTTCCGAACTCTACTTACGCTAAGTAGCAGTAGTATAGTAGTAGTAGTACTTACTTTACTTTGAACAAGAAAACACGCCCTGTGCATGCATGCACACGGATGCATGGACATGGATGGCACGGAATATTGGCTGGGACGAAGGAACGCTTGCTTCCTCTGTGCTCTCAGGACCCTTTGTAATGTACAGTAACGTACTACGTAGTACTTGTACTACTAGTACTTGTACTGCTTATTGAAAGGGGACCAGGGGAGGCGACCAGAGGGGAAGAGTGATGTGGTACCGGTATGTGGTGTACCGTGTGGGAGATGTGGGAGGGGAAGAGAGCCGTGGTTCCTCCGTCCGTACAGCCACAGCCACAACCACAACCACAACCATAATCAATAATAATATTCTAGTATATAGTAATGTACTCCGTACGGACACATAGTATCATTAGTAATGAGTAGTGAGTAGTGGTTACTGTAAAGGTGGGGGGGGGGGAGAGGGTTACCTACGCTAACTCCGTCCGTACTACTACTACTTACTGTACGGAGATAGTAGTCAGAGCACAGGCAGGCAAGACAGCATCTGCTTACCAGCCTACCTACCTACCTACCTACCTGCCGCAAGAACAAAAGATAAAAGAAGAACAAAAAGAAAGAAAGAATAAACAGAAGCAGAAGCAGAAGCAGAAGCAGAAGCAGAAAAAGAGCAGAAGTAGAAAAAGAAGCAGAAAAGAAAGAAGAAGGGAAAAAAAAAAAAGTCATGTATGCTCCACTGCGGCGCATACACAGATTCAGTAAAAAAGGGACCAATACGGCGGAGGGGAAGTACTACTACAAGATACAGGAAAGGAAAGGATACAGAATACCTACCTAGGTACCTACCTAGGTACCTACCTAGGTACCTACTTACAAATACTTACAAATACAGGTACCTACCACGGTACAGGCCTAAGTATTACCCCTCGAGGGTGCCTCAAAAGTTTAGTTTCCACTTTAAACCCCCTGTTTTCCCTACCCTCGAGGGGTAATACTTACGCCTGCGACGTAGTACCTACCTGTACTTGTACTTACAAGATAGTAGTACTACTAATAAGCACTGGACCGGTTAAGTTCGGTGCTTCCGGGGGCTGCAGAAGAGAGAGAGCGAGGGAGGGAGGGAGGGAGGGAGGGAGGG